TGTTTTGGCCACTGCTTATAGATGGCCCAAACTTGTAAATGATGTAGCTCAGTCAATTCTCCACCGATTTACAAGAAAAAAAATGCGCCAGAATTGCATAGATATTCTCTATTCAAATGTATAAAAATCTACAATGTGTCTGATTTTGGTGGCTATGCAGCACCTATTAGCCCAATGTTGCCTACTCGAGCTATCAGCTTCACAATGGATAGGATTTTGGCTTAGAATTGCAGAGACTAAATAACCGATTAATATGTGGCTTCAATCCTACGGGTCCAGAATTTTAATTACTACCTCATAACTATGTTAAAGTGCCCATTCTTAGGGGTGATCTCGACATAGGGGCCACAAATAAAAATTCTGAATCCGTAGATCGATTAGAATTCAAATTCTAAGTAATATCCTCCTACAAACCATGCTCATACGTGTTGTGGTTGGAAAGCTATAGTCCAATCTCTCCAGAGTGCCAAATTTGGCAGGGAAAACAAGCTGATTTCGCATTTTTGGAGCAATAAATAAAATTTCTACATGGAAAACTCTCTCAGTGGATTCAATCACATCATTCCCTCAAACCCAGTGCAAAAAATATATTGAATTGGTGTTGTGGACGGTACAAAGTCCATGTCTCAAGAAATTGGCCCTGTGACGCTATGTCACGGCATGTCACTGGTCATCACACTTACCAAGGATTGTGCAACACCATTATCATCAGAAGTCAATACTCCTTACTTCCATCTAAATTCTGCCGCTTTCAAAACAGTCTTTGCCCAATCTGCCATGTATCGCGGCAGAGGAATACGAAGGGGAGTTTCAGTACTTAGAAGATCATTCGCAACGCAAGTTCCCCAGGTCGAAAAGGATTGTACAACTCTCATCCCACCCTATGACGCTCTCCTCGCAAAGCTTGCACTTGTTCGCCAGATTCTCAAACGACCGTTGACACTTTCGGAAAAAATTCTATACAGCCATGTTGCAGACCCGGTGAAGGCTTTTTCCGACGGGAGGAGGGTCAGAGGGGAGACTTATCTTCAGCTTCGCCCAGAAAGAGTTGCAATGCAGGATGCCTCCGCACAGTGAGTTCGTTGACATTGTTCAAATGGAAGTAAATATATTTTGAGTTTAGGATGGCCTTGTATGAGTTTGGTTGAAGTGTCTTTCCTCCACGTTAACAAAACCTCGCCACAGATTGCAGTTCATGAGTGCTGGACTCTCCCGATGCGCTGTGCCCACAAGCATCCACTGCGACCATCTTATCCAAGCTTTGGAAGGAGCGGAAGCTGACTTAAAGGTAATTTTTATTGCTGAAGTTATGAAAGTTCGTTTTTTTATACAAAAAATCCAGCGTTCTATTGTTTCTAACAAGGAAGTTTTTGACTTTCTGCAAAGCGCCTCTGAGAAGTACGGCATTGAATTTTGGAGACCTGGCTCAGGAATCATTCACCAGATTGTTTTGGAAAATTACGCGGCACCAGGAATGTTGATGTAAGCAATATACTTCGTGTTTTGATTGACTGGCGCTGATACTATGAAGGCTAGGAACAGGTAGCCGGTTAACAATTTTTTTCTTTATCAAATTTACTGAATGCATTAGATTCACACACCCCTAATGCAGGTGGTCTTGGTATGCTAGCCATTGGTGTGGGCGGTGCCGATGCAGTTGATGCCATGACTGGGACACCATGGGAACTGAAAGCACCAAGAGTTGTAGGTTAGTACTACGGTGATCTAGCCAACGTCATCCTGAGGAAACATTAGGAATTCATCTAAAGGGAAAGCTTAGTGGTTGGTCAACACCAAAGGATCTTATACTTCATCTCGCTGGAAAATTGACTGTTCGAGTGAGTAGACAGCGTTGAATCCGATGGAAGCTGTCTCATCTCGGAAAGGGCGGAACTGGCAGTATCTTAGAGTATTATGGGCCCGGCGTGTCATCTCAATCTTGCACGGGTGTGTCCTTGATGATCTGCTTGCCTTTCTCTCTCTCTGATCTGTAGTCAAGGTTTGGCCACGATAGCCAACATGGGCGCGGAGGTTGGTGCAACGACTTCAACCTTTCCCTACACGCCAAACATGCAAGCATATTTGAATGCAACCGGTCGTGCGCCAGTAGCTCGCGCGGCCGATCGTGCGGCATCTCAAGGTTTTCTAAGTGCAGACGAGAATGCAGAATACGATGACGTCATTGATATTGTATGTATTTGTTTCTTCTTCCGTTCAAGTTTTGAAGTTGCCTTTGAAATATTGCAGAATCTCGCTGACATTGAACCCACAATAAATGGCCCGTTCACCCCTGATTTGGCGACGCCCCTTGCCAAATTTGGCTCTTTCATCGCCTCGCAAGGGTGGAAAGATGAATTCTCTGCTGGCCTCATTGGATCATGTACGAACAGCTCATACGAGGATATGGTGGTTTGATTATCTCATGCGTCATACCCGTCTAACTCGTTATGCCAGACAAGCGTTGCAAATCTGGCCGAGCAAGCCAAGGCAGCTGGGTTAACTGCGAAGGCAAGTTCACTTGACCTTACTGATAGCCTGGATCCAACACATCTTACAGGTGCCCTTTTTGTGTACCCCAGGGTCAGAGCAAATTCGAGCCACTATGGAAAGAGATGGTGTAACCTCAGCCTTGGTGGACGTAGGCGCCGTCGTTTTGGCTAACGCTTGCGGTCCTTGCATCGGACAGGTACATACTTTCTTCTTCACTTTGCAAGAGTTGCTGATACATGCACAGTGGAAACGTGAGGATAAAGGGAAAGAGGAGAATGGTATGGCCTTCTCTTCGAGATATTTGAAAGCTCATGTTTCAACTATTTTAGCCATTCTAACAAGTTTCAATCGCAATTTCAAATCAAGAAATGATGGTAACGCGCTGACGATGAATTTTTTGGCTTCACCCACAATCGTTACGGCTATGGCTTTCTCTGGAAGATTATCTTTCAATCCTATGGTTGACTCGCTGCCGCTTCCTTCAGGCGGAAGCTTTAAATTTTCACCCCCTGAGGGGCAAGATCTTCCGATCAATGGCTTTACCGCTGGAGATGTACAATATTATCCTTCACCGAACCCTGCGCCGCAACCTGATGTCGAGATTGTGATTAAAAAAGATTCGCAACGCCTAGAGCTTCTCGAACCCTTTCCCAGTCATTTTGGTGAAGCATCTGGAAACACGAGAGGAATGGAATTCCCTCCTTTAAAAGTTCTCGTTCGTGTCCGTGGCAAATGTACAACTGACCACATCTCTGCTGCTGTGAGTAAATTTCGTTTTCTGGCTGCAAATACTCACTCCTTCCTTCCCCAGGGCCCATGGCTGAAATACAAAGGTCATCTTACTAACATATCGGAAAATCTCTGTAGGTGGTTCCTGAGCTGAATTTCATATATTGGTGCTTATTATTCTCATGTTCATAGTAATTACGGTGGGTTTTTTCACGCAGTTCGGGGCTGGTATTCATTGACTTGCTACAGGCCGTGAACGATGAAGGGGGTGACATTAACGTGGCCTTCGACACCGACACCAATTCATCAGGAACGATTCCTGAAATTGCCAAACGGTTCAAAACTAGAAAGCAACCGTGGGCACTTGTCGTAGACGACAACTATGGAGAGGGAAGTGCCAGGGAGCATGCCGCGTTGCAGCCACGCTTTTATGGTTAGTGCAAGTTTTTTGGAGGGCCATTAATTGTACTCAGTGTCATTGAAGGATGTGCTGTGATTGTTGCGCGGTCGTTTGCTCGGATCCACGAGACAAATTTGAAAGTGAAGTATCCATGACATGTTGAAAGCTTCTTTGCTGATATCTTTATTTGCAGAAGCAAGGTGTTCTTCCTCTCTGGTTCGTGGACAAGGACGATTATTGTCGCATCGGGTCTGGCGACGTTCTTGAAACGATGGGCCTCGCCGAGACTCTTCGAGGAGCACCAAATGCTTCCATTGAACTTAGGGTTACCAAACAGGATGGACAAGTGTTTCAAATTTTAACGAAGCACACGATGTCGGTTGATCAACTGAGCTGGCTTGGAGCAGGGTCTGCATTGAACCACATCCGATCCTGCATGAAGTAGTATGTAGCTTTATCCATCAGTAATTTCAGGCACACAGAAGGGCGAAATTGTAGTCCTTTCATATTCCTTGCGTTTTAGCCAGTTTAAAGTCTGTGACGCAACGCTCAACGCATCTGGTGGAAGGCCAGCTAGTTGCGCAACCTTCAGGCCATGGCTTTCTCTGTTGACTCCAGGTTGCAAACGGTATGCATAGGTGAAATGGCCATCCTGTGAGAAAAATGAGCTCATTTACTTCAGTGGGGGTCACGGGGAACTTACTTCGATTTCAACAACGTCGGTACAATAGAATCGTACCTTGCTAAATGCACATTGGTTGGAGATTCCGTTTGACCAACCAAGCAGGTCGGAGAGCTCATGGAAGTGAGTCGCAAACAGACATCGACATTGATTCTTTACAGTCAGATGGTGGACAGTTGCAAATGCAAGGGCTAAGCCATCTTTGACCGTCGTACCACGCCCGACCTCATCCATGATGACCTGATAGCAAATTTCGTTATCGAGAAAAGCCATCAAGATACTGGACCTTACAAGACTTTTGGGAGTAGCGCGACGTAAGATGTCGGCAGTCTCCAACATTTCCACCATAAAGGTACTCCGATCGCGGAACAAGTCGTCCTTTGCCCCAATCCTCGAGAATAGCTTATCTACTATGCCAATAGTTGCAAAGTCGGCAGGTACGAACGACCCGACCTGAGCCAGGACAGCGACAAGGGCCGTTTGCCGTAGAAAGGTTGACTTGCCAGCCATGTTTGGCCCCGTAATAATGTGCAAGTTACACGTCGGCGCCATCTCGACAGAGTTAGGAGTGTAAACACGACCCGCCGATAACAAGCCTAATTCCACAGCAGGATGCCTCCCATTGACTACATGGAATGAGGAACTTCAAGAGACGATCAAAAGAGGGAGGAATCTGATATCTTGCGACTTACTCATCTGTGATGCGGGGCCGGACAAAGTTCATCTCAGCGGCAAGAGTCGCAAAAGACAACGTCACATCTAATTCGTCCAATATTTCTGCATTCCTCCTAAGGGCGAAGGCGTTGCTGTTCACCTACCGTGATTCGAATTCTGAGTGCTATTCGACGAGACTGATGAACTATGGTACCTCGTGTCGAAGAATGTCAAATGCCTCCTTTTCAGCTAAAACGAGGGCAGAGATTGTTTCTGAGATAAGGCCTCCAAGGTGTGACCACTCCTGCAAAGAATTTAGACAAATGCATATTCATTGACGTGGAGTTACCTTGTAAAAATAGGATTTCGTGGTACCGCTCTCTGAAATGCTGATGAAAGTAGGAGTGGCGTCAAGTTGCTTCTTATCACGTTTGGCCTTGGATAAGTGAACATGCATCCCTAGTGCGGGCGAGCTGCGGAGAGTCAGAGACGGGGCCTCTGATATGAATTTAGCCAAGGGACACTGAAATGTTGACAAAACTCACCATATTGTAGCTGCAGTTCTCTTTCGAGACGATCCTTTTGTTGGAGAAAACGTTGAAGGGCTCGATGTAAAGAGGCAAGTTTCTGTGAGAAGCTAAATAGGATAGGTAAACGACATTTGTGTAATGCAAAAGGTGATGCTTACTCTGGATTGATCATCCATTTACCCTGATATTTGCCAAATGATTGTGTTCCTTCTGTAGGCTCCACTTCAGTAATCCCCTCCATGCTTTCTGTCGGTCCTTCTCTTACGAATGAATCCGTGGAAAGGGCGGTTCGAATCCTTGTTGATAGGTAGTTCAAATCCACGATCTGATTCACAAGAGTTTTGAAAGAACGCCAGTCCTCCTTCACTTCGTTCGTTCCCGTGTCTTTCATGAACTTCTCCTCGTTAACTCGCTTAATGATAGCCCACCAGATATCAATTGTCCGAGCGACGGAAAGAAGGTCGGTGCAGTCACCACGACCGAGGAGGAACTTCTGAACGATACGCCCTATGTCCTCAGCGTCGCCAATGATTTCTTTGATGTCTGCTCGGAAGTGGGGGTGTCTGTGAAAAGAAGCGACTACGGCCTGGCGAGATTCTATCTCTGAAATAGACGTACTTGGCGAACCTGTAATAAAATGATATAACTTCGAAGCTGGAGCTTGGGTAATAGACTCACAAAGCCATCTCGCAAGGAGGCGGGCTCCACCACTAGTTGTTGTTCGTTTGATGACGCCAAGAAGGGTTCCCTTACTGCCTCCTTGGTACACCCCTTCGCGAATTTCAAGGGCTTTAATTGTATGAGAATCGATTTGCATGCGGTTAAGGGCTGTTTCATGCGACGGGGAGGGGAGGGTCGGCATATGCTCCAGTAGATTTGCGCGTAGGTAAGCACCAAGCAACTCTTCAGCGGACAAGTTGTGACTTGCAAACCCGACATCATGGGGATGGTCGTATTCGACGCGCCGGGGGATGTCGTCGGTATGTGGAAACGCAACAAAAGAAATAAAACTGCCTTCCTCGACCAAAGCTTTGACGACGGGGTGGTCTGGTGTTGATTTGAAATCATTGGTCAGGATAACTTCGCGAGGGGCAATCCTTGCCAGTTCATCCTGAAGGGACTCCAGCAAGCATTGTCGCGAGTAAAACTCTCCGGTGGAAATATCGGTCCAGGCCAAACCTAATGAATGGTTAAAGCCAGAAATCGGATCCACGTTGGATGGGACGCTGATTGCCAAAAGATAATTGTTCTCGAAAGGGTTCAAGAAAGGTTCATCAATAAGTGTGCCCGGGGTAATAATCCGTGATACTCGTCTATCAAACTCTTTCGCCCCACACGTAACACGAGGGAATTCTTCGCACATGGCAACGAAGCGTTTGTGCTCCTGGACAAGCACTTTGAGGTGCTTGTCGATATGTATTAAAGGAAATCCGCACATTGGAACTTGAACGCCATTCCATTTTCTGCTTGTAAGCTTAATGTTGAGAAGGCGAGCAATTTCCGGGGCTTGGTCAAAGTAAGACTGCGAGATCATCAACTTCCATTGTACCTCGAATTATAGCAAGACGTCGAACCTCATAGAATTGGCCAACCCGAGTTAAGAGCAGGCAATGAGGAAAACGTTTGAGATTATCCAGAATCTCGCTTGCGAGTGAGCTACGGCTGGTGCGAAGGTCATCTGCTGGACGGAATCATTATACGTCCTACTATGAATCGTAGATAGACGTACCTGACGCATCGACTGTGTCAATTGTCAATGGTTTTGCCTTTGATCTTCTTTTTCTGGTTTTTTTAATGTTAGCTGAAATGTCCTCGCTCAAGTCAGAGAGAGGTAGTTGAGAGGGTAGGGCTTCGTCATGCTTCGCCATTTTCGATTTACGGACTCTTTTGCGAGTTTGTGAAACTTCCACCTGTAACTCAGGAACTTGAATAATATCCAGCAGTCCAACGGCATTGGTTGTAGTATCTGAAATGATAAATAAACGCCACATTTATAAGACTGACGTAGAGGGTTAAACATACTACACGACGGGGAGTTAGACCATTCTCCCAAGGGTTCTGCAGGAGTTCCATCAGGCAGAAAATACACTTCTGGCAGGTCAGAGTATATTCTTTTAACTCTATTCTGCGGGGAAGTAGAGTTATAGCGATAAATATTCCTCGTAGACGTGGAGAACAGTGCGCTCCAACGAATTGACATCATATAGATAAATTATTCATTCACACATGATCTAACAGAAAATGGGTTGACACGCCACCATTGGCGGAGTTTGAAAACCACGACACTTGGCAAAGTTGACTTGTCAGAGTTCGTCTCATCACATCGTTAGCCCACCATGTCATTCGCAGGGAGACGCAGGGGAAACAAGGTTAAAAAGGGTGTCCAGTTCACCGTTATGGTCGTTGGCGCGTCGACTTCTTGCTTTCTCAATCTACCCTTCTGACGTCTTTCTGTAGGGGCCTCCGGAACTGGGCGTACAACCTTCGTCAATACCCTCTGTGAATCTGAGGTCTTGGCTCATAAGATTTCCGACGACCCAGAAACTGCACACGTTGAGGAAGGCATCAGGATCAAGCCTGTCAACGTTGGTGAGAAAATAAGTTGTCCATCCGAGGTTCAGCTCCTGATGTTATTGCAAGAATTGGAGGAAGATGGAGTTCGCATTGCGTTGACTATCGTCGACACGCCTGGTTTTGGTGATAACATTGACAACGAGTTCGCGTAAGCTCTTTTTTTTGCCCTCTGTGAAACACCACTCATCGACTTGTTTGCTCCATTGCCTATAGCTTTCAAGAGATCGTTGGATACCTTGAACGCCAATACGATGACATCTTAGCTGAAGAATCTCGCATTAAGCGTAACCCTCGTTTCAGAGATAACCGGGTTCATGCCCTCCTGTACTTTATCCCCCCGACCGGTCACGCGTACGTTCCATCATCTTAGTATCTGTTTTGTTGTGTTTCAACCGTTCCTTCGTCAGGCTACGGGAAATGGACATTGAACTTATGCGCAGACTTTCTCCGCGCGTGAATGTAATCCCCGTCATTGGCAAGGCGGATTCCCTGACTCCTAGTGAACTGAAAGGCTTCAAGAAAAGGGTTTGTTCTCTCTTTGGCTGAGCTTTTTTTCAATGATCCCTTACCTACTTGAATGCAAGATCATGGAAGATATCGAAAATTATGATATTCCCGTATATAACTTCCCTTACGATGTCGAGGAAGACGACGAAGAGACAATTCAAGATAACAGTGAACTTCGTGTCAGTTGCGAGCTTTGGCATACCAAATTCAAATCTGATTAGCCTTTTTCTAGGCTCTGTTGCCGTTCGCAATAATAGGCTCAGAGGAGGAAATTGAGATTGATGGACAGGCCGTTCGTGCCCGAATCTACCCCTGGGGTATCGCTGAGGTGGACAACCCAAAACATTCCGACTTTAGCCGTCTCAGGAGTGCCCTTTTGAAGTAAGTCAACTCACATCGTCTTTGGGGGGGGAAACGTTGATTTTATATCCTTTCCAGCTCTCACCTTGCCGACCTCAAGTCATTGACGCATGATGTTTTGTACGAAACCTACCGTACAGAGAAGTTGTCTCGAACAGTTCATGCCGATACTACTCAGTACGTTGACCTGCTATATTTGACGTCGCACTCATACTCATTTCCATCAGGGATTCCTCTATTCTCCCAGAGGAGCTTGCGTCGCAAAGCGTGCGCCTTAAAGAGGAACAGTTACGTCGTGAGGAGGAGAAGGTTTGTGTTGACTCAATGTTTTCAACGTGCTTCTGGCCCTGATCCATTTTTTCCAGCTCCGGGAGATTGAACTCAAGGTGCAACGCGAGATCAACGAGAAAAGACAGGAGCTTCTCGCCAAAGAAGAATCTCTTAGGAACTTGGAGAGTCGCCTGGCTGCCCAAGGGTCGCAACCAGAGTTCCGTGATTGACCGTTCCCAAAATTGTTTCAGGCTGTGGCTGTATACCCTTTTCTTATTGTTGGATTGCGCAGCGTCGTTCTTTTGATACGCATGGATAATCAGTACCTTCCTTTCCGCCGTCATTCCCTTGATAGGTTTCGTATTACTTTTGATAATCGTAGGAGTTGTGCAATCGAATTCTAATACCAATACCAATTAAATACGCGCACGTTGGCAACATCATTGTCGTCAACGCGAAATCACGTTGACAATTCTTGTCCATGTCGAGTGTAGTCTCGACGTTGACGACTGACGACCACTCATCGCCGTCCCCGCCCACGTCGGCGTTCTCAACGTTGTTCTGATCTGCACAGTTCTATCTCGCCCACAACTCTGGACAAGAGCATTCAACCGCAAACCCCCTGAACTCGCCAGGGGTCTGTCTCCCTCCATCACTCTTGAGCCCCATTCTTGCTTTGAGCCCACCATGGACTTGGAATGGGAGGCAAGACCGTATCCCTACAGCGACTGGCGCGATGTCCCTCAACCCGCTACTTTTGCTCCATCACCACCTCAGTCTGCCTTTGCATCAACGTCGTCTGGTCTTTCTCAACGCCGTCGCTCATCTGCCGCACACGTACGGCCAGCAGGTCCACCACCTAACCTTCCTATCCCGAGTGTCCCAGGCCCATCGCCAAATGGTCTGCAGGCTCAGACGTCCATCTTCAATCCATCGGATGATGCCCCCCACATCAACGGTCGAGGAATATGGTCCACCCTCAACAACAACAGACTTGGAACTTCGCCAAATCACTCCGTCGCATCCGCTTTCCCACAAACCCGACACCCCGCTTCGACATCGCAGCCTGTAGAGATATATTCCACAATGGACGACCTGTCAGATCCACCCCCTCAGTCCTTTCTTCCTTCCACTTCCTCTTCCTCTCGCGAACGCCACGGAGTTGGTCCATCTGAACGGTTCCTTCATCCACCTTCTACGGAACAACGTTCGGAACAGAGACCTTCCTCCAGGCGCGCCCTTACACGAGCTCTAGAGCTAGCGCGTGAAGCTGTTCAACTTGATTCGACGAACGACAATCCAGAAGCCGCTGTAAGCGCTTACGCGCAGAGCGTTGCGCTTCTTAGCGAGGTAATGGAAAGAGTCAGAAGAGGCGAAGATAGCAACGATTCTCGTCGCAGGCAGCGACGAAGAAGTGTTGCTGCTCAGGAGGAAGAAGTCAGGCGATTGCAGAATATTGTGAGTGGCACGTTTTGACCGTTACGGTGTATTCTCAGTTTCTCTGTTCCTGTCTTTTTGCCAGCACGATACATATGCAGATCGTATGAACATTCTGAGCCTCATCTATAGCATTCCCGCCGTGCCGTACTCTACCACGTCAACATATTCAACCCCAACGCTCTCAGCGAACTCAACAACATCCAACTCTCCAACCAACTCAACTTCGCCTTCATCGGACACGTCGCCACAAATACCACAATCAACTTATACCACGAATTATATCCAGGAAGAATCTGCGTCCCAAACAAACGATTATGATACTCACGGCCGAGACGATCCATACTTTCCAATCGTTGACTCTGCTGTATATACTTTGGACGAGTCAGTGTTATCAGGAGCCGCAATTTCTGGTCTTCCTTTTACATCCCCTCACCCGTATGCTGTCCAGTACGACCAACCCCCTGAAGGTTCTGCGCGTACACCCATTATGGTCCGAAGGGCAAGAGCATCATCAATTCTACCTCCAGCCCCTCCGCCGCCAATGGGCTTATTACCACCTGCACCTGCCCCAGTCGCGAATGAATATCATTCGGAACCATCGCGGCGACAAGATGTGCAAACCCGTCAGCAAACAGAATTGTCTTCACCCCGAGCATCCGCCTCCGGTCTCTCTGCGTCCGGCTTAGCGGCCCTGGAGGAAGAAGCTGACGGGTCAGGGAGAGAGAGCGCAGATAGGACTGACGGTCGAATGCCAGACACTCCCCGTAACCCGAAGCGAAACTCTCATCCACTGCCTCCCTTACCTTCTCCACCACCAGCTTCCACAGATTTCCCGGGAACTTCTAAGATAACCTTGCCTATTTCAAAGTCACCATCCTCCTCACGTACATCAAATCATGTAGTCGCCCGACCTCGGGGTTCGTCGCAGTTGACTACGCGCTTTGAGTTGTCTAATCAATCTCACATCATCAATTCAACGACAAATCAAGGGACTATTCATCAACGTAGAACAAAAACCTCTGCTCCTCCTAGTACACGTTCGGCGTCGCCCGCGGAATCCATTGGGTCGGCAGGTTCCATTCCTCAGCAGAAGTCCGTGTCATTCCCAGGAAGTTCAGCTTCAAGCGTGGTTACGGGAAGGAGTCGATCTTCGTCCCAGCCAGGCAGACGCCCTTCCCTCATTGGTGGGCGCATTTCACCTATTGATCAACGTCCCCCTTTGCCAGGAAACACTGGCCCTCTGAATGGCGCAAACGGGCGCAAGGCGTCATTTCCTTCCAAACTTGCCGCTCCTCTTCCTATCCTTCAACTTGATCCTGCATCTGCTAATCCTCTACTCCCGCCATCCACTTTTCCCGGAACTTTGCCAACGACGCCTACATCTCTGCTGCCTCCCGCACCGCCCTCCGACCCTTTGCTAAAGCCATATCATATGATGAATCTCCTGCATAACACCATGTCATCCACTACGGGAGGTTATGTCACACGCCGGTTGCACGTTCCATGCGAAGTCTGGTCCCAGGGTGGGGCGAAGTTGGCCAACGTGGCTGAGAAAGTGCGCGTGGTCGCGATCTTGTGTTCGGCGTTGGAGGACCTTCAAAACAGCAGCTCAGATTATTTTGGAGCGGGGAATGTTAGCAGCGGTCTCGCCATGGGGATAGGGAGTATTGGGCGGAAAGAAGCGGATTCCTGGCACGCCAGGTTGGAAGATTTCTCGAATATCTGTGACGGTGTCGTAGCGAATTTTGGAAAGAAGTTGGGTGTTGGTGAGGGATTTGTGCTGAAGAAGACAACATGGGGAGACAAGCTGACTCGTCGGTTCGACAAGTTTACCAACGGAAAGAAGTGAGTTTTGCAGTTAACAATGGTGATCATCTCTAACTCGATGTATTTAGTCTCGATTCGCCGGCAGCCTACGTCCAAGGGTTAAAAAGGCTCTTCTCTTATGCTGAATTGCTAGACGAGCACACGAGGGCCGTTTTTTCACAGCCTGTAGCCCCTGCATATGCCGCATTCCCGGTGGGCGTTCGCACCGCAGCAGAACAAAAGTTGAAACGCTCGTCCGAGTTCTTCGCCACCGTCGTTCTCACTTTTGTCATCCGGGATCTATCGCAGCTACTCGACAAGTATGCCAAGAAATGTGAAAAGTGGCTGGCTGAATAAGAAACTACACCACCACGGACTGCTGTGTCCAGGTGATATGTCCCTTTTTTGTTGCCGGTTCTTTTGAAGTTATTAGAATTTCCTTCTTGCAAATCCATCTTACGCATCTGCCCTTTATTTCGCCTCTTCTTTATTTGTTCAGTAGTGCTTACTATTTTCCTATTTCGATCTTACATTTTCGGGCTCAATATGTGTGTTTAGTTACTGTATAATACTGCATTCCCTAAACTACTTCAGTGGTTGCAAGGATGTAAGAAATATATCATTTACTTGAAAATGGTGTAGCTCAACAATTAATGGCGTATCAGTAAGAATAAGAATAGGCCATGGAAAACCAATCATTTTACGTTTCCCATTCACTGTATTTATCCGGAAACGAGTCACTCTTGTGTTCATACCACCGTTGGTGTGAAAGATGAGAAACAATCTTGAGTCGCTGGACTGTCAAGCAAACGATAGGGGTTATGACACTAGACAAAATGGATTTAATAAGAGATCACATACCGTAATCTCGCCTGTCGTACTCATTGCCGTGTTCATCATCTGAGTCCAGAAGTGGGTCTCTGGTTGTAACGACATGCCACGCATCTAATTTTGGAAATAAAGTCATGGCGGCGTAATTTTTTTGTCTTGTACTCACGTTGAAGAGTTGTCCTGTCTGGAATAATTCGTAAGCGATGGGACGGGTAAGGTTCCCCTCGTGGTATGATTTTGCCGTGCATCACATCGTGACTATGCGACGAATATTGATGATGGAAGGGTAAGCTAGGTTCCGGGCTCCGTCGACATGATGACGAGCGCTGCGCCGAAGAGTAAGAGTTTGCTCGAAGATCATTGAGCAGAGGTTCGGCTGTTCAACGAGCTATATTAATGAGAGAAGAGAGTTGTTACTGACTCTTACAGGTAGGTGTGACGGCATCGCAATCGCCGTCACCAGGTTTGGACTTTTCAAGGTAGGAAACCGCTTCCTCGCCTTTCGCCTTCTGCTTGATTCTTTCTCGTCGTCGTTTGTCCGCTGCCGCTTTCCTTTCTTTGGCTGCAGCAATGCGCGTGCCCCAGTCAAATGCGCGAGCTTTTCCCTTGCGTTTAAGTTTGTCTTCCGCCGGGCTAGGTACCATTTCGTCATCTTCGCCTATCGTCTCCTTAATCGTTTCTTTTGCAGCTTGGGCTTTCACAATGTGATCCCTTTGTGCAATCAGTTTCTCCGCCAGTGTTTTCTCCTCTTCTGAATCGACATTCTCCAACGCGATCTCCTCCGGGGTAAGCAGACAGAAGGATGGTTCGTTGACCAGTCTTTGGTCAGCGAAGGGGTTGGGAACGCTTTCTTCGTCATAGTCGTCATCGGTCGAGAGGTTCTCCAAATAATTATAACAAACCCAAAGGAAAGCCCGTGCTCGTGAAAGGGACGAGACGTCGGTACGAACGAATAGATCAATAAAGTCAAGTTGTTCTGAAAAATGCGTTTTGCCAATGTGCTGATAGAGCCAAGCATTAATTGGAGAGAGTAAAGATATTGAATATCACTTGCATATGTATAATCGGCTAGTACCGATATGACGTGTGGGGCACTTGTTGGAGGGCTAAGTTTCGATCTCTGTCGAGACATTTCAAAGCTGTGTTACCGAACACAAAAATACGGCTCACGAGTCGAGCAAGAATGGCTTCAGGCGACCTGGGTAAATCTATAGGCAACATCCCAAAAACACTCGCTTGCAAAAGGTGTTTGATGCGGGGGCCGTCGTGCAGACTGCCACTGGTTCGCTGTAGAGCGGGAACTGGATGGTAGGTTCTGATATTCGTTTTCATCTCCGGAAAAACTATGCGTGGAGTGTGAGCAGCATTCAGTTATCGGCATGGAAATGGCGTCTCACAGCTCATGGTTGTGTTGATGCGCCCAATATTCACCAAGAGAGAGAGCATGGCGAAATCTGTTCCAAAAAGAGGAGATTCAGCGAGCCTTTCTTTGAGAGCGTTGGTCGCCTTGGTGGAGTGGATGATGGCTTTGACATATAGGTCACGAAAGCAGATCTTGCTGGAGGCGTTTTCGGAATAAGGGTCTGTAAAGACACAAGTAGTGTCGTTGAATACGTTTTTGAGGAAATCGTATTGAAGATCAACGCGAGTCAACGGTTGTCCGTCGACGCGTCGTATGGCGATATCTAACCGTCGGGGTGGGCTTGAGTGGCGCAAGACCATGATCAACAACCAAGGAACGAATTCATAGCACTTGTCACTAAACTTCTATGACATATTTCCTCACGTGACGGCGATACAAGTAAAAATCGTCGTAATTTTAATTTGCCGATATAATAGACTACATAATCGAACAAGTAGAATAGGGAATAAAGTCAAATGATTGAGAAAAGGATATCATGCAAGGATGGGAATGGTATATAACTTCTGTGAGCTTCCAATATGCAAAGTGAATGAATGAATGACCATAAAAAATAAAATCAAAATAAACCAATCATGGCCATGGCTTCAGCGGAGATCGGAGAATGGCTGAGATTGCTCGCCAGTTCTCCAAGCCGCCAGAACCCATTCCAATACGTCAACCACGACGCTACTTCTGTACATGAGGCCATGATCGGCGCCCTTGACAACCTTAACGGAACATCGATTGGCACCCATTGTCCGCTCCATCCATCTAACAGCGTTCTCCGCAATCTTCTCGTCCTTGTCTCCGTACCAGACTCTAACTCTATGCGGGTAGGAGGCGTATGAGAAACCCCAAGAATGGTTCTCGTGATTCAGAATTTGCAAAAGATCATTGTGAGTTCCCTTGGCAGATTCAGCATGAGAAGCGGCAAGGAGAGCATTTCCCAGCGCCGCTTGGTAATTATTCGGTCCATTGGAGGGTGCGAAGGAGGTTGTAACAGTGCTGGGCGAGGGAGAGCCGGGCATCGAAACTAGCGGTTTCCCAGACGTAAAGGAAATTGAACGTTGACCTGCAGACCTAATAGTTGGTTCGTGACTGCTCACTGAGCGTGTCGTAGATGGCCTTTCTCGCATATTTTCCGTAGCATGGGCGGCAAATGAATTTGCCCAATTAAGTTCTTCTAGTCCTAGTCCGACTTCTATGCGTAACGGAGGGGGCAACTGGGGACTTGAAGACTCTGATTTCCGGAGGGGAACGTGGGTCTTGCCCTTGAGAGATCCCATTGATCGCAAACCTTTGAGCTTTTTGCCAGACGAGTGCTTTTCCTCGGGATGGGAGGGGGGCAAAGTGGGTGATCCCTTGAGTCTCTCCAGAAACCCTTTGGAGGTTTTTCGTTTGTTCACAAAGATGACATTCTCGGTTCCGTTTCCTTGACCAGCCCCGAGTGTGCTGCGACTCTCGAAACGTCCCTCGAAATCGCCAAGGTCATCGTACTCGCTAAAAGTGCCTGATCCGATACTGGGGCGCGGTCGGCCTTCACCATTCGACGGATAGACAACATTAAGATTGCCGTTCGAAGAGGAGGATGCAGCTCGTTTTGGCTCCTGTGGGCGAGGGGCGTTGTAACCTATACCTTCATACGCTATTGTGGGCGGCTTCCCAATCATCCAAGCCTGTAGTTTCCACTCAGCAGCCTGGGCTGTCTTAAGGATACCATTTGGTATGTATTTCAGCCATTTGTAGCCACCTAGAGTAAGATGATGAGGATATGCTCGAAGATTGATTTGAATTACATACTGCTTTCGCTGCCGCCAACCCAGGGGGCGAGGAGACAGACATCACCTCGAATGCGCGAAGGCAGCTTGTTCGCGAATGAGAGCGCGTAAGGTGCACCAGCTGAATGCGCCATAACGCTGCATTGCTTGATATGAAGAAGATCCAGGACTTCTTCAACTGCTGACGCCCATTGCATAATACCTTTCGCAGACTTTGAGCGAGGTTCGGTGCGTCCCAGTCCCCAACTATCAAAGGTTTCAGCGATTAAGCGTAAAACGAAAAAGGATGACGAACCGGTCAATGGTGATCAACCTCAAGCCTAGACATTCCGCCATTTCATCGTATAAGCCCATGATATGACGTACGCATCCCAGCCCTAAAAAAACCACAACAGGAAAACCTCCTGGATTGCCTAAATCTGAGAGGCTGACGGTTAAAGGGTTGTCTGGCGAAGCGTGAGGCGATCGTGTGAGGTGCAATAGTGTAGTTAACCTCGCAGAGCGGAGATACTGGGCAACGGCTTGCGAGGGAGATGGCTTCAGCAGCGACAAAAAGGTGACATCGAGAGGCGAGCTAGGCTGTTGATAGATTGAAGCAGCAGAGGATGAATAGATGGACGAAGCTGCACCAGGGTCTGAGCGGGGGGAGTACACACTGGCGTTGTCAGAAATGACAGAGTGGCGCTTGAGGAAGGCTGAGGGAGGGGCTGAGGGAGGTGGTTTGATAGTGTTTTGATGGCGCAAAGTACGCTGCACCTCATCAGCAACGCTGTCGATCGACGAACGGGATAGTAATTCAGTTTCTTCTTCAACAGTGAGGGGCTCAGGTTCTGATTCGACTTCTTCATGGACTGTTCCATGTCCGTGACTAGGAGTGTAAAGAGAAGAAGATCGTATTGTGGACGGTCGAGATCTCGTTTGGCCTTCAGGGGGTGCATGCGCGCGGATAATCTCAGATATTGAAGGGACTACACTCTTTCTGTTCTCAATTTGAGAATGAGTCGTACCTGGCCGGGAAGGATCCCTAGCAGGTGTGTTCCTGACAGAAGATGATGACAGAATGTTTTCATCGGCGGATGTGTATGATCGAAGAGGAGTGATTGTGGAATTGGACGCCGTTCTTGACGACGAGGGACGCGCACGGCGGCGACGTGATCGCGCGTTGAAAGCCGCTGGATTGGGCGAGTCATTTTCATCGTCACCAGAATCACTGGAAGACTCTCTCCGTGTCACCTTGGGACGTCTGGCCTTGCCACCACCAAGAACAACACCAGGAGGTGGAGTAGGCAATGGTGGTTGATACAAAGGGTGATGACCAGGAATTCCAAACCTTGCTCGATTGGAGATGCTCGGCGATGCTCCGAGAACGCTTCCCCCGTTCATTCCGTCAACCAGTGCATCCATCATCTCCACCCCGGAGACGGGAGCCGAAACAAACACAGGAAAATGGTCGAATGATTCCCTTGAGGATGGATAATCATCCGGAGTGCGGGGGGGAGTTTCGGTATGTTGAGTGGAAGATGATCCGGAGAAACGAAGTTGTGGGACTGCTGACATTGGATCCCATTTTGACTTGCTTGAAGGCCCTGTCCTTGAGCGAGTACGGAGATAAGGTGTGGTATTTAAAGGAGTGGGCGTTGAAAGGTCTTCTGTAGAGTCAAAACTAGGAAAGGCATATGCTGCTTCCTTGGGTCCCTTTGATCTCTCTTGGAGATGTATAGACGCCGATGATTCCGCACACGTGCCGACGCTGGAAGGAGAGGACCGACGTGTTTTAGACTTGTGTGAACGAGAGGTGGGACTGGATTTTGTCCGTGGATATGCGTCGAAATAGCTAAAGGGCTTGCTATGGAGTGGACCCGAAGAAGTAGACGTGTTCGAATCAAGGGCCAAAGAAGAGGATTTATCTTTCTCGCGACGGAGAGATAGAAAAGAGGAGCTCTTGCGAGGTACACGGTGTGATGGGTTTTCGCCCTGCTGGTGGCGAGATGATACAGCTTGCATGTCGTGCAAGCCAAGTGAGTGGTCGTGGGCAACGCTAAAGGTGACAGGGGAGCTTTAACCTGGTAGCAAGGTGGCTGTAAGCTCGTAAGAGGCTCGTTGCGAGCTTTGAAAGACTGTCGCGAACGTCGTTGGCCAAGTCAAGCCCAAGTCAGGGTGAAAAAACAGGTCATTGCTGTCGTCCAAATCGGGCCACGTACAAACTGATTTATTAAAATACTACTACATATGACTAGTATCCACTAACTATCGTACACTCTCTCTCTGCTGTCCATCAGCAAACCAAAAGTCGTATATTACGAGAAGCACAGGCGTCGTGTACGCCCCTAACTTCTGCCAACGGCCACGACACAAACGGTGGAGAATTGGTTCCCCCTGGAAGTCCCAAACGCTTCAATGACCCAAACGAACCAGAACCAATCAGCTCGCTCCATTCCTTTGCTGTGGCTCGTACCATGCGCCCGCATACAGTGAATTCCACCAAATTCTGACAACGCGCTTCAATTCCAGTGAGGGTGCCAACGTCAACCTGGAGTCCCCTCAGGTGAAGGCCGTGGAGGAAAGGATAGTCGGGTGAATCCGCGTCGATGATGAAGCGCGTTGAAGGAACCTCTCCTCGTACCTCATACTCCAGGCACCCGACTGTACATGAATCGAGTACAAGCCGGATTTGTTCATCAAATTCCTCGGCTCTTTTTGTCAACACATGCAGAATATCGATGGATCCGCCGTTCGTCATTTGACAAATAAAACCCCCAGTAATATCGACATCTTCAAGCACGAGTTGGGAAGCGGGTAATGGGTATGAAATGGAAGGGGGAATGATGTCCAAGTCGAGATGGGTGAGCTGTAATCGCTTGAGATTGGAAAACCTAAATGTCATACTCTCATCCCATTCCAAGGTTGGACGGGAGCAGAGAGAGTCAGCGAGGAGGCTGCCATCAATATGTAGATCATTGACAGCTTCTGGATTCGACAGCAAGCTTAGGAACCTCTCTGCCTTTAGAGATAGTTGTCCTCCAAATATAAGCCTACGCAAGTCAAGGGTAAGGAGGTGACGAAGCCCAGTCATGTCCTTTGTGGATAGTTTCTGGCTGCAATCGTCCAATGTGACCATTGGTCGAAGGTTCAGCCCATAAATGAGCGGAATGAGGGATGGATTCGTTGATAGGGTTCTTGCAAGTAATGCACATGCAGGAAATGTGTGGATGGTTGGGAATGCATAGAGTCTCTTTCGAACGTAGAACAGCCATGACGGGGACACCGTCGCAAGACGAACGAAGTCACGAGGCCACCAATGGTCATTACTGTCGAGTATCAGGGGAATAAGATCGTCAATGAAGGGGCGAGCGGTATACGGTTTGACGGACATCGTGGTGGTAGACAGCAACATTCACCATGTTCACAAAACACGCTTTTGACGTTCTTCGTGGCGTTAGTGTGATTTTAAGTCACAGCACCTGGGACCCTTAAATAATATCATATTCCTGACCACCTCCATGATGGACATTCATGAGCTTCCAATTTCAAAGCGCCCAGTCCAGACATGGCGTACGATGCTCAAAGCAATCTTGTTTTGTCTCCTGTTCAACTTGGGTTGCCTCATGATTAACGCTTCACAATTCGTATTCTTGCTCCCCCTGAGAATTCTTCCTTTTCGATGGTCCAGGAGTTTGTACTATACCGGAATTCGATATACCAAGGGATCTTTTGGATGCTTGCAGAGTAGGTCTCCATTGCCTCTAGAATTATCCTCTATCCACCTCAATGCCGCAGTTCTCATGTGCCAATGGTTTGCACCCACAAAGCTGCTGATCACCTTTGAGACAAAGGGAGAGGGACGATTCACCCCGGAAGAGATTCAAAGTTATTCCATTAAGAACAAACATGGTGACATCGTCGCTTTGAACTTTCCCTCAAAGTTCGTCTTGATAGCAAATCATCAAGTATGTCATTGAGGCTTCCCGAATAATGAAAATCATTGTTATGTGGAACAGATCTATGCCGACTGGTGGTATGCATGGTGTCTGACCTACTTTTTGAGCCCTCGAAAAATTCATCAACATGTCTATATTACGCTCAAAAAGAGTCTTCAGTGGGTGCCAGTGGTTGGTTGGGTGCGTTGAAGCTGTTCCCGTCTCTACGGTCTAACGTTATTGCAGGGGATGCAATTTTTCAACTTTATTTTCCTTGCGCGCTCATGGGCATCGGATCGTTTACAACTGGCCTCCGACCTGGCATCTCTGGGCAAAGCGGCAGAGAAGGAGGACCGGCCGCTATGTTTCATGCTCTACCCTGAAGGAACATTGGTTAGCAATGATACCCGACCCAGAAGTAAGAAGTTCGCCGAGAAAATGGGGATTGTGAGTCTCCTCATATCGCAAATAAACAAAGGTCTAACCACCCACAAAAGGTAGACTTGAAGAACATCCTGCTTCCGAGGTCGACGGGGTTGCATTACAGCCTTCGGTCGCTGGCTCCACGGATCCCCGACCTGCGGCTATTGGATCTCACAGTCGTCTACCCTGGTATGCCTCGTATCATAGGATGTGCGACCTCCCAGACTCATTGATTGACAGGCATCCCACCAATGGAATATGGCCAAAATTACTACACGTTAAGGTCCATCTTCTTTGATGGTGTTCCTCCCCCTAGAGTTCATATGCACCTCCGGACGTTTGACGTCACGCGAGATATTCCAGTTGGGAATCTGGAAACGAGCAAGACAAATGGTTCAGTTGAGGTGGACATTCCCGCAGAGGAAAAGGAAAAGTTTGATCTATGGCTCAGGAAACTATGGCGGGAGAAGGACGAATCAATGGACAGGTTTTATGAGACAGGATTCTTTGATACCAATTCTGCTTCCAAAGGCCTCAAGGTTGAAATTCCCTTGAAGTTGGGGCGGAAACGGGAAATTTTGGACGCATTTTGCTTCTTTCTGCCAGCAGGGGTCGCGTACTTGTGGGGCCGAGTTCGAGGGTAAGGAAATGATTGCTTTACACGGACAGCTAGTTAGATAGATTCTAACCGGAAAGCTGAGCGCGTTTGTTTTCTAATTCTTTGACCATGTGCAAACTTGAGTCGAGAAACCTCTCCACGCAGTTCACTAAACAGCTTTCTTCGGCTCTTGAGAGACTGGTTGAGGGTTTTGAGGACATGCACCTGGACTGAGGTTATGGAAAGATAAAGTCAAATGGCTGAAGGAGCTCACTTGTCCCAACACAGGTCTGTGAAGCGTTGTATTGAGGCGTGTAATTTTGCCTGGGCTTGCTCTCTTTCGATAAAGGACGTGAGCTCTTTCTGAAAAGACTATTAGATTACGAGGGGGGGGGGGTTAAAAAAAGTATAGCCAACCTGTGTAACTTGGTCAAAGTGTAAATTGTCGGACATAGTGACGGTAAGTTGAAGGAGGTACTTTGTCCACGTGATGTCCTTTGGAGACTTCCCTGTTCTATTCCATTCTTCAGCCCAAGTATATCCTTCATGGGCGCCTTTTCCGCATTTGCTTGCTTGCCTCGTGTCTTCAACTTCCTTCCCTCATGACCTCTGCATCCGCCGCGTCCCAATCATGGCCCCCAGAACCGATTCCACCGTTAGCCCCATATCTCGATCATCTACTACTTCCACTCACCCAACTCATCTCAACAGTGTTGGCTACCTTAGTCGCAAGGCCTTACCCATCAAGCGCAACGATGCAGAACCGTTGACGCGGGATGATGTTCAGTTTGACCTTCTGAGTTACATTTTTTCGGACACGAAAGCTGTTTTCACCACTCCATACCCCTCAAAATCACCCAAGATACCCTTCGGCGAACTATATGTGTCCGCCCTGTACAACTCAACCAAATGTTCGAAAGTTCTGAAGGACAAGATGCTTGAGACCCCTGATTTTGGCGTCGAGCTTGCCAAGATTTCACTTTTGACCAACGTTGGTCGCATCAATACCACGATGGCTTGTACGAAATGCCTTTCCAGTCATGGATGAAATAACTGACATGGGTGTAGTCTTTCCGGAGATGAAGACCGCGTTGAGAACTTATCATCCAGTCCCCTCATTACAAAAAACCGATGGAAATGCCCAAGATGCGCCGCGCATAAAAAATTGCCTAAAGGCCGCTCTTCTCCCATCCGAACTTAAGGCTGTGCCTCCCTCCACGCCAGAGGAGATACTTGCAAAACGCGTGAGTTATCGTCGTTATTTTTAGGCCCCCAACCTCGTGTCTAATGCACATTTCACCCCAGAGGGCAGGACAATGCCCACCCACCAGTGTTGTGAACCTAATATTTGTCCTGGCAAATCATGCTGCGGTAAATCTTAAAAATCCCCCTCCTCAATGATACTTGTTTAAGCCGAAGCTTCTAGCCGTTAGCAAGCACCCACTTCGATGGCAATCTGAACTTTCTGGACCTCTTTATTCCGGGGAAAAAGTTTTCATCTGCTGATCGAGGTCGGGCGTTCTTGTGGCTTCTCTATCATTACCTGGAAAGCTCGGATGGACCAAATCCATTCAATGACACATATGCTCAAAATCACCAAGGGAAAGCGCCTGTCTTGCGCCGGCTCAGTGAATCAGAACTAAGAAGAGAAAACGTCGATACACCCCAGGAAATTGATTGGGGAAGAATGATGTCAAACCAACGAAACACATTTTTGCAGAGACTTGTCTCATCGATTGAGTATGAGAAAAAAGCCAAGGCCGCTGCTCCACATTTTATCTCAGGTCTGCTTTCTTCTTTACAATTTTTTAGTTTCCCTAAATGGATTCATTTCAGTTACTCCCGAATCAAATCAACGGCGTCCTCGTCCCCAACGACAAGGATACGACGTTGCAAAAGACGACGGAGCTTTTCTTTACTATGTCCCAAGTCAAGAGTCACCCGCCACGGTAGTGCCGCGACCACAACCAAAAGGTTGGCCAACGAGTTTCTCTCCTTCGCATGCCAAAACGAGCCTATTCTAGTTCTACACAACCCACCACCACCACCTGTAGGGCCGCTTCGTATCGAAGAGCGCACGATGCTTCAACGTAAGCCCATGCCGCATATGTCCGACCTTTCTTATCATTGTTGAGATTAGACGCATGGCATATTGCGTCGACAACTGACCCACTTCTGGATTCTGACGAGGAAGACCTGGATGAGCATACACGACAAGACTATTGTAAGGCCCCCAATTTCTCATGCAAAGCACCACGTCAAGCACTTCCTCTTCTCTCTAGCACGACGCCTCAACGTCCTCGATCGATTGGTCAGGCAACCAACCCCTACATAACTTTTGCAACAGTACGAACCCATGGCGATTCGCGAATTGATCAATCCAAGACACACATCTTTTGAAGCAACATCCAAATGGACTGTGAGTTTTAATACATGGGTGGTATGTTGAATACAATAAAGTATAGGCTCAGCCTACGTAGACGAAAGAGTAAAGACTGTGGTGCAACCCTGAGGGATGTGCATACTTGTAAACTTCTGACCAGCCGGGTTGAAAAAAAAAACGTGTATCAGAAACCACCAGGCAGAGAAAGAACGGGATGTTCAAATCCAAACCGTTCATGAAGCGGCATGAGATCAGCAGGAGCGCTGTGTCGTTTCCATTTCGACCTCCTGCCGTCAATATCCTCCGAATCACTGCCAGCAAGCTCATGTGCCATGGACACAGTTCGTCGCTTGATGGTAGAAAGCATATTATATGCTTTAGCTTCCCGAGATTCAAGCGCATGCGTGCTGGTCGTTGAAACGGTTGTTGTGACGCGGAGGTCCGAGACAGTTCGTTCTCGAGCTGGCATCCGCAGCCTTCCCACATCAATCAACCGTCGGGCTGCGGGCTTCCTCGCAGCCAGTGAGGGAATGATATCAGATTGAAGTTGAGGTCTAGGACTGGGACTTGGTGCGCGATGGGTTTGGTGGGAGCTCAACCGAGCAGAAATTTGATCAAGGGAGGGAAGAGCCTTGGGTTTGACATTGTAGGCAGTCGGACGGAGCTCTCGCTTGTCGACAGTCAGCCTGAAGTCTACTTGCTCAACCCACACCTCACGAGCTGTGGGACGATCGCCATCATTACTCAACGATTGGAAGAGTTCAAGTGGTGAAATGAGACCAGGGGAAGGCAAGGAATAGTGGAAGATCGAGGGAGAGTCGGGGGGCGTCTTTGGGGTCATAGCGGCTGTTGGAGATGGGGGTGCATGAACTTTGGACAAAAAGAGAGCACGGCGCTCAACTACAGTGATGAGATGGTCAATTTCAATAAACACTTGATGATCGCCAACACACCTTGCTTGTTCTTATGGGCTTTGAGAGCGATCTCCTTACGAAGGTCAACATCTTTCCTGCCTCCAAGCGCGGCATTTCGTTCCTTGGACGCCTTAAGAAGCGCTTCGAAACGCTCACGTCCAAGGCCTTTGCCTGTGTGTGTGACCTCGGAGGGACGGAGGGGCGAAAGTTGTTGGTTAAATCTCGTATGAGTGGGAGGGGGAGTTAGATGGCGTGGCCTGAAACCGTCAGCATCGAGTGAGGACGTTAGGAACGATGTGGCGGAGAACGGAGAATAGGGTTCGACAAGAAGCTCCTGAGGGGGAGGGGGAGAAATTGATATTTGAGGAATTGGAGAGGCCATGTGTAATAACGGCGAGAATATTATGTAGGACAACGCAATAGGCGACCTGCACCTAGAGAAAGTTACGGACACGAACGCAGCAAGAGAAGAAAATGAAAAAGGAAAAGCGGCTGTGTGGGCGGCGTTGGAACAACACCCCTTGTCTGTGCACATACAACTCTAACTCCCACACCTGATACTCGTTTCTTCCTTCGTGGTTACCATGCGTTCACTTGGAGATCGTAGCCAATTCCATCCAGCAGTAAATACATTTCAGTACAACTCCTATCCCTACAAACCCTCTGCCTTCACCGCTTCCACTTTCTTTTCGAGGAAAAGTCGCTTCGCATCTGCCCAAACACGCGACGTCTCCCTTTCCGGAAACTCCAACAGTGATGGCAACAAGTCTGAACTGAACTGTTCAGACGCTTCTCTGGGCAGCAACGTAGGCAGATGATCAATGGATATCACGGACAACGCCGGCAATCCACTGCTAAATCCGAAATTAGTTCATTCCTCTCCACTTGGGACAACATGAGACTCACCCGACATCGACAGGTACCGTAGGTTTATCGAAAGTGGTATTGATGTTGTAAATCGGTATAGGATTGAAAGGGTTAGTGGTATCGCAACTAACGTCCACAACGACCGATAGCCGTCTGTCTTTCCCTGCAGCAATGACTTGCTCTCGGGTCACGAACGAAGGTATTTGTGACGTCAAGTAGATGCAGTTGACAAAAATGTCGACGTCTAGAATTTTAGAGAATGGACCTCCTTTGGCGGTCTCTTCAAGATCCCACTTGAGAATGTCGTCCCTGTTGACTCATCATTACTTACTCCGTCCAACAGAAATGAATCATGCGTACTCGTCAAGACCAATTTTTCTAAAGAGGTCAACCGCGCCGCGCCCACATCTTCCGAGCGCCCCGATGACAAGCGCTCGGACACCTTTGCCACTGCCGCCGAGCAATTCCTTCACATTATTTACCATGGCCTCCTCATTCGCATAGGGAGTAAGAAGTCCAAGTTCATTGCCACCTCTCTGAGCTGCCAATGCGAGAGCGCCAGCCGCGGCACCAGCGAATCCAGCATGGAACCCAAAGGCAGCAACGCGACGACCGTTTGCGTCTTGCAAAAATTCGAGGTCGTAAAGAGTGCCACCACCGCGATGGAAACGAGAGAGAACCTTCGACCAACCAGCTTGCTGCTTATAGCAATGGGCGAATTGTATGTGAGTATGGGGAAGAGGATCTGTCGACTCAGGCAGCTCTTTTAAACCTATTATCGGGGTCGACGTCCGTGCTGTGGGCCATGAGTTGTTGTCCACAAGCGTGCAACCCACACTAATCACCTTTTATTGGGATGAGTGTCCTTGGTGATAATTTAGTCTGACTCACGCTTCGTATTCGGAATCATCGAATATACGCTGTTCATCGCGCTCGACAAAGATATCGAATCCAGCAGCAATGAGCTTGCTGGATGTGGTGGGGGTGAGGGCTGCACGCCGCTCAAACTCCTTCTTTTCGCAACGGAGCCATAAAATGGGCTTTGACATGTTGTTGGGTTCCAAGGAAAGTGATAGTTGGGACGAAAGATCAAAATTTAAATGACTCGATCTACATCATCGAGATAATCTTATCTGATATCTATACAGCATAGTTCAGTCGTTACACTCAGTAAAAACGAAAGTCAGGTAAAGTCGTTGAAGTCTCGCAAGGTGGTCATGTGAAGTCACATTGGTCAATACAAAGTCATGTGGCGCTCAGGGATGTGTCTGCAAAGATTTCACAACCTAACTGAAGTCGAGCAATAGTCAATTACCAGTCATTTTGTAGTCTAGTCCTGGTCATCTGAGTCAGTTATTGCCTTTGTCCTCTTTTCCACACATGCTCGATGTCAAAGAACAACAAGGCGAGTGAATCACAATTTGTTGAAGTCCGTTGAAACTCCGACATCAGGGAATCATGTTGCCAGCATGAAAATTTCTCGTTCTTCCTTACTTCCCACCACATCGACGGAAGGTCCAATTCATGAATCGACAAACGGCCTACTACCCGCGACAATCAGCCTCCTCCCTCCATCGACGGGCGGTCTCCTCTCCTGAAGAATGGTCTTTCCTTTACTTCGACTGGTTCCTCTTCCGCTCCTGCCGCTACGCAGTTCTCTGCTGCTTCAAGACTCTTGAGCTACACGGCCTCCTCTCTCGACGAACGGCTCTCAATGAACGGCTCTCGACGAACTGCCTCCTCGCTTGACGAACGGCCTCATCTTTTGACGAACAGTCTCCTCCTTTGATGAAGTGTCTACTCCCTCAACGAATGGTATGCTCTTGACGAACTCTCTCCTCCCTCGCCGAATGGTATCCCCTCGACGAACTCTCTCCTTGTTCGATTGACTGTCTCCTTCCATGTTGAATTGTGTCCTCCCTTGATGAATGGGCTCTTGGCCTCCCCCCTACCTTGACGAACGGTCTCCACAGTCTCCCCCTGACTTTGTCAAACAGTATCTTCCCTCCCTCGACAAATGGCTTCCCCGCTCGACGAACGGCCTCCACCCATACGAAGATGCTGCTCGAGATTTACGGTTAGGAGATGAGAGTTTGGACTTCAAGTGGTTGATTCATGCTAGAAGGGGTGTATATACAGAATAGCCAGTATTCTTGGGGAATACATGATTTTACATTTCCATAACTCTGACTTGGTGCTGAGAATGCTGTTGACTGAGGTCGCGATGAAAAATACATGACTGACCAGTGACTTGAGCATGACTGGAATGAGACTATTACACGACCATAGCATAACTATTTTCTGACTTTTATTTGACTACAAGAGGACTATGAAGTGATAACTACATGACTACCAAATGACTGTAACCTAGATATAGTTGGCATCAGGAGACGAGACCACACGACTTAACATGACTTGGCGAAGTCATCTTGAGGTCAAAATTTTGTAAAAAAGACTGCTTTTAGTCATGTCGCGCATTTTCGTGCACTAGCGTGACTACCATATGACCAACACCTGACGAATCATTTTTACTGAGCGTTACAAGTCCCGCTTCACCACTCCTCTCTTCTTTTCTGGAATTGTTCCGCGAGCTCGTCCTTTCCTTTCTCAAATTTTTCAAAAATTCCAGGAATATTACCTGTGTATATGTTTATATCGCCGTTTTCGAGCCCTTCCATCGTTTTTGTGGTATATTCTTCCAACGGCATCCAGAACCTGGACAACTTTTCCGTAGTTCCGTAGGCTTGAAATAAAAGCAATCATAAAAATGGCGTTCAACTGCGCATTTGGGGCTTTACTCACCATCATGGAGCTCAGATTCGACAAGACTAGCAACATTTATAATTTAGCATGTCCCTCTTTGGAAAATAGAAAGTACTAACGGTGGTATAATTTCCATGACGTGAACATTTGTATTCTTCAGTTGAGCTCGAAGTGAGACTGAAAAACTGTGCAGCGCCGCTTTGGAAGCCGAGTAGTTGAGAACCCAGGGGGCTGGAACAATTGCGAGGCCAGAGGTGACGGGTATTATGGAACACTTTCTACCTTGCGCCTGCAAAAATCAATTGGATAGGCCTTAGGTATGAAGTCAACGTTCAAGTTACCCCAAGATTAAGGAAATGAGGCAGGAACAAGGATATCAACGCCACAACGGACGTATAATTGATGTTAATTTCGCTGACAACCTCTAGTTTGCGGTTAGCAAAAGATGTGCCATAGCATTCAAACAGTCATTTACTGGACAAATCGACTTCACCCTTAAAATCGAATTCATGCTGAACTCCGGCACAGAGAATAATAGAATCGAGCTGTCACATGAAATGAGGTATGTTCGTTGGATGTGGATGGTGGAGGCGACGATGACTTCAGACTGACATTGGGATACTTGAGAACGATCTCTTCAACAAACTTCTTCAAAGCATCGTGACTAGCTTCGACATCGAGCTGAACGGTCTCTAAGCCCTCTTTAGCGAGTTCATCGAGTCGTTCCTGCCGCCGTCCAGCTGCGATGACGCAGGGTTTGCCCGGCAACCTGGCGATGCTTTGAGCCAAGGCACGTCCGATCCCAGAGGTGGCACCCGTTACAAGCACGCATTTGCTATCCTTGATGCTCGTCATATGAAGCGGAACCGTTTATGCAGCTTGCTTTGCTATCGATTTGAAGAGGGGAAGGATAGAGATGATTACCAGGCTACTTATAGCTTCTGTTACGTCATCAATTATGATTTTGATTCTAATCATCCAACAATGAAATGCCACTCCTCAAATCCTTATGACTGATTCAACCCCAACGGCAGGCTCTGACTCTGATTTCAAGGTAACTCATCTGTTCGATCAATCATGTATAATTCTGACGTGGCCAAAAGCAATTGCTGCAGGATGCGCAAGAAAGAAAGGCCGCGGGCAATGACTATTTTCGTGTCAATAAGTGGAACGAAGCCCTCGTAGCGTACCGCACTGGGCTCAACGGATTACCAAAGTTAAAATCAAAAACTGAAGATCCTGCGCCGGAATCATCCCAAAACCCAGAAGGCCAATCGCCTGAGTCGATCAGTCGTCCGACTGAAGTTGAAACCTCGAGATCCGATTCTGAGGACTCTGAGATAAATCAAGAATTGACTAAAGCACGAGCTGTGTTAAATGCCAATATCGCGGCGTGCTACCTCAAACTAGTGTGTCACCTGATAGTCGACGATATGTTAGTCACTGACCAGTCAATTTGAGGGAGAGCATAAACAGGCTATCGAGGCTTGTACTCAAGGTGCGCCATGCAGTGCCTATCGTCGCACATCACTAGAAAAGCATCTCAATTTAGCCCTTCTCGATGACCCAGACTATGTGAAGGCTTTACAACGGCGTGCGGCCTGCAACGAAATACTGAACACTTGGTCTTCGTTAACAGCTGCACAAGAAGGTGAGAACTGCGAACGAGTCATCACCGTGCCATCTCACTCTGTGTACCTTTTGAAGATTACACTTCTCTGCTGAGACTAAGCTCAATTCAGTCTCAAACTCGAGAAATTGAAGGAAAGCTTCGTAGTATCAAGCCACGCCTCGAGGCTGCTCAGAAAGCGGAAACGGCCGAAATGCTGGGGAAGCTGAAAGGCCTTGGTAATAGTATATTGGGTACGCCTCTAGATTGCAACATATTAACAAGGAAACTGACACTTTCTTCCCGAGGAAACTTTGGATTATCAACGGATAACTTCAAATTTGAGCCGAATGGGCAAGGGGGTTACTCGATGAACTTCAATCAGTAGTGTTGGGAATCCAGAGAGGTCAGGTATAATGCTGAAGAAGGCGTTTCTATTTCCTCATGCGTAGGGTGTATCAGTCGATGAATACAGTGGGATTCCGGAAAATAGTAAATTCCCCTGGGGGCCAGATCTTGAATAGAGGTGAATTACGGATATGATAGAAGGAACAATTTTCTTACCCTAGCCAATAATTTTGCTTGTATCAGAGCCATAGATACGGGGCCATAGTCGCGCGAGTCCCTTGAGAATGCAGCGTTATCTCCGCTGATCCATATATGCCCCTTCGGTATAACGACATGCTCGGTGGAAGGCGCTTTTTCGCCTGTTGGGTCAACACAAATGATGTCTCCGGGAAGTCCAAGGACCCTTTTGCAGATGATTCGACTAGGGTCGATTGGCGATCTCAAGGTGATGAGATCACCGCGAGCAACACTGCCTGGGTTGAGGCGATAGGTGAGGCGGTCTTCAACGACAATTTCGCCGCTGTCAGCCAGAGTCGGCAACATGGATGGTCCTGCCATCTAAGTAATGAGCATGTTGAAGAAGTATTATGTGGATATGAATACAAGCGAAGGTCGTCCAACATATTCGGCGAAGAGATGAAGGGCGCAAGCCAGATTTACAACCTGTAATGAGCGACGTGAGCAATAATCGGACTGCATCAACTTTTTTGTCACCTTAAAGACCTTGAGAACGAAAAACTTGAGCTGATACGATGGTGGTTTGGTCCGGAAATCGGAAAGGCGAGATACCCATTTTATCATTCCAAGACGAGGACAGTAAGAGAAAGTGGTTTTGACCAGCCAGAGGTATTACGTAACTATGTGACCCTCAGCAGAAATGTCCTCTTTCAAGCGAAAGGTAACTAACAAGGCTGCCTTGCCGGTCCCTGGAACTCGCACATCTCCAGCATCGAGCTCAGTTACCACCATCTCGACCGGAATTCCTTCTCTAGATGACGTTTTGGGTGGAGGTCTCCCTCTCTCTTGCTGTCTGCTTGTAACGGCGCCAGATCTACATTCCTCATATGGGGAATTGATTCAAAAGTATTTTCTTGCAGAAGGGCTTGCTTGCCGACATCGTCTATGTGTTGTAGATGGCCAGCCAAAGGATTTTGTGAGAGATATAATGTGGATTCCAGGCCAAATGAAACAACAGGTAGAAAAGACAGAAAGTGACGAGGAAGAGGACTCGTCAGATCGCAAAGTAAAAATCGCGTGGAGATACGAGCAAATGAAACCCTTTCAGACGACTGTTTCTTCAACCCCTTCGTATGTTGCATTTCTGTAATATATGTTAAAGTATTGATACAATCCGCCTCAGAACAACTGATAGCTACGGTCATCCGTTTGAGCTTTCGATCCGTGCCCCGGCCTCATTGATTGACGATGCGTTCTGTTCTGGGCAATTATCGTCGCTGACGATTGAACCATCAAAGTTGGACGTCACCAACTTGATTCGCCAACTCGAAGATAAGCTACAATCCGATGCTTCGACGCCTCTTCGGATCTGTATTCCCTCGTTGGGGTCCCCTTTTTGGGGAGATGTTACAAAACGAGTGAAGCACTGCCCCTCTGCTTGCCACGAAGCTAGCTTACAGCGTTTAGGAATTGCTGTTTTTCCTACACTCGCTCAAGTCCCTCCTGCGTAAATACCCGCACGGGTGTGCATCCGTTGGACTTTCTCCACACCTGTCCGCGGATAATTGGGGAGGGGCTGGCTGGCTACAGAAATTAGGCTGGATTTCTGACGCAGCTTTGAGCTTGTCAGCGTTTTCTGGTTAGTCTCTAATTTTGTTGGCCATTTACCTGGACCTTACAACCAGGAAAGGAGACGTATCAATGTCAGCGACGTTTCCGAAACACCATGGATTGGTGCAAATTCAGTCTCTTCCTTGCCCAGCAACACTGGTGGCTGCGAGTGACCGATTTTCGGTATTGCGTGGACTGGTCTCATCTTCTTCTGGGGGAAGTGGTGAAAATAATCTGGCGTTCAAATGCACGCGGAAGAGATTGATGATCGAGACGTTGCATCTTGATCTGGAAGGAGGGGTTGCAGAGCGGCGAACAACTGCACTAGTGTCAGAGGTATTTAATGCAAAGAGCAGTGCAGCGATGGCGACGGGGGCGTCTGTGAGAATTGAACTGGAACAACCGGAGCAACAAGAGATTGCCAAAGTCAAAAAGGCGAAGAAGAAGAGCGTTGCATTTGATGTGTATGATTTTTAGGCCGATTGTATGTCGATGTTTGGAATGAAAGGGATTGTGAACTTGACTTTACTCAACGATTTGAAGAAGAAAGAAGCTTTCCTTGGATGACCTCTCAAAACAGACGCTCGTCCGATGACCTGAATATTCCTTACATCCGCGAACACTCCTCGCCAGCGTTGTCTTCGTTGTCGTCGTCGTCGCCGTCGTCGTCTTCGCTGTTATATGCGCGTCCACGTGCCCCCACTCTCTTGGACGACCTTGTATCGTCTCCCCGTTCGTCTTCTCACTCTAATTCCTCAAATTTGCCCTCAACAGTCTATCCAGAACCAACTTCTGCCGAGGCAAAAAATACATCCTCTTCATCCCCAGTTCCTTCATTTACCGACCCATCGTGGAATACACCCCTCTTTCACTCACCATCAACCTCAGAACCACCTTTCTTCCCTGACCACATTTCATCCGCTGCCTTTGCCCGGCCTCCAAAGGCTTCTATGCCGCTCCCAGATCCCTCGCAATTCCCAGATCCCTATCCATTTCGCCATCCCCATCACCACTTGACTTCTCTTCCTGCCCTTTCATCTGCTGGTTCGTCCTCTACTTCGACCCGTTCCTCCGCTTACACAAGCTCTGGGAGTGGCTTGCTCTCGGGGGACTACGGCCATATTCATGTCGCGTCGGGTGAAGACGAAAGTGCGATCACCTCTGAAGCTGTCGTCCAGATGTTGGCAAGTGATCCTGCTGCGTCCCCATCTGCCCGTGGTCCACTGCCCAGGACAACTGCTCCTGATTATTCACGCTGGTCCGAATCTTATTCAGCTAGCGTCCGGTCGCGATCGTCATCCTTTGGCAATAATATCCCCAATGGTGGCCACGAGAGTTCTGCTCCTGCGTTGCAACAAAAGCCTAGCTACGACATTAGCTGGACAGTGGACGAAAAAGATGAGACAGGCATTAGCGAAGACGAGACCGATGACGAACCCGCCCTTGACGATGTCGAAGGAGATGTCGACGAGACTTTGGAGGAACGAACGTCGGCTGCTGTCGTCGCAGAAGAGGGTCGTGGGCTTATTGTTCAAGCAGACAACGTTCCAGTTGTGCAGCTGCAAATTCAACTTGGTGCGTAATTTCAATCTTGCTGAGGATAGAAATTAACGCTGTATCTGCAGGCACCACTCATCTTTTAATGGGGTCATCGACTACACCTAACGCAGTACCATCGTTTTTGACCGCAACACTCCCCAACATCGCCACGACTCTTCTTGCCCTTGACATTTCTGCCAATTTTCTTGGGGCACTACCACCTGTCCTCGCTGTTTGCGAAAACTTGGAGGAACTAAACGTTGCTTCAAACCCTCTTCGCGTCTTGCCCGTCTTCCTCGCTGAACTCTCAAACCTCCGACTGTTGATCGCAGATTCAACTGGTATCGGTACACTGCCTGAAGCACTGGTTGAATTGGAGAAACTTCACACTGTGAGTGTACGGCGCAACAAATTACATGCCCTCCCCAGTTGGCTCTGCCTCCTCCCCGCATTGCAGACATTGTGTGTCGATGGCAACCCATTTCAAGGACCCTGGAGAGCATTGGTTGAACCCCTCTTGGCGAAAACACCAATGACACCTGTCTATCCGCCGTCCACCCCAATATTTCCTCTTCCATCCGCCAGCATCCAAAGCTCACATGATGCCGAAACTGATAATACAGACATTGAAGACTTGTCGGACCATGACCCCTCTAGCCCTCATGCACGAAATCATCTGCCGGAGGAAGAAGACCATACTATCACTCCAGAACGTGCTCCATTCTTGGGAAGGTCTGTTACAGCACCTTTGCCCAATGGACCTGATAAACCGTCGAACAACATTGCTATCACGCAACCTAGGCCATTAACACGGACAAGAACTACTCCTAATCGAGCCTATTTTGATCAGACGCGTACGAAGAAGGTTGCTCCCATGACGGACCTCCCTTCTCCGCCACCGAAACAAGGAGAGAACCCAGGTCACTTTCCCGACCATGAAATACGCAAGATGAAGAGCGCTGGAGATTTGCGGAGAGGGAGGTCGGCTACTGTTGCTCCGACCGAGCACAGTTCCATGAGGCCTCCATTATCTCATTATCCCACGTCTCTCTCAAGTTCAAACCTTCTCAACATGAATCCTCCAACGCCTGAGCACCTTAGCGACAACAAGCGATTCGCCAGTTTGGGTCGACCGCCGGCAGCTCCATCAAGACCTCCCATAAACGCATCAAGGCCTCAACTTAGCAAATCCCTATGGAACGGCGATCCTGACTCAAACAATTCAGCTTCTCCAAATTCAAATCGAATATCCTTTACCCCGTCGACTGTGCCTTCAAATCACTCAATCACCACTGACACCACCGAAGGAAGGGGTTCAATTCGCCGTCCTTCCACCAGAGATGGTAAGGAGAAGGGCAGTCGTTGGGGCTTCTTGAAAAAGATGTCAATGGGGAAAATGAAAATTGACACCCCTTCACCAACTCCGAGTGTTGGAAACCGTGTTGGCGGCCTTCCGCGGCCACATACTTCTGCAGGTCCATCTGCGCGTGCTCTTGGTTCCACTTCCACAGCATATGATCGATCAAGCAAATCACCACAGATTGACGTGCGTTTTTCGACAACGGGGACCTTAGACGCACTTCCAGTCATTTCCTCGCCCTCAAATTCGCCCCCCCGATTGAACAAACAGCCATCGCGAGATCTTCTGAAGGTCTCTAGTCCCCCTCCAACTCAGGGCTTTTTATCACCACCATTGGCACCCCCAAGATCGACGAAACGACGGAGTTTTCTTCCCGTTGAAGCGCCTGGGACCCTATCACTCAATATACCCATCCCAGAGACATCGGCGTTCGTTACGGGCCTTACCGCATCAAATGGCACTGATGAACAACATGAAAACAGAGCCACAACGCCGAGTCCGGCAATAGACAGCGAGCAGTATCTGCGTCGTGAAGAAGAACGCGCGCGAGAAGCTTACATGCGAGCTTTGCGCTCTGTAATGGCTTATTTGAAGGATATGAACGACCTTGGAGCGTCGCAGCAAGCAAATATCCTGAGTATGTACGGTGCGAGCGCCGACGATCCCCCTCCTGTCCGCTCAAGGAGGCCGACTGTGACGGATGGCTCGCGTGAGGTTTCAATGGCTCTGAGCGGTTCCACTGCCGTTTCTTTGTCCGACGTTTCTGCCCATCTCCGGCCCTCTGATTCGATATCAGGGTTACGCAATGGAACCATAAGTCAGACTTTAAGCGTTGCTACGACTGACAGCATCAGCTCTATGGAAGAACGCAAATTCAAAGACGACAAAGGGAAGCGAGCAATGGTGATCCGAGAGATCGTCTTGTACGTCTAAGATCCATCTTTCGTCATTCTCCTACTCATTCAAATTGTAGAACGGAGCGTACATATGTCAAGGGGCTTCAAGAGCTTGTTGACATTTACATCAAACCTGCCTCCATCTCGGTGAATCTCCTTAGCGGAGTGGGCTCAGGAAAGGATACGGTAGTGCCAGCGTCAGAAAGAAAGATCGTTTTCGGCGGAATCGATGCTTTGTTTTCTTTCCACAAAGATAGCTTCCTCCCTGCCCTAGAGGTTGCTGCTGCACCATTGATGAAACCTTCCGCAGAATTACAGGCTGTGGACCCCGATGGACAATTGTCGCTGAATGTGGCTAAAGCTGTTGGCAACATATTTCTCAAGCACGCCGCATTTATGAAAATGTACTCAAGTTACATCAAGTGAGTGTTATCTATTTTTGAGCCGTTGAAACTCCTGACTCATTGTCTATTCAGCAACTTTGACAGCTCCGTTCAAAGGGTAAAACATTGGAGTGCTGACCGAAGCGCAGGGGGTAACGCCAGCCCTGCCTCCGCCATATCTCCATCATCCAGTACGGCCCAGCTTGTAGGTCTAGGCCTCAGCATGGCTATTGTCAGCCCGGCGGTTTTGGCGGAGAGTGGAGCAGCAGCAACAGGGGTTCCCAATATCTCTACAAGTCAGCGGAAGAGGATCAAATCGTATCTCAAGAGATGTCGCATGAACCCTCGACATACACAACTCAACTTGGAAGGATATCTTCTTCTTCCCGTGCAGCGAATTCCCCGATATCGCTTACTTGTGCGTTGTCCCATCCTGAATTTCCTGTCGTCTGACTTTATTTTACAGCTGGAAGAATTACTTCGAAGCACGCCACCCACGTACGAGTACATGGACGATCCTTTGGATCGGGCTCTTGCTGAGATATCCTCACTTGCCAACAATATGAATGAAGGGAAGCGTGAATCCGAATCTCGCCGAAAACTTGTGCAGTGGCAAACCAGAATACGCGGCAAGTTTCCGAGCCCTTTGGTCCAACCCCATAGGTTTGTTGCCCCGCAGCTACTTTGAAAATTATGATTGACATATTGGGCAAGGCGTCTAATCATGGATGGACCTCTTTTGCTGACCCGAGTTGTGCGAAAGGCAGTTGTATCCTTTGAAGCGATCAATGCCCAAGGCGACGCATCGACAGTCCAAGTTGACTGCCTTGCTCCAGAGCTGACACCACGGCCACTAGTTGGTATTCTGTGTAATGATCTGCTGGTACTTTGCCGGGATCCATCAGAAGGAAAAGATTCTACTTCATACGTGGATCTTTGGGCCGTTCTGAGGATGCAGACTCTACCTCAACCCGCCAGTATCGTCCACGGCAATGGTAATTATCCCATTTTCAAAAAGTTTACTCTCTCTGACGTTTGTCTCGACTCAAAGCGCTTCGCCTCGTTGATAACAAAGCGATCCTGTATTTCGATGCTCCTTCACCATCTGCTGCCTTGAACTGGTACAGGGGTTAGTCTACGCTTCGTTGATAATTGCCAACTAACCAAATCAACCATCTCATGCAGCGATCAACCTGCACATCCCAGCCTCCAAAACTTAGACCTCGTGCAACTTGCTCTTATTCTATCTTATAGCTACCTAGCGCCACCTTTCGTAGACTTTCCTTTCTATTTTAGTTATCATCTACTCGAATTTCTAACAATGGATCTGGCATTGGCATCGCTAGTGTAAAACTTCCCATGATCGTCATTCCTGTCTTCTTTTACATCGTTCAAGCTTTACACTCCCTTGCATTTTCTCCCTCACTGATATGCGCTTGTAAAATCTGGATACTCGTCGTTGCCCAATATTTATTTTAACGAGTTTTAACGTCGTTGGCGAGTATTACCAGCGCTACACATATGATTACATCTATCCAAGAGTTGTCCAAGAGAGGTGATGACGTCCAACGAACTTTCAACGTACACCAAAGTTGAACAGCCAACTTGTAAAAAGTTGATAGAAGTGGATCACATCTGAACGTTATTTTAAAGATGGACCAGGTTCGATTTGAAGCTGTCATGCTTACCAGCCACTGCCAAAATGCTTCGGCCCTGTTTCTGGGCGGTGGCTCATCATATCTATAGCGGGATGGTAAGTATATATTAGGCGTAACGACCGTTCTTCGGGGCTTACGTTTCAGCCTCGATCTGCGCGATATTCGTCACAAAGTCCATCTCGTGGGGTTTTGCGACGGGTTGTTTGTAGTAAAACTTGGCGCCCAGATACAGAATGGGGAACAGCACTAGAGGGAAGTAGTTGGTTATAAAGGTATCAGTTGCCCAGTGTCCTTTGAGGAAAACGGTCCATCCGCTAAGCTTGAGTTTATTGAAATGAGGACGTCCGAAAGCCAGGCAGAATGAGGACATACAAAAGAGATGATTAGACACGCCACCATAGAATACCACGCAGCGAAGGGTTGAAGATTGGAATAGAACGGGAGTTGGCTTCGATCAATACCCTGAGCTTTCATTCCTTTGTAGAATCGCAAATACGTGAGACTGATGCCAAACCAGGTCATAAGACCAGCAACAGCAGTCAAATTTGCGAACCAGCCAAAGACTCTCCCGGATCCAGATTTGATGCCCATATAAGCAAGCAATGCGAACATGGCATTGAATATAACCGATACATATGGTAGGCCATTTGCGGAGGCCTTGAGGAAAACTTTGGGAGCATTGCCAGAACTAGCAAGGCCATCTATCGCCATCAAAAAGGTGAGCAACACAGCCGTGACCCTGCTAAAATATACTGACAAAGAGCACGCGAGCTGGTATACAAGTCGCTAGATGCAGCTGACCAGGCCGACGTCAACAGACAAGCATTGATGATCTGGTGAGGTGATCAGTCACTTGAATACTATTGTTGAGAATCGTGCGTACAGAGGGTAAAGCTTTGATTCCCGATCGTTTAATGGCAATTACGAAGGGAGACGATGCTGCAGTCCCACCACCGATGGCGAGACCACTTGAATTTGATGGGACCAGTAACCCAATGACTGTTGTGCCGAGGATATAGAACAGCAAGATCCCTTGATGCATTCATCGGAATCATTGAATATTCGAGGCAGATATTTTAAAAGACGAACGGATGTAAATCCTTTTAATTGCTTTGGGTAAATTTCTCCTCGGATTCTTCGCCTCTCCAGCAGCAATCTAAAAAAGACCTTCAGAGGACTGGCACTTGAAAACAAGAGAGAAACAGAACAAACGGCGACGATTTCAGTGCCAATGAAAGAGAAAGCCGCTTGGGTCAAGACGGCCCACCATCCAAGGAATCTACCCTTCGCACCCTGAATACCTTGGTATTGTACAAAAGGGCCAGGGTTCTTCCAGTATCTGAAACCGAGTCTGTCGTGATCCGGACCGCCTTCAGAACAAATGCGTTCATTTAGTGAAATAACGGTAAGATTATGATAAATACCTCCGAGGTCAAGAACGATGCCAAGAATGATAAGACCAGTAATCGTGATGACTTTTATCGACCTGTTCTCGTTGTTACATGTATTTCAACGAAAGGTCAGGAAAACTGGCGCACGCAAATACGAATTCGGCTTCGCCGTATGCCCCTACATCTCAGTTAAAATCGCGCATAGAAAGCGAAGTACAAAATCCTACTTGCCTGCTCCGAGCATATTGATAACAATGACGACTATCATACAAACAGTGATCCAGACAGCTGGATTGATTTTGTCGTTCCAAAACCCAATGAGGACAGACGCGGCGCTGAGTTCGGCGGGGAGGATGATAACCCAGTTATACCTGCACAACAAGTTGAGAAAAAAGGAACAGACCGGGTAACGAAAATCCCACCAGTAATTCCAACCCATAGTAAACGAGAGGGCAGGGTCGACAAAGCGCTCGGCCATCTTAATGTGACCTCCAGGTATTGGAAGGTAGGCAACCATTTCGCCCAATGATACCTAGCATATGGGTCTGAGAGAAAGAAAACACAACGTCCGCAGCTTGTTTTTACCATAACGCTGTAACAGATTGTACCCATGGTAATGTAACCAAGAAGTAGGCCTAATCGCTTAGACATTAACATGGCACCTACTAGAGCGTACGAGCGTACCAATAGGTCCACCATTGTGGAGGGCGTTTCCTGTTCCCAAAAACAAACCTTAAAATGTGATCAGTCGGCGCAGAATTTATGTGATGAACACTTGTAGCCAACCTGTTCCAATGACGCCTCCAATACTTGACGATAACTTTGAGTGAAATGAAAATTGAGAGACTGAAGACGAACCTGATCATGGCAATGTGCCGGTTTTTCAATTGTCGAACGAGTTTGTGGTTAGCATCGAGTTCATTGCTACGAAATGACTCTGTGTCCAAGACATGATTCTTTGAGGCGTCTTTTTCTGAGTCGGCCATTCCAGAAGTTAGATGAGGTGGAACGAGGGTGGGAGGAGAGGGATGGTGGGAAGGAAGGCGGTTCCTCGCTGCAACCGAGTGATGTCCCTAAATAAGTGCATATGCACATAGCCTGTGCGATACTCGCAAGAAGCGAGTTGTATTCCCGTGGGAAGGGAAATTCGGGCAAAGTCAAAGTCCAGCACGCGGGTGGAGTAAATGGAGAGTGATAAAGTTCCGAAGACCCAGGCAATCAACTCTGTAGGAGTGAGTTTTGATCGACATTGACATCAGTGGTTGGCAGGCGTTCAAGCAGCGTAAATTTGGCGTGAATTATAATATTCGAGTGTTGATAAGTACTCAGTTGATCAAGTTGCAGTCAAGTTAAGCGCTGAGTGTCCTATTTTTAGCATATCACGTCACATGTGGCAGAACTCGCCACAAATATCGTTTGAATTATATCGCAAAAGATATTTATTGTATCAGTCGCAGTAAACCATCCCGCCACCACGTAATTAATCGGTATACGAGTGGAGTCTCATTGAGTCCACTAGGTTCTTGAAGTAACGTTGAATGCCCTGAATCTGAAAAGGTGGCGGAAGACCCAGGTTCAACGCCGGAGTTTCCTGTGGGCAGCGTAGTCGCCTGCGGAATAGATAGCGGTATCGAAGGGGGGGCAACAACCTCGCTGGAAGTTAAGATGGTGAGAGATGAATTGACCGCCGGGGTTTCAGCGATCAGCAGTCTCATTCGTTTTGGTTTTGAGTGACCACTAAATTCCGGAACATCCTGGTCAACTTCGTCGCGTCGCCTTTTTCCCGCAGTCCTATCATCGATGGTCTCAGTGCCACTGGGTATACTGCAGGCCTCAGCGATGGAATAGTCGTCCGTCACTCCCGTGGAAGGAGCTTTCGAAGCCATCGGGTGATTCAATTTACGAAGTGGGTTAGGGTATTTAGCAGACGGCTTGTTGCCCTTGGAAGTGGAAGCCTGCGACCGGTGATCGAGCTTCAATGGCTGGAAACTCTCATATGCAAAATCCCTAACTCTAATTTGCGGAAGGTTCGTGCTGGCATTGTCTGAGGCGACGGAGCAGTCCAAAACCAGCGGAGCTTTCCCATCGGTCAATGGTCCATTGGTGCCTATTCATATCGTAAGATAACTGTTGTCCGACGAAAAATATAAAAGTATTAGCTCACATGGTACATCTGACACGCTTGGTAGTTGCAACCCAGCTGCCCTAGATGGAGAATTAACCGATGTGCGAGGGCGCTTCGATGACGGAGAAGCGACCTCCGGGCCTCCAACTCTCTTGCGTTTTGACGAGACATGATAAGGAACTGCGCTGATTGGGACCACCATTCCAGAACCCTCCCCTGGAGAAGACGGGGGCGACGGAGAAGGAATATGAGTAGGCGGTAAATGTCCAGTATCCATTTGATACAGAACAGACAAAAAGTCATGCACTGCATTTTCATAATCTTCGATGGATTGCCCAGGCATGATGTATCGCCTTGGGGCCTCTTCTAGAGCATCTAGCCAACCAATGGGCTGTCGTACATCAACAGGCGGGTCCAATCTATCTGACTGGGGGTCATCTTCGTAGTTTGGAGAATAAGTTGGATCTCTTGTGACTTTGAATCTTTCTTTTCGATTCCGCTGGGCCCGTTTAACATACTGTGTGAATTTCTCTCTCTCTTTCTCTCTTGCACCCTGGTAATCAAGCTTGAATTTCAACTTTCTGAGTTCCAGTCTCAGATCAGCTGCCGTCGTGGAGCCAAGGTAAACTTGTGGGTTAGGATCAAGTGCGCGAGCGGCATGGAATCCAACGATGGTGACCCGGGCGTCTCCTCCGATGAGGAAGTGAGAAAGGCCAATATTTCCATGGAAAACTCCTTGAGCATGAAGCTTTTCCAGCGCTTCAACGCAGGCTTTCTTGAGGACATTGGGCATGTCCGATGATGATTCGATCCAGAACGAGGAATGAGGAACTTCCATCGCCACATTGATGCGCCTTGTGCCCGTAAAAACGCCAATAATGTTGGGCACGACGATGCCCTGTAATGGTTTGAGTTGTTTCTTGTACAAGGCAAGCTATATATGGGGTAAATCGACAAAGATCTCCAAAAATTAAACCTTGACGTGCCTCTGATATGAAACCATCGCATCTCTTGTCGAGTGGCCATCTAAGAAACAAAATTCAACCGAGAAAGCGGGAAATGTTTGAAAATGACTTACGACTTGGATAGATACCGGATCTCCCGGCCAGCAGCTCTACCTGTTCTGAGGTCAATTTCGAAGTCGCGACCATCTTTAATAGTCTCAAGATCGTTTTCTCACAATCACAAATATAGAGACTGACTGTTCAATGATACTTTATCTTGACAATCACGAAGTGATAATCCATCCAACCATGCCCATGCACCACTAGGTCTATATATCGGTTGCGCGAGACTTGAAGTAGATGACGGATCCGGAGCAACGTTTCTTGGTGTACTCGATACCCCAAGTCCCTGTAGAGGGTCGTTATTCGAGGTTCCTCGTTTCGTTTCGGAAGTAGGATCGATCTTTTTCGTAACAGAGGAGTTGCGATGAGATGCTGTCAAAACACGGAAGAATGCCGAATATGACATCGGATGCGAAGGGGGAGGCGAAGATGAGGAAGTGTTGCCAAAAGATGCATGGTAGAGAGAGGCATGCAAGCCCAGAGAACATGATGCGGCCGACATAAGTGGTAGGCAGATAGATGAATTATATTTGGAGGCGTTACGAGGAGCATTCTTAAGTTCCTATGATGCATTGTACTCGGCCTTGTATCCAAAGCAAATACAATGCTTTGATCCTCGAGCTTGAGCCCCCATGGCCATGGCGACAAAAGAGTGAGGCCAAGTGCAGGTAGGTAGAGGCCAATGTCCGAATCTGTCACAAGGACTTACGGTGCGTAACGGCCCGGCTTTGTGAAGAAGGCTGCACAAAGAAATAGAGAATGATCAGTTGAATTGCGCAAAAGGGGCCTGGCCCTGGCCGAAAACTTTACTACATGAATCTCTTCATCCATCCTATTCAAATTTGCCAACTGAATCCGCGTCTTGGTGGGGATGAGGACGATACTGACAACCAAGGTATATACGTACTATAGCCCCACGCACAGGACACTGAGGGCTCGCAATTCGCCTCACTGTTCAACGGTTTCATAACAACTTCATCGGTGTGCTTGCAATCAGCCCACCATGATTTATGTTAAATATTAGGTGCATAATATGTTGTGTGAAGAATGAGGTGGATATATTTATATCGTCTAATGGAGGGCAAGGGGAATGTAGCTGTGTCGGAGGAACGTCTATGGGTCAAACGGGGGAAAGGCAGAGCCAAGTTCATTCAAATTTATAAGCCAGATTCAAGGTGAATGAAAATTAGGCAGAAGAATGGCAACACGATGCAGGATGAGGGTATCCATGGAGAAACGAGGACGAAAAAAAAAGAGACCGTTTCGATTCAGAGCTCAGGCAACGTTGAGATCCCGACAACTGATTGTGAAGTTATCATCAACACAATTCCCTGCGTCGTCATCCTGCGCCTCATCCTCAGCGAAGAAAAACTTGGCTGGGTGCTTTGAAGTTGCCTCCACTCGAGATGTAACTCCAATAGGCGCATCAGTGGAACCGAAAAGGGTCGCCTGACGTTCTCTATCGTTACCTGAAAGCTCAATTAACAACTCCCAGCGGCGACACCAATTGCTAGCCCACGATGACCGTCCGTTTAACTGGGTACGTTTCGATTCCGAGGGACGTGACAAAGCGTGATCTGCAGGAAAACCAAGGTCGGTTCGGAGACGCATCTTGTTGGCTGAGACAAAACCGAGGTAATGGCGGCCTTTTTTGTGGGGACTATTCACTGATTCAGTTTCCGCATCTTTGGCAATGATGTGCCGTCCCTGATACTCGACCAAATCCCCTTCACTTCCACTTTCCACGAGAGTGGCGTCGGAATCGTCACTAGACACAATCGAGCTTGTGTCAATTGATATTTCACTCGCAGTTTCGTCGAAGACATCATCATCAGATTCAACGGCTCCGTCGTCGGTAGGACCTGCACACAGCATATGAACGTCAATCATCCACAATGTCTTCCCGATGGTCCAGAGGGGCAGTGCTGCGAAGCAGCGGTCGATGTCAACGCAATCTGGATCGCGCAGTGCTGATATGTCTCCCCTACGAGGATGAATCGTGATTGGTGGTAACGCACATTGCTGCGAATTAGGCTGGGCTGGTGATCGACGTGGTGGGTACGAAGTAAGACCTATGCCATTTGGGATCTTACGAGGATTCCCATGGGCGGTGTCGTCACCAGCCGGAGCAGCAACTGCGTCTGGATCATGCTCGCGTATCGACCAAAACCATTTCAAGTACTGGAGCCTGTGATTCGAGTGGCCATGATGGCGGTAATTATGACGAGTTGGCTGATTGATTTTGGAGAAAGGTCTCATTGGAGTGGGTGAAAGAGGTGAGGGAAGGGAAGAATAACTGCGGCGAACGGGAGGAGGAGGAGGTGGGGGCGGACGCCGGCGTGCGGAAGTAGAATTAAAGGGGAATGATAGGCGTGACACAGATGGGGTCTTAGCCACATTCTGGGTTTTGAACGCAACGGAAGGTGCGGTCCGTGGTCTATCCTTGCAAGGGAAACGACTAGAATCGATCTCCTCAGGCCCGTACTCCGCCTGCTTTTCTTCTTTGCGCCGATGGTGCGGCTGAGGGTTCACGGCTGAGAAGGACGTCATTGGTGATACTTGTCCCCCAAATGAAGGGCAAGAGCAGGTGGTGATATCGATACTGTCAGCTGACGGGTCTGAGTCTTTTTCTCCTCTTTGCAAAAGTGCGGGCGTCCACTCGCCACCACAGGTGCCAGCCAAGGGTGAGCAGGGAGGAGGTCCTGTTAAAGTAACTGTGTTAAATCCTAGGCGACTGGTGGGCCGCGTAGGTAGATTAAGTGGGGGTATTTGGTAAATTTCGTCATCCTTCATGACCTGGCGGAAGCTTTGGTGATGATCTACAATGTCTGATTCCTGTTCGGCATTAACATGTGGGTTGCAAGGAGCAGAATGAAACAAGTTGATCTCAGGAGAAGGCATAGCGCGGCCAGGGATGAGAGAACGAGAAAGGTTATGAGCGGGACGCAGAACCGCAGTTCATGTCCTATGAGACTGGCTGAAGTCAGAATGAGGTGAGGATGCATCAGGAAAACGCGACATACAAGATATTGGATGGTACACTATAATAATTGATAAATTCGCCTTTGAAAAGGTGGGGTAGGGCGACTTGGTGGTCGATGTCGACACAGACGGAGTCTGTGCCACGGACTGTGGAGGTGCGAGCAGAGGTCAAGTGCAAATGAGAGTGCACTGCTTGAACTTGTAGATTACGTAATACCATCACCGCTTCTGCTCCAACAAGCAACAGCCCTGAGTAGGAATCATATCGATAATCGTGTGAGGAGGTCAATTACTGGTAGAGGACTGGTAGCGGGACTCAACCAAAAAGATCAGAGCGGTTCTAAGTGAGGAATGACCAATTTAAATACCTGCGATTTGGGATTACATATTTACAAATCAAATACTTGAGTAACTCAAACGGATCACTCGTCAAGAAGTCGAATGATCCTGCCTGGGGGCTTGTCTTTGTCGAACAAAAGCAAAGGCGCAGACATTTAAACATCCCTGATGCCAGACCAAAAGTTATTTTCCATAACCACTTTTCGGAGACTTCCAAATGAACAGAATGGTATCCCAGTACTTTAGCAGTATAGTCGGGGGTAATGAGCACAAGACATGAACCGAGAAGTGGTAATGGCGCGACATAGATGGAAGCTATACGAAACACAGCAGACCTTGGAAGACACCCCAATCTTGAGAGAAAAATGATCCCAACAGCTGTTGACACTTGGCTCATCATGCATCAAGCACCAGCGATGCTTACGGAGTTGGTCCCAACACGAAAGTGGAAAATCCGATGGAAAGATCGACGGAGAGGAAAACAAACAAATGTGTCGCTTCGAATCTTCATCGGGACATAAGAAGGCAAGATCAAATCAGAGTGAGAAACATAACCACAATCGTGTGGAAAGAGAAACACGGGTTCGAGAGTGCACAACAAGTGAATAGCAGCGGAACATGTGAGGAAATTATAGGTGACTTCTCAAGCTTCAAGGGTCAAGGGCGAGGAGCACTTGGGAGTGGCAAGAAGATACAGGGTGTTCGCCAACGACCAGCGCTCGATAAGAAACGATATCATGGCCAATTCCTGATTCGCGAAATCCAAAGGTTTCCAGCACACCGTCGGTAGCCCTCGTTTGAGTTTTGGGGAAAAGAAAATGGAGAGGGAAACCAAGGGCGATACAGCGCATGTTCCGACCTCATCAGAAAGGCGAAATTACCGAGGCATGCTGCACAACTTGTCATACCGCGTGGAGCTGGCCATGCTTCATGTATGTATGAGCTCTCGACGGATATCGTCAACTCGAAAGCTGGTCTAGAGCATAATCTCTTTATTTCCTGATTACGCACTTCCGGGGAAATTGCGAAGTCGAAGAGTGTATTATCTGATCCAGCCTGACAACTTTGTTCTGGCGGAACCGACAGTGAATCAGCCCATCCGAGTGCATAATCGAAACCTTAGTAAGGCTCAATTAGTGTGAGGGTGAGATGGCGGAACTGAAGAAAGGACATCGAGTGTTTTCGGGTCAGCTTATCGCAGTATTTGCTGTTGTTGAATCCAGCTATACTTTACACACTACTATGAGCGTCGCCCAACCTCTCCTGGACACCATCGAACCCGACGAGCCCTTGGAGTCCTCTGTCAACACGAAAGGCCCCGCAACCGCGCCAGTTGTCCTAACACCAACACATGCCACCCAGAATGACCCAGAATCAGGTCAGTCCCCGTCAACCGTATAAACTCACTGACCCACCAACGCGTCCCAGGCATTGTGGGGATATTTCGACAGGTACATCCTCATTTAACCGACATTCCACAACTTCATCGCGTTTATACCAGTCGGCCCATCCCACGGCTCTCTTCTTCTTATACCTGTTCCGCATAGCAGCTATAGCCGTTTATATTCTATGTGGATGGTTTACAGACAACTATGTTCTTTCGGTACGCATCCACCGTCAAGCCCGCTTAACAATTAAGTTTATTGTTGGTAGACCGTCGCTGTGGTAGTCCTCTTAGCTATGGACTTTTGGAATTGCCGAGTGAGCATGCACACACATGAGCACCTTTCCCGCCGTTCCTCAGTTTCCCACAACAGAACGTTTCAGGACGAACACTGGTTGGACTTCGCTTCTGGAATCAAGTGTGTCCACCTCGTGATTGCCCCCATTCATTTTTCCGATTGTTTTCTCTAGGTCGATGAAGATGGCGAGAGTTATTGGGTATTTGAAAGTCGAGACGTGAGTTTCCCCAGTTGTGTGTATCATAGCGTATTGACTCGACGTTTTTCAGCCATCGCGGCCAGCCAATCCCATTGATTCCAAGTACGTCCTTTTCGGCTCTTTACTTTCAGTCATTCAACTCTTTCGTCCATAGGATGTTTTGGGTATGGATGACACTTCTTCAGCGCCTGCTCTCGTCCGACGTATCTTGACTTTAGATAGCACTTTACGTGTTTCCTCTCCTTTGGTCGGTGCTACTCATCGTCTCTCTTCTGAAACTGGGGTTTGCGTGAGTGGATGTCCATCTACCCTTTAATTCACCATTGATCGGCGTCACCAGATTTATCCCCATCGTCGTCCTTGCGCTTGTGTTCAATATTACCAACGTTATTGGTTTCACCTATGCGTAAGCCCATCTTTTTTTATTTCTGTATTCAACAGGTGAATGTACCCTCTGCAGTGACCGAGACGCCAAGCAAAAATGGGCTACGAGCGTTGCTGGATCTGCATGGGGAATGGGACTGGGTGGAATTGGTGGGCAAATTCTGACTGGTGCAGTCAAGAAAGGAGTAGGAAGAGTATTCGGTTAGAGGGTATCGTTTTGATGATCCATAGCATTCAATACATAGGCGGAATACAAACGCGAAGCAAGTACAACAGAAGATGAAAGGATGCCAGTCCAAAAAGTTCGAAAGCAGAGATGAAATATATAACCTGTGCATGATAAAATGAGAAAGTGATGCGTAGGTGACAGGTCCATGAAAGATGCATTGGTAAGACCGAAACAAAACCTCAAGGCATCAAAGTTTTCAAACTGGGCATATAAGCATAACGGGAATCCTATGGAAGGCCGACATAGCCACGTGCATCGACTTTTGAAAATCCAACGGTCGTTGCAGGTGATGCGCCCAAGCCAATGAAAGACCGCGTCCGACCGTGTGAGCGAAAGGTTGACACCCGAGGGGTCGCCAGACTGGGAAATGGCACGGGGCTGCTCACGTTGGAAGTCAAAGTCATGGTGGAGGGTGTTCGCGTTGTCAGTGTAGGTGAAGGAGGAAAGACGAAGAGGGTTTGAGAGGGTGTAGGTGCAACAGATGGCTCGATGACGGCAGATGCTCTTCGTAAAACACTATTGCGAAGATGCAAGGGGGGTGGGGCCAACTTGCGTGATTCAGCACGTTGGCGAACGGCAGGTTTTAAGGGAGGTGGGGGTTGCTCAGGTCCGACAACGAGGGTGATGGGTGATGATGGGACAGGAGGAAGGACACCGATTGGGGGCGGCCGGCGTTTCAAACGTCGAGGAGGCAGATCGAACGATGTTTGCACGGCAGTAGCTGGTGGAGGAAGATGAAACGAATTTCTCCAAACAGGAGCGGAAGGAGGCTGTGCGCAGGCCGCGACAGGCAGAACGTCGATGGTTTGCTCGATTTCGTCGTCCGGAGAGTTGAATACGGACGAATCCTCTAGTCCAGAGCTTCGCCGCGAACGAGCCTCTTCATCGTCGAATCCACCACCGATGCCCAAAAGTTCCCGTTCCTCCTCTTCCTCTACAAGGTCTTCGCTGATGATGCTGCCGTTTGTTTTGCTGCTGGCGATGGATCCTGTGCGTTTCCTAGAGCCATAGCGACTTCTCCATACGGCACCCATACCGACGCCAGAGCCAGTTGACGTTATCGAAGAGGTAGAAGCTTTGCGGGCGATAATACGATCCTCCATTGCCTTGTCGAGTGCACGAGCTTCTTGCATGACAAGCGTACCGTGCTCTTCACCCTCTGGAGATGGCTCATCCAACATGCGGCGACGGCGACCCCACTCCTCTTCCTCCTCGTCGGCGGCGGAAGACGGTTCCGAGTTTTGGGGCGAAACACCCTTCAACTTTTTCTCGTACGCCGAAAGTTGATATATGAGGCTGTGAAATGGTTATTATAAAGAAGGGGAAAGAGCACAACGAAATGCACATACTGCATGTTGGGACCCACACATGGGCTTTTTTCCTTTACAAAAGCGTATGCTTCTTGCATACCCTTCAAAGCCCAGACCTCGGGAGGAACCGAGGGGGAGTTTTCAGCGGCTGCGCGCATGACCAGGGCAATTACCATGGTAGCCGACCGCGAGACCCCACATTGACAGCTTTTGAAGGGGTAAGATTGTGCGAAAAAAAAGAAAGAGGGGTGACTGACTGGATGAGGATGGCCTCGGAGCGTTGGAGAGCAGCGTCTGTAAATTGCATGGCTTCTTGAAAGCCATGCTCGACAAGGTCCTGCTGGCCATGGGACCATTGTAGCTTCAAGTAATGCATGGCGGGTCTGCCTGATGCAATATGTGGGGGATAGTATGTAGGATCTTGATCATGCGAATTTCTAAAGTTGGGCGTGGAAGATACGGTACGGAGAGATTTGGTTGCAGCATCAAAAGGGGAAGCCACTTCCTTTGCTACGTTGAGAACAGATTTGATTCCCCTTTCGATGAGACCGTTCCAATCACGAGCATTTTCTTCAGAGCCAAGCCAAATTCCAGGGATGATCTGAATGGGGCCGTCTGCATAAGGGATACTGGGAGAAGAAGCCAGGTCTTCATCTTTGCGGTGTAAAAGGGAGGATGTAATGGGAGGAAGGGAAACAACGGATGGACGACGAGGTCGGGCCAGAGGATTGTTGTTCGAAAGAGGAAGTGTGGGAGGATCATTGTTTGTTGGGAGAGTGATGGAGAGTTTTTTCATGTTGCGAGAAGACTTTGTTGAGGGCAAGTGTGCAGAAAGTGGAAACCGGTCTTTAGTTGATATAAAGGGATGCTGAACGAGAGGCATCGTGGATGTCATATCAGGCAACTGCGGTTACTTGCGTTGGCAGCGTGGCAGTCAGCGAGGCAAATGAAACTAGAGTCACAGAGATTGCCAACACGTCCAGCGTGGAGAATTAAAGAAAATGAAAGAGAAATCAAGGCTTTCATCAGAACATCGCGAGAGAGACGACACCCGACTTTGTTTGTTTTTGTTTTATCCCCAACCACAACCCAGAGTAAGACCATATTTAAAAAATGCCTAATAAACCCCAGGTTGTGTTCTTACTCTCCTTCCTCGTCGTTTTCTCCTCCCTCTTTCTTCTCTCTCATTTTATAAAAACCAAGCTCAACGAAGCTGGTTTTCATATATCTCATCTTATTCTTATAGGTCTTCCACCCGTCACACAACCAATGTCAGGTCGCGTAGAGGTCGAGAATATTCCGGGTCAGGTCGCCAACTTGCTCAAAAACGTCACCGCTGGTGATTTGCTCAACGTTGCTTCCTCTCCTGCCTTCCTTGTCGCTGCTGCTGCAATTGTCATTGCCGCCGCGTTCTACTCCAAGGTCTTCAACTCTACTCGCCCAAAGCCTCTTGATCCAAGCATCTGGAAAGAATTTCCTCTTCAAAAAAAAAACCAGGTGTCCCCAAACACTGCCATGTTCGTTTCGTATATCTCCGTGGCTTCCCTTTCTGACCTCTTAATTTTTTAGCTATACATTCAAGTTGCCTCACGCTGAAGACGTCCTCGGTCTTCCTATTGGCCAGCACATTTCCGTCTCTGCAGATATCAACGGCAAAAATATCGTTCGTAGCTACACTCCCATCAGCCGACAAAACGCACGCGGTCGTTTCGAACTCATTATCAAGGTATTCATTTGCAATATCATTCACTCTTCATAATCTTATTGTTATTATTAAAGACCTACGAAAAGGGCAACATTTCACGTCATGTTGCATCCCTCAAGATTGGTGACACACTTCGCGTCAAAGGTCCCAAAGGCAATTTCAAGTACACCCCCGGTCTTACTGCTCACCTTGGCATGATTGCTGGTGGTACTGGCTTAGCTCCCATGATCCAGATCGTCCGTGCTATTCTTCAAAACCCTCCCGACCGCACCAACATCACCCTCATCTACGCCAACGTCAACGAGGAGGATATCCTGCTGAGAGCTGAACTCGATGCCCTAGCCATGGGCTACGAATCTAGATTCAATCTCTTCTACGTCCTCAACAACCCCCCATCAGGGTGGACAGGCGGCGTTGGTTTCGTCACAAAGGAACACATCAAAGATCTCCTTCCCAACCCCAACGAGTCCAACAGCAAGATTCTGATCTGCGGTTCGTGTTCTATTTCCCCAAAAGTTGAACTAAAATCTCATCTCATTTCCAGGTCCACCCCCAATGGTAACTGCAATGAAGTGTGTACAACCTTTTCCTCGATCGTGCCCTGTCTAACATTGTTAATAGGAAAAACCTGGAAGAGATCAAATACCCCGTGCCCAATACCATCAGCAAACTTGACGACAAGGTACTTTTTGACCCTGGGGACACACCAACTCGAAACTGACACGATCCCTAGGTCTTTGTGTTCTAGATAGAGTGTTGACTTATACATTAAACCTTACCTACGATGAAGCACATTTCTGACATGTTATACAATGCTTGAGGATTAGAACACTATAGACCGTCAATAATCATTCGATTGTGCTTTCATCTCCTCCAGCATCTCCAACCGCAACTCATTCAAGCTAAACCATGTTGATATGTTTCACGTCAAAGATGAAAGGCAACGGACCACTCACCATTTTTCAATCTCATGTGCCGCGCTCATGCTGACCTCAAATTCCTCTTCCGTAAGCTCCGCGGCTGAATTCCTCGCCAATTGGATGGCAGAGTCGTAATAATGCAACAGCGTCATCCCATCAACGTCCTTTTTCAGCAAGGGCAGGAGAAACCGGAAATGATGTAGCATTCGCGCGTGTGGTTTCAGCTTTGGATGCAGGGGTATAACCAGGTGCGCTAAGACATCTAAGTAGCGGAAATGAATAAAAAAAGGGAGGGGAACGTATGTTTTGAACTTGCCAATGTGTGATATTGTATCAAGGAGAGCACGTCGGAACTTCATTCCGCTATACTTGGTTCCTGATCAGAAACCACGTTAATAGCATACCGAAAAAACGGTGTAAAGCAATATATACCTGGCCGGCCCCATCCCTCGTGAACGACGTCCGTGGGTAGTGACTCATACGAAACCAAACACGCTCGGATGTACTCTTGCGCGATGTATCTGTGAACGGACTATGCCCACGGTGTTAATCCGACATTGACGGAAGAGGACCAGAGTGCTTTCTTACCTTGGGAAGGTCATCACGGGAAATGGTGCGGTAAGCCTTTGAGATTCGCTGAAGCTTCAAGCGAACCGCGACCCGTCGCTTGATGCAGAATGATAAGGACGCTACGAGCTTGGGGAATGTGCACACATTCGGTCAAAGTTGTCAAACCGCTAGTCCCCCCACGACGTACCACGATGATGTATGACGCCCCAATGTAGAGCGCGTTGGCGTTATCGACCCATGACCTGCTGGGTGATGTTCGAATAGCTTGTGAGATGAGGGCAGCGCAAGAGAGGCCTATCGCCACTATCAAGATGAGCACAAAGAGGGCATAGGTGAGTTCAGAGGCAGTCCTCAACAATCTCGTTGAGATCATGAGAGTTGGAACGTCATGAACTGATGCCAAACTTGAAAAGGCCAAGGAAGGCAAACTGGGCAAACAAGACGGTACATAATTTCGAAAAAAAAAAACAGCTTGTGGTAAATGGTATACTAGGAAGCATTCTTTTCCAAAGTGGGGCACAGCGTAAAAATAAATAAAAAGAGGTATGCCTGATACCATCAACGATACATACTTATGATTCACGCTATGTTCTGCCTCAAGCTTGAACATTTTGACTAGACGCGGTGATAAATATGGCGGGCATGGAACTAAAGTAGTTCAAAACTTACGCAAACTGGCCGATGACGTTTCCTTGAGTCTGATACTCACAGACAAAGTATTTAGCTTTCTGTAGATCACGGCTTTAGATTAGCCGAGGAAAGCGTTTCGACGGTCGAAAACTCACCCCGAAACTAGCGTCGAAAATGCCATCGCACAGTTTAACGGCACAACCAACCTGGGAAGTGCCTTTCCAAACAACCTGAGTAAAGTGCGACGGAACAGGGTTATTGGAGTTGTACTCCGCTAATCATGAGGGCGTTAATTTGTCCCTTGGATAAAGACAACAACTTACAAACTTCGTCCGTCCAGGACTTGACGGCAGCTGCTATATTATATGCTGATCCAGTTCCAGCGGCCAGATTTTCTGTTTTGAACGCCAAATAAGCTGAGTTTCACAAGGTAAAATAAAAAACAAGCCTCCGAAAGGGCCAAGGGAACCGCCGGAGTGTTCGAACTTACAGCCATTGGCCCACTTCTGAGCCTTGCTTGCCAAGTTGTCACTCCAGGAAAGAGCGGCAGCTCCGTGTTGGGCTCGGACAGCGTTGTGTGCCGATAGATAAGCCTGGATATCACCGTCAGAGGTTCCACCTCCACTCGAGGCCGGGGAGTTATTTGCTGGCGCAGTTGTGACCGGCCTTTGAGGTTGCTGTGATGACGTCGTTGGGGATGGCCGGGCCGTGGTAACGGATTGCACGGTAACAGTAGACGGGGATGCTGAAGGAGTGGATACAATGTCGGTACTCGTGGTGGAACGAGAATGCGATGACAAGGATGCTAAAAACCTCTGAGTAGAAGTTGCGGAAGCCGACGTGGATGTAGATGCGGAAGAGCTGGTGCTGGATGGGGCGGCCGTCTGCGTCTGCGAAGTAACTGTGACAACGGTAGGTTGGACACTTTGGACTGGGACAGTGGACGACACAGAAGAAGGGGTGCTACTGATGAAGGAAACTTAAGAATGCAATACAAAGCTAGACTATAGATGATCATACCTGATATCTGCAACTGTACCGCAGGCCTTGGAAATTACCGCGTCCAAGGCATCGTCCGTGTTCTCCGTCTTTTGCATAACGGAACCCCAAGGGTCGGTGCCCATCATCATGCCAGACCAACCCCAATTTGATTTGCAAAGTTGGACACAGTTAGCAAGTTGGTAGTTTTTCTTAGTGCAAGCTGGTCCGGCGAGCCCGCGTTGAAAGGAAGAGATAGCCAGTGGAATCCAAAGAGCCCAACCCAAACGGGGCATTCTGATAAAAGGAATGTGGTTAAAAAAGAACGTGAAGTGAATGGAAAAGAAAAGTCGGGCTAGCAACGGCTTGGCAACGGCTAGAGAAGCCTCGGAGAAGTTGCCTGCACAGCCACCGTCGGTGTCCGTCGAGATGGCTCATCCACCTTACTACGTTCTCATATCTCATTCCACACTCTCCGGTACAAGCCAGGCGATTTCTTTCCGTCATCCCACAATTCAGTATCACTACAGTGACGACTCACCGCTTTCACTTCTCCCTCAACATCCACAAGAGCACGTCCTCGTTTTGAACCATGACCCTCAGCCGTCTGCTGCGCCGCCAACCGTCCAAAGTATCTCGAAAACATTGATTGTGACACGTCTAAAGGTCGAAGAGGCTCCTGGAGCAGCAGCAGCGGTGGGCGACCATGACGGAAAGAATGACAAGATGTTTATTGTCGAAACATGCACTGATGACAGGTCAGGGATGTGCACGTTGTAATTCAATTTTTAACCAATGCCCCTAGCACTCCTCATGAAGAGCGCAAGCAACCTCAGGCTATCCTTGCACACTTCAAATACCGGTAGATGTTTTGTTTTGCGCGATATCCGGAGGCCTAAATTCAGAACAGGAACAGCATCATCCGTCGCGCATTGTCATATCCCGACACAGAGTCAACCGCTCATCAACCCCCGTCGTCAAATATAACATAAGCGTGTATCACAAGAGCCTTTCAAACTATCGGAGTCCTATCGCTTTCCTTTCTTACTTGATCGGCCTTTATTACTACCCGCTGGCTTGTTTGATGTCGGAGGAGCGGGTTGTGTAGATTGAACTTCCTCATCCCCAGCCATTAAAGCAGTCAACCTAGCAGTCCAAGGGCAATGTATTAGTTTCTCTGAGGAGATGACACATAACACAGTACGCACCCAGATTTCAAATCCCCAGATGCCATTGCATTCTGCACCCCGGCGAATTTAGCTTGTTGCTCCTTGAACTCTTTCAGTGACTCTGGGTCAAGGTTTTTCTATAGTCCAGTTGTAAATCACGAGCATGACAATCTATTCGCTGGCTTACAACAAGGTAGGGCATTGCCAACATCATTCCGCCGCCAAACACCATCATCAGCATCATTGGGTTGGAAAGCATTGCGATCAGATTGAACGATTCAGGAGGGACGAAGTAGAGCAATTTCTGCCTGGGGACGAGTACTATTGGATAAGGTAATAGCACAGTAGATGGGGGGTTGAATGGCGTTCCGGGAACATGTGGCCTTGCTTCTGGAGTCGAATTGAAGACGTCTATGCGAACCTAGAGTAGATGAGCAAAGTTCGATGAGAAGGAGACGTGCTTTACCTGATCAAAGGTGTAGTCATGAGAAATTATCGACAAAAGATAGGTTCCTGGGGGAACGCTGGGTCTAACAAAAGAGTGAGTCGTGTTTCGGAGTGAAGAAGCATACACAGTACATCACAAAATCTCCGGTATGAGCGACGCTTCCGGACATCCTTCCGTCGTCGAGAACAGCTTTAGAATGACCGAGGCTCTTGATGTCTACTTGTATTGAGGATGTATGCTCATGCAAAAGGGCGACGGTGACAACTTGCCTGGACAAGCATCATTCCAAGCTACCTTGCCGTGTATGTCGAGCGCATGAACGATGGCAAGACTGAATGTAGATGAGCTTTAGTTTACTTGAATATGAGGTAACTTGCCATGAAAGAAAAAGTAGGGCTCGAAGCATGGTGATTCTGGACAACAAACACAGGTCAACCATCATATTTTTTCAACTACATACAACTACGAAGCAATCGTCAATATGCGTCAAAAGCGTGCAAAGGCATATCGCAAGCTTATGCATCTGTATTCCCTTTCTTTTGGATTTAGAAAGCCCTACCAAGTTCTCTGTGAGCGAAGCAGTCATTTTCACAGGTCACCCACTCACAACCCAACCAGTCGACTCCGAGATGTGCAAGTCTGCAGTAGCACACAAAATAGACCTCATCAAGCAGCTACCTTTGGTCCTGCAAGGCGAAGTCAAACCGAGTGCGTGCTCCTTGTTTCTCGCCACTACTCTGCAGAAACTAACCTTGTCCACGGCAAAGCCGTTTTTCAGTGATAACACAATGCTCTATACATGAATTATATATGCAGGGCAAGGATCAACAACCAGCGGTAGACCTGGCCAAGCTCTTCGAGAGGAGAAAATGCAATCATCGGGAGGCCATTCCCGGGGACGATTGTCTTCAGAGCGTGGTTGGTTCGTCTTGGAACCACCCTCTGCGTCATGCCCACAGCTGACGTTTTTTCAGGGGAGACGAACAAACATCGATATGTAATTGCAACTCAATCCCAACCCCTCCGCGTCAAGCTTCGCGGCATACCCGGAACACCTATCGTCCACATAAATCGTTCAGTGATCGTCCTTGAACCCCCGAGTGACGCTACAGTGAAAGCAAAAGAAGAGGTTTGTTTAGAGCAAAACAGTCTTCGCAGTTCATTGACGATTTGTACAGGTAGAAGAACGAGCGCTTCATGCACCAGGACTTGAATTAGTGCAATCCTCCGCGTCCGCGTCGGTGGAACAGCCCCGTAGAATTAGGAAAGGTCCCAAAGGTCCAAATCCCCTCAGTGTAAAGAAGAAGACGGCGAATGTGCTACCACCCTCAAAGAAACTCTCAGAATCCACAAAAACCAAACCAAACCCAAACTCATACACAAATGACGTCGAAGCAGGAACGAAACGCAAACGCTCTCCCAATGATGAATCCGTTGACGACGCACCGGACGGTAATGCAGAAGGAGGGGAATCTATAAGAAAACGCAGGCGGAAGAGAAAATCCAGGGCTGAAGTAACGACTGGTGCAGGATGATATATGATAGTGAATTGGATTTCAATGGGCGTACAAATTGACATGTATGATACAACTACCGGACTCAACAGAATCAGTTTCCTCCACGAAGACGCAACACTAAATAAATAAAAAATCAGAAGATTTTAACTTATAGACCGATCTGAACGTACCCAGGTGAAGGGTGCTTTCCTTCTGAATGTTGTAGTCAGAAAGAGTCCGGCCATCCTCCAACTGTTTGCCAGCGAAGATGAGGCGTTGCTGATCGGGAGGGATCCCTTCTTTGTCCTGAATCTTGGCCTTAACGTTGTCGATGGTATCTGAAGACTCCACCTCCAACGTAATAGTCTTGCCAGTAAGCGTCTTCACAAAGATTTGCATCCCACCTCGCAGGCGCAAAACCAAATGAAGAGTGGACTCCTTTTGGATGTTGTAATCCGACAAAGTACGACCATCTTCAAGCTGCTTGCCCGCAAAGATGAGACGCTGCTGATCAGGAGGGATTCCTTCCTTGTCTTGGATCTTCGCTTTGACGTTATCGATGGTATCCGACGACTCGACCTCTAACGTGATGGTCTTCCCTGTCAAAGTCTTAACGAAGATCTGCATGCCACCGCGGAGGCGGAGGACGAGATGTAAAGTAGACTCCTTCTGAATGTTATAGTCAGAGAGCGTGCGACCATCCTCGAGTTGTTTGCCGGCAAAAATGAGGCGTTGCTGATCAGGAGGAATTCTATGGCACTGTGTCAATATATGTCCTCTTCAGCAAAACGATGGGAAAGACTTCTCACCCTTCCTTATCCTGAATCTTGGCCTTGACATTATCGATCGTGTCAGATGATTCGACCTCCAATGTAATGGTCTTGCCCGTCAACGTCTTCACGAAGATCTGCATGCCGCCGCGCAAGCGGAGAACAAGATGAAGGGTCGACTCTTTCTGAATATTGTAGTCGGACAAGGTACGGCCATCCTCAAGTTGTTTGCCGGCGAAGATAAGCCGCTGCTGGTCAGGAGGGATACTAACGAGGGTGAATCCACGAGTAAGGGACGGCTCTGAAACTGCTCACCCTTCCTTGTCTTGGATCTTTGCCTTGACGTTGTCGATAGTGTCGGACGATTCGACCTCAAGAGTAATGGTCTTTCCGGTGAGGGTCTTTACGAAGATTTGCATGATAGTGAACTTGACTGTTGAGGGTTGGTTGTGGGGGGTAAGACACAGAGCAGCAGAAGCAGCAGTCCTTTATAAGCATGGCGGAGTGTAAATTTCTGCACAGCCCCGCAGTTACAAATGACACGATCATTACGTCGCCAGATTTACGATGTACATAAATACATCTGCACCAACTAATCGTCACACCAGAGTCGGATTGTAAGATCCTTTTCCATGGACGCAGAAGCGATGATGTTCCTCGTTGGATGCGTCTGGTATAAATGTCAGTAAAAGAAATGCGGAGAACTCGGAACCTACATCCACAGCTAGCACAGCATCTATGACAATTTGTTCGTAAGAACGACGAAATATTAGTCACTTCGGAACGGTTACCTCGGTGACCTTCCAGAACTTGTAGGATTTGTCTCGTCTGGAGATCCCAGATGTATATCTTGGCGTCTTCGCTGCCACTGACGATGTATTTCCCTTTTGTTGTGACAAAACACGTTGGGATACAATACGTTCGATTTATATGTCCAGTGTACGTTTTCACACAACGAGATGTCTGATAGTTCCACAAGCGGATCGTGGAGTCTTGTGTGGAAGCGAGAACAAATTTGGAGTTTGGAGAGAATTGGACATGAGAACTAGGATTTGTTGAGAAACAGCAGCATTATAAGCAACACCCCTTACCAAATAGGATTGTCGTCGTCCACGAGAGTCTTCAAACATTGTCCAGAATCAGCATCCCAAATGCGACTGGCCTTAATATTAACGACGCCATTGGTCAACCATAAAATAATGAACACGGACATTAAACCATCCATTGCACAGGATACGACAAGGGTCCCGTCACTGTTGAAGCTTACAGCAGTGACGGGGTCTGAATGGGCGGGCAGTACTTTGAGCGGTTTGCCTGATGGCGCGAAAGAGCATCAGAGGATCCACCAAATCAAGTTGAAGGTCAAACTAACCTCTGGCAATGTCCCAAACCCGCACGGTTTCATCAAACCCGCCGGATACAAGCAAGTTTGAGTTAGGGTTGTAGTTCACACAAAAGACGAAGTTGGTGTGACCAATCAGTGTCTTTACGGTGGCCCGCTAGAAGTCATGAGCGAGGGATACTGACCAGAGGCAATAATATACCTACCGACTCAATGCTCCAAATCATGATAGTTTTATCATCCGATGCAGAAGCCAAATATTCACCATCGCTCGCCCAAGCAATGTCTGAGATGCCTTCTGTATGTCCTTCGAATGTATGAACAAGTTCGCCTGAATACGCGTCCCACAGTTTGACCAATTTATCAGCGGCTTCCCTCGAGACAGAATGAACACGACGGTCTACACGCAATCGGAGAAGCTAACTTACCACAAGATGCGAGCAGTGAGCCATCTGGACTGAATTTGACAGAAGCAATAGACAAAGAATGACCGCTGAGGATATATCTGGCCCTGTATGAAGGCCCAGAACGGTGCCCCGTTAACTGTTCTTGTGGTTCAGGAAGGAGTTCCGAGACGGTTGGCACTCCTTCCACCCCAGTTAAGACGACATTTGAGCTCGATAACACGTCTTGCTTGCGATCGAGTTCAACGTCCATTGCAGGTGGAAGCCAGACGAAGCCGTGGGCGCAAAACCTGAAGAAGCACGTGGTGCAGAAAAGTTGGACCTCAACTCGACCTCAACCACTATGGCGTCTTCATGGATAACTCCCCCTACTCGCACAGAACTTATTGAAGACCTCGTTTCTGGTGTCGACCGTTACAACCCATCAAACGTCAGCATTCTGGAGGATTATCTCTACCACCAAATAAGAAGCGAAGAGTACGATTGTCTCGCTAACCTTGCCATTTTGAAGCTGTACGTACGTTCTTCCCATTGTTCAACTCTTCCCATTAAATTCTGTGGGTTCTTCTCAGGTATCAGTTCAATCCTGATCTGTACAATCCAGATGTTGTCATTAACATTCTCCTCAAAGCCCTGACGGCCTCTCCTTTGCCCGACTTCAATCTTTGCATCGCCCTCTTAGATGAAAGACCTATCAACACCTCGCTTGATGAACCCGACCCACTCCCTCAACTGCTCCCCGTCTTAAATGGGCTGCACGATCTCCTCTACCGTTGCAGATTCCCTGCCTTTTGGAAAACTTACCGATCGGATGAGCTGGAATCCCTCCGTGATAACTATACAGTGGAGGTCGTTGGGTTTGAAAATGCTGTTCGTGCGGTCGCCGTTCGCGCTGTCAAAGCGGCTTTTACGCGAATAAGCGCAGAACGATTAGGTTCTTACTTGGACCTCAATGGTATGATCCCAGTTCTTTGAATAATTTGGGATTCTACATGTCGGATGCAGGTCCTAATCTCGAAGCGTACCTCCATGACTTGGGATGGTCCATTGAGCGCTCCAACTCCGTCGTTGTTATACCACCAAATCCAGACAACCAGATTGAAGCAACGGTTGTTCAAGAAAGCATCAAGCTTCCTCGTGAGTTGGTCATTCGTGCATCTAGAGGAGAAAGCTGATGTTTCGCTTTGCTTCAGAACTAGCAAAAATCATCTCGCACTCGGCATTAAAAGCTTAAGTGGCTAGGAAACTGTGTCCCTCACTTTGGTAGGATAGCGCGGAAAGCTGCCAAAATGTTTGAGGAATATATTTGTGCAAATTTCGTGTAATGTGGTTTTATGCGTTCATACTTCCACCCAAATTGCCATAAATCACGTTTGCCCCAATCAACTTCTCGTGTTGCTCAACTGAACTGCTGATCAAGGTTTCGTGGTCCTTGTATCATACTATGTGACGTGCGTAGGTTTTTTCCCCCTGAATTGGGACATCAATGTCACCCATCCAAATACAATGAGTGCAATCAACGTTGGCCTTGAAAATCTAAATTTGAAATGCTACATCGTGTTCTAGGAGTCTCAAACTTCAGCTCAGCACCAACCTCACGAAGCGTTAACTGCTCTTCGGTTGGCCCACATCATGTACGGTTCTCTTGTAACGTCATAACCAGCAGCTGATTTTGTTCGAGCGCTGCGTCGCGCATCGGGTAACTTTGCATTTGTGTTGAGGTCCTAGATGAAAAAGTAGTCAGCCCCCTGGCCGTCATTTGGCGCGATGTCTACCAACCGCGATGCGCTTCCGCATTCCTGCAGTAATATGGGGCCACCACCTAGTAAGCGCGGTTTTAACGGCAAGCTCGCGGTGGCCTTTGGGGTTTAACCACGCTACGAGTTCGTCGAGCTGATAGATAAGCTAAGTGGGTGGCAGTCTGTGTTCAAGCCGGAAGGTACGTGCCTCTTCCAACTCCGAGTATACTGCCCAATCGTTGGGGCCTAGCATCCCATCTTCACCCTCCTCCTCCTTTCTACGTTCTTCAAGGTCCTCGTCGTTCCTCTTTTGCAAGAGTTCCAGATCGAATTCGCTTGGTCCTTGAATGAAGAGTCGACCAGTTCCATACTGTGTAACCCCTCCACTGCCAACCAGTGATGCCGAACCCATGCCGTCAAACCACCAGATTCGATTGTAGAACCGATCTCTCCCGAAAGGCTTTACCCGAACCGCACCTAAGAGCTTCCTGAATTCACGTTCAATGCTCTCCAACCGTCGTTCCAACTTGTTTACTTCTTCGTCGAGGCGGCGATGCTCCGCAAGGGCTTGTTTCACAGATGCCTGTTTCGCTCTTGCGGCTTCCCGCTCTTTTGAATGTGCAAGGGCGTGCGTTTTCTTCTGACGTGATGCTCTCCTTCCGGAGGGTGTCTCAGATTCTCCTTCCGAGATATCAGACAGATCACTAGAGTCGCGCATTTCCACATCCTCGTTGATGGCATTGCCCAAGGCAGCTGTTTCCCCTTTTGTCTCCCCTGCCAGCGCATTCATTTCTTCCACGCTAGAACAATGGTCAGCGAGAGGGAGAAGTAAAAGTCATGATTGACGCGTACTGTTGTTTCTTAAGACGATTGACCTCAATTTTCTCTTTCCGCAGAGATGTGAGCTGTTCTTCGCAAAGTTCCATATGTGCGTGAATAGCCTTGCTTGAAATGGCTAAATTACACATGAAGGCGAGAATTGCAATTCGGTCGGCAGGGGGTAGATGATAGTAGCGTTCACTTGGGTGGGAAATGACTGAGAGAGGAGTTGAGGTAGGCGTAGAAGTTCTTGAACTAGAGGATGAAGGCGCGTCGGGAGCAACTTCAGGCGCAAAAAGTAGCTGAGTAAGTACTTCACGGAGGCGGGGGAAGTTTGAGACAGTAGCATGCTATACACCGCAATGTCAGTAAGAGCTATCTTTACCAATGATCAGTAAGAAAACGTACATCTTTCAAACATCCAACAAGAGCATCTTCCCATCCATCACGGCCTTCGTTGTGCCTTAATGGTACTCTTTCCCAATTGTTCCCAACATCTGCCATGGCCCCTGTTAGTTGGTCGATCGTGATACCAAATATTTTCTCATCCTCTAACCCCTGCTCTATTCTCGTTTCTTTGGTTTGAAGTAGGGAGAGAAGGGCATTGTGTCGTTGAAAAGTTATGGTACGAAGATTGTAGATAAGTGTTGAATGAACCTCTGCAAGCAGAGAGCAGGGAGTCTCAGGAAGGGAGTGTCGTAAAGCATGCTCGAGTTCATCGAGTGAGAAAACTGAGAGGTGAAGAGGTTGACTAGAGGGTAAATGAAGGTATTAGAGTAACGTTCGAATGATGTAAATCATTGATGGACTGACCCGTAAACAATTAGAAAATTCCAACTCATGAGAAATGACTCAGAGGTGCCGGGTGTGTCGTTAAATGGCACGTTTGCGCGGTTTCCAACGGGCCTCTTCAACTTCATTCCTGCCTTTTTGTCCTTGTCTGCCATGCGAATGTCTAGATCTTCTGTCGGATAACGGATGGGTTTCTTCTTCTTCTTTTCAGCCGCTAATTGCTCAGCTTCTTCTTTAGCAGCGCGTTGCTTCTCAGCTTTCTCGTGAGCTTCCCGCTCTCGCTTTTCAACTGCGACAGCCAACGTTTTTGCTAACATGGATTCAGCCTAATCAAGGGCGTTTGGTAGTGACGACTCACCACGTTCTTCCTGAGCTGCAGTCATCTTCTTCTGCTTTTTCGTTGGTGGTCCCTCCTTTTCTTCCCAAACTTTTTTCCTCTTATCGATTTCACCCTTCTTGATGTTTTCAACACCTTTTCTGGTCTCTTCTGGCATGATAGAGTCGACGCCGTAACGTTTAGCTATTGTAGGCTTAACTGTCCAAGGTGAAGCAACAGCAGCTTCCCGATCTACGCAGTCCCTGATGAATCGACGAAGAATTGATTTGGAGAATGAAAGGCGATCACGACTGGAGGCAAGTATTCAGTACGGGTTTTTGCAAAGATCAACTTAGAGATGGTACAAACCTCATCATACCACATTGAACCTCAAGTAAGCTGCCAATCATTTTTCCGTCCTTCTCACTACCCTTCGCGGAGCTTTTACCCTTCTCATGACTCTTGTCCTTTTCTAATTCAAGAACGTGAACCCAGTAGTAATAACGTTCTGGATCATCACGGGAAATAGCGTCCTGCGAAGGGATTCTTAAATCACCCCCAATTACATGGGGTGGATCGTCGTCGAGAGAAAGGGAAGAGGAACCAGAGGGGTCCTTGTGTGCATCCCTGGCCTTGAGGTCATAGCAGTATTTAGGAGGGTAGACTTTCTCGACACGAGCATAGTACCTGTTGATTGACGGTAAATGAAAAAGGGTCTTCAAAAGCACCACGATAACTGACTTTGTTCCTGTAAGGTCAACAAGAATTTCTACACATTCGGGAAAAGTTAGCAATGTGCGGTGAGACGAAGTGCATCGAAGCGTGCGCACTCTCGTTCTTGAAGTATCGGTCTTTGAAGCGTTCATAAACGGCCTCCACTAAGTGGTCTAAACGGCCCATGACCTCTGGAGTAGACGCCACGGATGAATGAGTGGGTTGCAACGCGACAGAGATTTGAAAACGTACGCCATTGAACAGCTCTTAGGACAGCTGGCTTGAGAGGTTCGGAAAATCGAGAGTGTAGTGTCCGCGCTTCCTGGCGCTCACTCTCGATGGCCTGGAAATAATCAAGCCCGCTTTTACCAGTGACCTCGCATTGGAACTGTTTCAGTCGATAGAATGACATTCGAGCCGCATAAGCTCTGTGGGGCAAATACAAAACTGGTCTGTCGGGTGGACAACAGGATGGGCGGTGTCGAGACTTACTCGAATGTCTCGAAGATTTCCCCGGTCTGTTCAAGATAGAAGACTTGTCTGGCGGGGTCGGCTTTGCCCGCTTGCAAGAGCGATTCTGAGGGTTCTGTGAGAACGACGCGCTTGCGGCGGCAGGTAGGCATAGCTTGAGAAAAAGGGACGAAAAAGGATGACGAGTGAGATTTTCTGTAGTGGTAGAAACTACAAAGAGACGTTCAGAGCAGACAGATGGGTTGGAGAGGTAGAATGAGGAGGAGGTGGTAAGGTGGAAGGGAGGGGGAAGAGTGGTGGTCGTGGTGGGAGGAAAGAGATGAGTGGGTGATGGGGAAGCGGCAAGCAAAGGGACAGGTGGCTGGTCGGAGGGCGAGTACCTGTGCTGAACAATAATTTGACATCAAGTCTCATCAAGCCTCCCCGCTGTCTCCTCTCACTCCATCTCCTCTGCTACACCACCCACTGCCACCTGCAAACCCCGCTGCTCACTGCGCCCTGTCATCCTGCATCACTCCTCTACTCCTCTACTTTCTTCATGGTCGCGGGGTACCCGATCCTCACGCCCAAACCTTCCTTTTTCGTCCATCCCTCCTTTTGCTGTCATAAATTTCGTTTCACATTTCTTTCCTCCTGGTTGAATATTTTATAATAATAGAAACAATTTCTGTTTCTACACATGTCATTTCTCAGAAAAGTTGTCTTCATCTTTCACATTAAATTTAATGACTGGATCTCAAAGAAACCTGCAATCCTTCAACCACGTGGCATTCCACGTGATCGTGACGCGTAAAATTTACATTCCATCGCTGAGATTGTTAACTACATGAGTGTCATAAAAGTGCTGAGGCCTGAATGTCCGTGATTAGAGCGAGTATCAGCTATAAACTTTAGTGGAAGGCCATGTGAACATCAAATTATGCAAGAGTTATCATACCCATGCCCTCCGTAACGTTTCACTCAATGGTGATATCTTCTTTTCTCGATGCTTCTGACGTGCCGATGAGTCGTAGTTTACCGCGTAGAGTGGAACGCAGGGCCGTTGTATTCTCCGTGACCTGGCTTTCCTCGTCATTCCTCTTCCGCTTGTCGCTCTCCTCCACTGTTTTCTTCTACAATGTCCTTTGATCAACTTCAAAAAATGACTTGTACCTTGGGTAACTCACTCACTGAATTTTTCTTGTTTAACGAGAAGAACCGCCTAACGCTACCTACACCCTCTGAAACTGCCTTATTATTTGAAGCTGACCGACTCTTCTTGTGCTTTGAGTTCACAGCATCCATGATCACAATGGCCTTCGCATTGGGGACGACCGGATTGATACCGTGCATGTCGGATGGGAGTCCTGACGGAGAGTACGGGGTACGTGGAGTGTTCGGTTGAAACTGGCTCATGGGACTACCGCCTTCTACATTGACTAGTACCCAGCCCTGTCCGCTGGCACCTCCAACCGAGTTCTGCGATTCCTTCTTCGGCGTCTTCTCACGGTGAACAACTGGAGGCATTGAATTGTTGGTGGCAGTCATCCCCACCAGCGCAGCCTCACTCTGGCGCAAAGTGGCATCTGGTAGTATAACTTCTGGGGATTCAACACGCGACCCCGTCTCATGGATACGAGTGTCGTCAGCTGTCTTGGACACGGTGGCAAACTTTCGGGTTGCGTCCTCTTCAAGCTTCTCATCGATAGGCGTTGGCTGCCATCCTCCAGGCAATATCGGTCCATTGAAATGCTGTCGGTCCTGCGTCTGTTTGCTTCTCAATGCGGTATCTTGATTTAACGACGCATTGGCAGGTCCAGGCCATTTGATTGGAGTTTCACAGCTCTTCTCGCTATTACCAGAAAATGCAGAGTCTCTGAAGGCTCCAGGACTCAGAAGCGGCTGAGCTGGTAACGATCTTGATAGTTCATAAGATTCACTATCATCCTGAATGGGTGATTTGCGATGTGGCGAGGAAGGCAGTGAACCGGGAACGGCAAGCGGCAGCGTTTTCACTTGGTCAAACGTAGGTTGTAGATGGGGACGGCTCCGTTGCGAGGGGGTTTCGTTTCTTGGTTTGGAAAATGTGGATTCTGTCCCAAGTGGCAGCATGCGGTTCCCGACATCATATGGAGAGGGGGAGTACAGAACGGCTGGTGGATTACCGATGGCCCCAACACCCGTCATATTTTCTATTCCACTGGATATCGTACTGGGGAGGTTAGCACGATGAACAGGCGGGCTTGGTTCATGATCCTGAATCTCAGTGTCATGCACTGCTGAAATGGGAATCTGGGCTCGCGGAGCAGGTTTACGGAGCAGGTGGGCTTGAGGTGTAGGTTGTTCCGTTCGATTAGAGGGCAGAGAAGCGGGCTCGGTAGCGTGCTTTCGGTGCTGTATTTGTGGTCTGCGACTTCCGGTCGTTATCTCGACTCCCAGGCCTCTGCTTTCGACCAAGGAGTCATCTAGAGCGGCATGATCCAGCATCTCAGGAAGTGCTGGGTCTTCTGGTGGTGCTGGACCTGTGAAAATCCACAAATCTTTCACTCTTGAACGACTTGTGAGTGATATCGAAGCAAGAAGTGAAAAGGAGTGCATGTCAAGTGACGTTAGTAGCGAGAGTATGTGGCGAAGGGAATCTTCCGCAAAGGTATCCTGTTGAAACCCTGGTCGGTGTGAGTAGCGAATCTGATTGTGAAAGTGATACCCACATTTGTATCCTTTCAATTTGAACTCGAATGAGTTATCACCTACACTTTTCTCCGAAACGACGCCTCGAGGCCAAGACCCCCGAACAGCCTGCAAAATTGCAGGTGTAAGATGAAGGGGTGGGGAAATGACCCGCAACAACGTTGCAGAAGTAAAAGATAATGCAAATGGCACTCTCTTATCTTTAGAGCGCTCATAAATGTGGCTTGTAGACACATCAGGAAATGGAGAGGATGGAGTTGGCGGAGACCGAGCTAAAGCCAGCGGTGAAGACATTGGCTTTGAAAATGCCATTGCAAGCCGATCATCGTGCTCCCTTCCATAATCAATGGTCGACAAGTAGCTGTAGCCACACTTATATATGACGGCCAAGATATCAAGCAGAAGTTTCTCAGTAGTGATTGCCTTAGGATACGCCCAAGGCTTTCCGTCCAAAGAAAATTCGAAGAATTTGTTTTCAGTATCCTCACGGGAAGCAAGGATTATGCCACGCTCCTCGAAGAGGTGACGAAAAGCATGTATAGCGGCAGGTGCAAAAGAATACAGACGAATTGAATTTGAGCTCGATAGGGCCAGAAGTGCAAAGTAATTCGGGTTGGTGGGTTGGTCTCTGATAAACTCCTTCCTAGGAACAAATCCCGATTCTGGGAGAGAGGGCGAGGACATAGACAGCATACCGGACGTGCTAGATAAGATGATTAAGAAGCATGAGGATATTCTAAATGGCCGTTCAGCAATTAACAAATGAGGTTGAGTGACTTGCAAACCTTTATGTAGAGTAGGTAGAAGTACAAGTACAACGAACGGAGAAGTGGAGTAGAGTGGTGTGGAAAAAAGCTACTTGTGAATGAACAGAATTGGGAAAGAGAGCATGTCAGAAACCTGCTGACGTCTGAGCCCCACATGGCTTATGCAAGGCGCGGCATTGTATATCGGTCCGATGAGTCTTTCGGTCCGGTTCTCCCGCGTTTAAAACCTTCACCATTTCTCCCCTCCCCCCATCTCATCTCAACTACATCCCCCCCCACATTTCTAACATGTCTACCGATCTTTCTAAGCTCAATGTCCTCATGTGTACGTCTTTTCTAAACACCAGCTTACCATCTCATCCATTCTCTACCAGGTGGCACGGTAAGTCCTATGACCCCTATTCAGGAGATTGGGCGTTGAGCACGTAACAACCAAGGGTGAATATACCACAGGGTGGACTGGTGCTGGTGCTTCAAAATCAGACAAAAAGGTTGACTCTATCTATCCTCGGCGAGACTTGAGCTGATCATCCCCGCCAGATTGGGGTAGATTTCGTGCTCCATTCCCAAAACTTTCTGCTCATTGCTAAGCTTCCAGGTTGTCGGACTCACCCTTTTTGATCTTAAAAGGCTGGGGAAGGTACATTCATGCTTTCCCGCACGAAAATTCGTTGATTTCTGTTCAGGTAGACCACCTTGGGATGGTTGGTGTTAACGGCGGGAAGTTTCCCGCCATCAGAAAGCATCTCACTGAGAACATTGGTGGCGCCTATAAAGATATGGATGTCTCGTAGGTTTTTTTTTGTTTGTTTTCCTTGGCTGTTGGGTGACCGAATTTCACAGCTTTGAGGAATTTCCCAAGGACGGCAAAGTTGACCCAGAAGCTTGTACGTCGCGATTCACCTTCTACCCATTGTTCATTTAGTTACGTCTGACCAGATAAAGCTGCCATTGATCAGATGAAGCCGGGGGATGCGGCCATCATCTTTACCCCTGATAGTACGCAGAGAAATTTCCAGCAGGTGGCCGTCCTGACAAGTCTTTTGTTACAGGTACCCACTACCCTATTGCCATTTATGCCATTGAGCGCGGTATACATGTTTTACTCACTAAACCAGCCACCCAAAAGCTGGCCGACCACACCGCCCTCATCGAAGCTGCCAAGAAGCACAACGTCGTGTGTTTCGTAGAGCATCACAAACGGCAAGACTTGTTTTTATGAAAGTTCAAGTTGACGTCGTTGACTTACACTTTCATGGCAGCTTCGATCCCGCTTACAGTGATGCCAAGGCGCGGGCGCAAACCCTGGGCGAATTCAATTTCTTTAACGCATGGATGAGCCAACCAAAGAGTCAGCTCGAGACTTTCCGAGCTTGGGCTGGCAAGGATTCGGATATCAGGTCAGGCTTCATAGAATCTCACAGGTTACGCACGCTGGAACATTAGCAAACAGTTACTACTTATCTTCGCATCATATCGATATTTGCTGCTGGATCCTGCAGGACATTGCAGTACCCACCCGCGTTGTCGCGAGTGCTGCGACCGGAATCGCAACAAGCGAGCCGTATAACTGTGTCCCACAGACGGAAGACACGATCACACTCCTGGTCGACTGGCAGTCGATCAAGAGCCAGACTCATCGTGGTACTGCAGTGTACACAGCTAGCTGGACAGCTCCACTCAAGGCCGGAGTGCACTCAGCGCAACAGTGGTACTATATGGCGGAGAAGGTCGGAGTGCTTGCATTTGTAATTTGGCTAGATAACTCAATCCGCCCTTGTAGGGAGACATTACTGTCGACCAAGCGCATCGGGGCTATGACATCACTAACGACGAGACAGGAAAAACATGGTACAATCCATTCTAGTGCGTCCTTTCTCCCTTTGCTGTTGAAGATCATGCTTATGCCTTCCCAACAGTATGAAATACTCGCCGTCGGAGACGGGGCATTTCGACGGGCAGCGTGGATATGGATACATTTCGATCGAGAAGTTTGTCGATGCTGCACGTAGTGTAAACGCGGGCCTGGCGCAACCCTCCGAGTACGACAACCACGGCCTTCCAACCATAGCTAACACTGTGTTGACGACTGCTATTTTGAATGCTGGCCGAATCAGCTTGGACGAGAAGAGACCCGTCGCTATCAAGAATGAGGGGGGGCAGTGGATCTTGGAGTAGAACTTCGACACAGATAATTTCAAAGATCGTGGCTACAGCTGCATTGTATTGACAGCGGTTGCATGACCACTTGTATGTTTATCAGATTTGGGTTATCTTTTGTGCTAGTGAACAGCGATGGCAACAAAAGTCCTTAAGGATCGGAGGTGGTGAGGGATGTATGGACGACAACGGGATGTATGTATGACACAACGGTTTTGCAACGATTTGAGACACAAAATAAAGACAGTAACGTGGAAGAAAATGCCTGAAAGTACCAGTTGGATACGGTGATGGAGTGAAAGGAGTACCAAAAAAGGGATGCTGATGGTCGTTGGCACCGCAGGCGGGGTGGGATGAAAAGAAAGTATACGATAAAATGAAGAATAAAATATACTTTATAGTGAAAACGCCAAAGTGGGCGTGGGCTGCCCATCGTGGTGGGAAGAAAATATGCGCGTTGTTAAGAATGAGTGATTGAATAAAGAAAGGGAAACGATGCGAGTGGCAGATGCATAGGTTGGCGGGAGCGGAACGAGTGTAAGAGTCGCACTATGAATGTATCTACGACTGGGGGGGGGGTGTCGAATGACTCCAAGAGAAGAGCCAGACAGGAGAAAAAGAGGGAGGGCGGTTCATGACTGAAAGGCAGATAAAATAAAACTGTCTCTTCTTTGCTACATCAAGAATGATCACGAGAGATTCGAGATTCACGAGTGACGCAGATGACCCAACCTTTCGCCCGAAATCCCCTGTAGGCCTTGAGGTAGGTGGTAAGCCTCGCCGGATATAAGAGTGCGGATGATGAGATTCAAACAATTGCAAGGGAAAGTGATGGATGCATGGTGGTTGAGTTGCAGAGAAATGTGCGAGAGAATTGTCGATGCGACGTGTAGTAGTAGTACATTTTGCGGGATTGTTTGCGTCTTGGACAGAGAACAGAAGTTGAAGTGACAGATATACGACGGAGATCGCAAGTTACCATTATGATATCAATGCCGTTCGGGGAGAGGAGATGTTCAGGTTATGCAGGGCTGGACGACCAAACGCAACAAAGTCATGCGGCAGGAATTGTTCTGGAGGGGTTTCCACTCTGTGCTTGTTTAGTACAGGTTCAAACGACGAAGGCACGTTTTCCTTGTCGTCGGACGAGTAGGAGCTCGAGAACTGATCACTAGGCAATGCCGGTGTCGTTGGCGTCAATGGCATATCATCTGACATATCGGAAACAGATGTCGTTGAACTCATCGGCGTGCTCACAGCAGAAACTGAATTCCGCTTGGGAGTGACAGGAAGAGAAGCTAGGGTGTGGCGAACGAAGCGGCCACCCTGCAAATAGTGTTGAACAACGAATGTAGCAGCTTTCGAATAGAAGGCGTATGAATACTTCTTGACAAGCGTTTCGGAGAGATCGTTGACGTGCATAGCCAAGCGGTTATCAAGGTATTCAACAACCTCGATACATTCTTCGTTTTCTTCCCAAACCCGACGAGGTTTACCGCAGAGATACCTCGCCAAAGTGAGGGCTGCCAAGGCGATTGTTGACGGAGAGTATTTGACAAATTCACGATAGAAGAGAGTTATCTCCATCAAGAAACGAGCGACGTGCTGTACCTTCGCTTCCTCCATACACGGACCGCAACACATAAGTCGGAGCCACGCTTCAGCAGTAGGGTGCCCCAGAGTCCATTGAATAGTTGACAGGACATGTCCTTCCATCTGGATGAATGCAGATTCCTCGTATGTATCCCGACATATCTGCGCAAGATCCTGCACCGTAGGTACGCGCTCCTTGGCATCTTCGAACTTGGCTGCAATCCATAGAGCAGCGCAGCCTACTAGCTGATAGTGTTTAATGTAGACAATGCGTCGTGAGACGTAGCGATCCACAATGTTGAGTGTGAGGTAGAGAGTTTCTGGTCGCAATCGGAAGGTGAAGTGGATTTCAACAAGGAAATCAACAAGACACGGTCGCATGTGCCACCTGATCTCCGGCTGCTGATCCATTGATTGTGTTGATGACATTGTAAATCTCTACATATCCAAAAGAAAATTAGCAGGTTTTTGATGGGCCATGGTGACACTAAGCTGACCTCCATATCGTGCATATAATGCCGAATCTCCTCGCGATACTCTTCTTCAAGATAGACGCCCTCCCTACGAAGGGCTTGAATCTGCGCTCCGCGTTGACGTTGCTGGAGAAGAGCAGCTTTGGCGGAACGAGGAGTTCGGCGGGCAGGGGCATTTGCAGGGAGTAGAGGAGATTTATGAGACTTTGATATACCATGGGGAGAGGGCTTTTTCTTGGGATAGATGAGGGAATTGCGAGAATGTCTGTTGGAGGCGGCAGAGACGTCTTTCATGTCGAGAGGATCTACGGGGGTCGAGGAAACGATTGATTTTGGACTAGATAAATTGGGCGGGGAAGGGGAATCAAAGTCAGAGATGCAAAAGGACATTTGGAAAGACATGGGGGGGGAGAACGCATTGTTGAAGCGGCGTGGTTTACACCAATGGACCAAACAACACGAGGACAAATATGCGAATACGAGTGGCACAGACGAAAGAGAAGAGTACTCACGGAAGAGATGAAATTGACGGTCAATGAAGTCGACGGTATCAAGATTGTGATGTCGAGCTGTTTACTTGCTCCACAAAAAAAGCGACAACAACGATGGAACGTGTGTCAACTGGAGTGTGATTAGCAGGCAACAGCGTCTAAAGAATGGCAAAGGTCGTGGTCAGCGTTGCAGGTCGTGAGCTGCGAGCAGCAAAAGTCGGGGAAGAGGCCCAAAGAGGGCACCGTCGTCGCAGAGTGGGATGAGCTCGACGACGAGGTGAAGAAAAAGGACAAGGATGAATATAAAAGCGTAAAGGTGTGATCTGTCACGCTGCTGCTTATCACCACCCAATCAGGCCACAGTGTCACACGTAAATAATCACCATCATTGCAATCAACCTGCAATTATGTCCAGCCTCATGCCCACCAGTACACACAGTCCCCGACAGCAACATCCGCGAGCAACCGGTGCCAGTCCAATCCATTTCATTCCAGCATGGACTCGAGAATGGATTCACAGCTCACTGACCCGCTCCGGCGCCCGAGATGGAAATTGATATGACGTAGAAGCGAATGAAACACACCTTGAACAACGTTGTGAGAAAAATTAATGCTGCCTTGTCTCTGTTCTTCCATCCATCAGAATCATTGCATACTAGAGAGCATCGATGCTTCTCACCAGTGATGCAAGTTGAGTTGAGCTTGTGAGACCTGTATACGACTGCAAATAATCAGCCTCGATTCTGCCACGAGACAAGGACGAGAAACATACAAAGCAAAAAGACGGTTAGCTCCTTTGTTGGGGGGACGATATTAAAGACTGAATAATTACTTGGAGTATGGCTGGAAGGCTGGGGGAACAAATGAATGACTGGGGTGAGTTGAAAATCAAGCAGTGGTCGCTACGTCGGGGACACAAAGGCGTGAAGCCGTGGAAGCGCTCGAAACAAACCGAGAGAATCCGAGGAGGCTACGTTGAGCTCTGCAGCTGGACGACTGGATTGCACGAACGAGCCGTATGGGTGGAGAAATAGTTGTGTCGAATGAACAACAGGCAACTTTTCAAGGATAAGGACAAAGGGCAGGCGATGCGTACAAGGCGTGTGCCGCTTATCCTATAACTTCGGCCATAATTCGATCCTGTTTTGATTCAAGTACACCACGTTTCCTGCCTGCAGGCGAGGAATGACAGGATTCACTCTGCCTTGGCTGCTTATGTCATCCACTTACCTCAATTAGTTGTCAGTTCTCTGTTCAAATGGGCTTATCAATTTGGCAGGCAGGCACGTAAAGGATGAATATCGATGGATCTTTCAAGATCATTCAAGGGACTCGAGACGTATCTACTTTTCTTCCGACATAAAGGCGATCTGTCCTTGTATATTTTGTTGCAAATATGCATGTCGCTGTTGTTTCAAGGCCGCACCCTGAAGCCCACCGGCGTGCAAGCGCCCGAATTCGATTGCCCTCTGAATAACTCTTCCATCAGTCAATTCCATCATTTTCATGAAGGCTACCCTGCTCCAGCTACCTTGCCTCGACATAAGTACCGACCGATCTACACACTTTGGCGCTTCTCAAAATTTAGTGAGGAGGCGGGGCTCTTGTACTCGCACTGAACTCAGCGATAATGACAAATCATCTTGCACGGGCGTGTGTGTATTTTGAATTCTATCCAAGTGCGTGAGCGTTTTCTGAAGTTTGTGGGTGATTTTCGGCGATAATGCATGGCGTAAGTAGGTGGCGATAAAATGTACACAGGTAATTTCGCTCTTCGTCGCCGCCATCAGCCGCTGGTGTGCTTCGGACCTGACATTACTTATTTATCTCCTGCATCGTAACCAGGAACGGACGTTTGGTGGAGGGTGTAAGTACGTACCATTTCCTCGAGCTCGAAGCCTAGACTCCTCACATAAGAAAATTCCTTTCCGTGCTCGACTATTAGCACCTGCTAATTTCTTTCTATTGCATCCATATTCAAGTCATGGGAGATTTACCGAGAAGCGGATGCTGTTCTAGTGGCGCGCAGGGACTCGGACAACGGCCCACGCCTTCACCAATCCCGATCACTCTATTTCGAAGAGACACTTCGGTTTCCTGGAGTGTCACCGTGATCAGTGCGCCGACATAAGGGTACCGTTGGCATTGCATTCTGCAATGGAAGACGCGCAGACATCTTGTTTATACTAGTAGTGAACAATGTCAAGTTTGCTGGGCTTCTGTCAGAAAAAACTTTTTGGCCTTACAATAGTTTTTTCCGACATCGGCATGGTCGCGACTCCCAAGAACTCAGTCACTCTTGATATGGAGAGTTGGGTTCAGATCCAGAGAACGTCGACGGTCGACCTACCTATCGTCTTGTGATTAGTTTATGCATATCGTGAAAGAGTGCATTCCCAACTGAATATATTGTCAAGGGAAAGGTGATCGAACGGAGACTTATTCTCAGGGATATCCTGGACAAGTGGTACAGAATATCAAGTGTATCTTATTTCAAGTGACGCTTAGGCAGAAGAGTTATGAACGGAAGATTATCGGAGCTGCGAGGGAGGGAAACGAATATTGATGATTGACGGAAGAGAGATTTCTTCATGAAGAGAAGGTAACAGCTCCTCGCTCGGGCGATAACGACCTCAATGCTCGTCAGTCTCTGTGAGACCCACTCAAGAGTAACGCCATCAAATCATTGGGGCCAGGATGCCCTTGCTGTTGGAGGTGAGGGGGAAGAAGGTGCGGCATCATATGAGGAAGCAGATGAGGTTGTTGTTGTGGGCGCATTCCCAGGTGAGGACCTTGCAGCTGTGCACTAGGGCCTTGTTGAGGCAGAAACCCGGGGTTAACTCCGCGAGTACCGATATTATTTCCCAAAAGACTTTGGTTCGCCAAGCGAGGATCAATATTGCTGGCATGTGGATGGAGAGTATTTGAGGTCTGGTGTCCTCCCGGAAAAGTTGCACGAATCTGTGGACCACCGAAACCAAGATTCCCGCCCGAAGTGAAATTATTGAACGAGGGCTGATGGGGAGACGGACCATTGGTGTGGATGTTATTGTGAAGGCCCGCACCGGAGATACCAGGAATACCAAGGAATTGAGAAGGCTCGTGTGGCGGACGCCCACCCAAATTAGCCAACCCAGGAGGTAGCCGTTGCTGATGATTACTCTGCAAAGCGTTTTGTTGATTTGTGTTTGGGGATGGGGCGCCTCGAAAATGGGGTTGCTGCAACGGCAATCCACTGCCTCTCCCGCTGTGTTGGTTATGAACAGACGGCGTTGGGACTGAGTACAAAGCCTCAAGCCCTCGCTGCTGGGCCAAACGCTGCAAATTGTACTGCATGGCCTCGTCAATTGCTTCGGGGAACGGCCCTCCGTTATCACGACCTCGAGAGGGTGGAGGTGCTGGTCGAAGGCCAGGCACCATTCCGTCAGGCACAAAATTACGATCATCCAGACGACTTTCGTATAGAGGTTCCATACGATTATTGGGCTGAAGCTGTTGTTGGTGCTGATGTTGTTGAATTAGGTGTATGTTGTTCTGTCCCTGGGGATTAAACTGAACGTTGGGGGGTATGTTTGATAGCGAGATAGGGTGATTGATAGCCCCTCCTCCATGAGCCTAAATGTCACGTATTGGCCAAAAACAGAAACGTCAAAGGTGGCTCTGCTTACCTGGGATGAGTTGCTTAGCATTGCAAAAAGGTCATCCATCGTTCTGGGGTCATTGTGATTGCCATGCAAACCATTGAAACCACTTTGGTCCTGCCTCTGACCGAGACTTGGGGATGGTGATAAAAAGCCGGTCGGCGTCTGTGGTTTGGTCTGGGTTGCGGAGGGATCTCGTCCTTTGCCGTCAAAGAATTTGGCAAATCGACTGCCCTTGGCCGAAACATATCCATTTGCATTAGACTCAGTGGGTGTATGCTCGAATTGGGGAGCAAAGGAAGGACGATCTCTGTGAGGAATATCGGGAAAGTTTGTAGAGTTCCCTGGGTGCCGGCCTTCGTCTATGAGATATGTTTGGCGGCTTTGATTTTCGAAAGGCGAGAAGCCAGATGTAGCTCTAGGCTGCTCGTGCTTCAGAAATCCTTGGCGGGAAATATGATCTGCTTCGGGAGATTGCACAGTGCCTGTCAAAAAAGGGTAGAGATGCAAATTCCTATATAAATGCAAGCGTAACATACCGTTCTGGGGCTGGCCGTTGCCAATTTGGCCAAGTGTTGCAGGAGATTTGGCCGCCGTACGAGCAAACGCGAGAAGACGAGAGCCAGCAGGAGGATTGAAAGCAGGTTGGGAAGCTTCGGACAAGCGTTGCTCTGTGTTAACGAGGCTATCTGGCTGGACAGGTGCAACGTTCAGCTGGTTAGAGGGAATCTCCTCGGTGCTTGTAAACGTCTGGGACTGATGGATGACATCAGACTTGATTGTCGGAGGACCAGTTTGATGGGAAGCAGCACGGGACGGAAGTGTAAGCCGAGGCTGCTGTGCATCAGCTTTATCTTGACCTTCCGCAGTGGGAGCTACGGAGTAAAAAAAAGACCAATTAGTTTGAAGAAAACCTTGATAAGAACAAAAAGTGCCTTCTGCGGATGTTGAAGCCGGTAGGTCATTTGTTCCGCTATCTGTTTGTGTTCTCTTGCTTTCCTCCCTCTTCATCATCAACTTGAATAACTGAATTTCATCCAGCTGTTTCTCAGCCGCCTCTGGAGCCGCCGATACGTTCTCTTGTTCAAGAAAGCCCGAAGATGCCTTTTCCTGCTCTTCCTTCTCCTTCATACCCCTCTTCCAAGCCTGTATCCCGTCGAGCTCGCCGGCGTCTCCCTTGCCACCAAGTATGCCTGGTCCTGTTTCGCTGGGAACATAGGTATCCATCCAGGCAGGCTCTTTCTCTCGATCTCGGCCCCCCCGGTCCTCTCTTTCTTTGGCGTCTTCCCGTTTGTCGCGCATTGGTTGTCGTTTATAACGTCCATCTCTATCTTCACCTGCAGTCCAACGACGATCACTTGATCCACCCTGTTCATGAACGGGTTTATCACGTGCGCGGTCCCGATCACGTTCGCCTCGTTTGGCCGCCATCCTCTCATCGCGTTTGCCATCATCCCGCCAGCGACGGGGATCATCATCAAAATCTTTCTCTAAATCTCTGTCGCGTCCATTATCCTCCTTCTCTCGCCGTGGGTCATCTCGACCACGGTCCGCTCGTGACCCTCTTTCCCGCCCATCCTCACGGTCTCGCTGCTCTTTTGCAGAGATAGAGGGATCGCGCCTAATCCTTGAAGAGTCGCGAGGCCGAGAACGAGCGCGTTCGTCGCGTTCCTTGCGGCTAGTATCGGACCCTTGAAAGTTGGTCAGCAATGGTGTTTCAATTTGATTACATGTTCGACTCACGATCTTCTCGAGCATTGCGTGGAGGCTCAGCACCTGCGAACAAGACGTTCAGACTTCAATTAGCATACAGGTCAAATAAATGGACTATCGAATCTACCTCTTCTCCAGTCTTCGCTTGCTTCGCCAATTTTCTTTTTGGCAGCTTCCCTGATTTCCGCACGTCGAGAAGCGGAATTTGAAGACTGCGGTTGGGTGGTTGCCCTGTTCGAGGCTGTGGCAACCAAGTGTGGTGCCGTATCTCTTTCTTTACCCCTAGAATTGGACATAGGAAGAGCAAGCCGATCTCTGTCATATTTATCTGATAGCTGCACAGAGTTCAGTAGTGTATCACCTTGCACGGGAGTAAGCAACGAACATGCCGCAGACGTTCATGACCATCCTTCTCTCTCTCTCGTTCTTTCTCTCCATCTTTTTCGCGGTCCTTGTCTCTGTCGCGAAGTGACTGGTGCTTGAAGTTACCCATCTGCGAAGGCTGAGAAAGTGTTGAACGAAAAGACGGTCGAGAAGAGGCATCTAGGAAACGAGAGGTGTGAGTGACGAAAATCAGAGAGGGGGAAGGGAATAGAAACCTCCATCCTCTTGAAGGTCACGTTTGAAACTGACAAGATAAATTATAAGCGTGGCCAAAGAAAAGTAATTCAAAGCTACCGTCGTTCTCTTGCCGTAGCAGAAGTTGGGGGCTCTGATTCCTTCTTGGAAAGCATTTGCTCATTTTCAGAGCTGAAAGATGGATGTTTAGAGGAGAAAGAAAGAAAGAAAGTTCCAAATACAAACCCAAACCAATGCTTCAGCTCAGGCATGTTTGGTGGAAGTTTGACGAGTGGAGAGCTGTGGAGGGCGAGCAGCTGAGGACGGGTGTATATTCGGATTTGAGATTTTGGGTGGGACTGAGGGGGATTTGTGGGTTCATTGGGGAGAAGGTGTAAGATTTTGGGAGAAGGTGGAGTGGACATGATGATGGTTTGGTTGCAAAGCAGGTGTGGCAAATGTAGTGGTGGCAAAGGTATGTAGTGGTGGTAACAGTCTCGTAACATTCAAGTTGTAATTATTTACCTGATATTCTTTTTCTCTCATGTCCCTCCCCACCCTCAAGCATTTCATCCTCAAACAGCAGGTCCTCAATCTATATCGCTGCATCTTACGCGCCTCTCGCTGTGTGTCGCTCGCTCTACATCCTTGCTTATCTGCTCAATGCCTTTTCAGCTCTTCCAGATCCCGTGACGAGGAGAGAGACCGTTGCTTGGGTCCGGAGTGAATTTGAGCGGAACAGACACTTGACTGATGTCGTATGTCCTCTTCTTCTTAGCAAAACATTTTCTCATACGGCTCCTCAGCTATTAATACAGGATAAACTCACATTGGCTCGCCGTGAAATGCGTCAAATTCTTCCTCAGTTGCGCTGAGCCCCATGTGATCGGCAACTCGCTCCGTATTTAAAGCGGGTCTTCTTAGATCCCTAATTGATACCTTTCCTCGCAACCGCGCACTCAGTCATCAGACCTAATCTCGGCGTCTAAACATATACTCCCCTCTTCTTCAAGACGACGTCCTTGCTCTTCATTCATGGAGGTGTTCATGCGTAACATTAATTTTCTTTCCAACCAAGTCGAGATTGTACACCAATTAGCCCAAGTTCTCCATGGTCCTGATTTTGCAGAACACAATAGTCTTGCACGTTTCAACTTTCATGTCCATCTCCACAGAGATAAACGGGGTATTAGAGCCCATGGTGGTACAGGATCTCTGACCTTGCCCACGCGAGAATGCGGAAATCTGTTTCTATCCCTATTCGGTACACCGACAAGGAAAACATTTGCTCTGAGAAATAAAAGGGTCACTTTCCAAGCTAGCCGAAATCCTTCTGGTCGTGCGGATGTTCTTGAGAGTATACGACTTCTTCCTTACGTGGATCCGCGAGTTATCCAGGAAAAGGAGCGGCGGGCCGCTCAGCTAAATGCGTCCAGGGTATCCATCCGGGTATTGCAGTTTGGATGGGAGTGCAGGGATGACGCATTCTCTATCGAATCGGAGACGCAGTGTGCAGGGCGATGCGGACTTTTCTTTGACGATGAACGGAGGGAACTTCGTATAAAGCTCCGTCAAAGCTCTGACACCTATGTCATCGCAATACGATTCTCTCAACTCCTTGCAATCTCAGCTCATACATATCTATCGGAAACTCCAGTAATTTTCCTTTCCCTCAACCAACCTCCAACCTACGAATGTGAAGGAACTGGAGGAAGCTTTCGTCAACGTCTCTCCTTTCTTCCAATCCTCGACCATGAGCGAGTTGCCCCATACGCTTCACTTGCAATCCGCCTTATCTGCGCCTCTTTCGATGACCTACAAAAATTCCGCGACCTGAGCCTCGTTGCCCAACTTCATAACATTCAAGACTACGAGTGTCCGGTTGTTCGTCGTGGCCTTTTTTCACAGGTGGCGATGGATGAGTTGCAGGACTGGCAAAGGCGATTTGATTGGTCTGTGTCCTTCCAAATTGAAGCTATTCTGAGAAGCATGGGTGTTGATGCGAGGGAACTGCTTGATCTCATGCCAGAGGTCAGGCGAGTCATTAGAGCGAACGGGAAGGAATACGCCGCCGGACTACTTCGTTATTTTGCACCCCGCGCTAGGGCATTATTTCGGAACCCCGTCGAAGAATATGAAGGTGATCAAGGTGTCACCCAATGCTTTCTCTCTTCAGAAATAGAGTATGAGAAGCAAAAGAATCTTCCTTCCCTAAAACCTACAGAAGGAAGTTTGTATGAGGCACTCCATGTTATCATTACGCCAACCACAATGTTTTTGGAGGGGCCATTTCCCGAGCGCTCAAACCGAATCGTACGCTCGTTCGATGCTATTCATCAGGAATCTTTTTTGCGTGTTAGCTTTGTCGACGAGGGGCGCTTGCAGTATCGTTTTGATAGAGAAGTTGATGGACCGGCCTTCATTCGGGCTCGAGTAGGCCCATTCTTGCTTCAAGGGCTCACGATCGCGCGAAGAACGTTCTATTTTCTTGCGTATTCTCAGTCGGCATTGAAGGAACATGCAGTTTGGTAAGTTGAAATAACCTCTTGAGCAACGAAGTTGATTTTCGCAAAGGTTTGTGAAGCCCTTCCGCGACAGCCAACAAGGCCTGGTTACAGCGGAAACTATCATCCAAAAAATAGGAACCTTTGAAAACCTCGAGTTCGATCCCAAACTTATATATTGTCCAGCTCGATATGCCGCAAGGTTGTCTCAAGCATTCACTGCCACGGACGCGTCGGTGTCAGTTGAGGTCGAGGAGATTTTTCATATCCCCGACATAGCCACCACGGACCAAAAGTATGTCTTCACTGATGGAGTTGGGACCATATCAAAGGAAATGGCCCGTGAGATGTGGTTACAATTGACGGCTTCAACACGGCGAAAGCGGGGTCGTCGGAGGGACTTCCCTCGAGCATTTCAAGTGCGCTTTATGGGATCAAAGGGTATGTTGTCCGTAGACCACGGTCTTCAAGGACGTGCGGTCTGTTTGAGACCGTCGATGATTAAATTTGAGGCGCCGGAGTCCAGGGAGATGGAAATAGCGCGGGCTTTTGACCGACCTGGACCTTACTTTCTAAATCGACCACTAATTATGCTCCTGGAAGGTCTTGGGGTTCCTTATGAGGTCTTCGAAAGCTATCAGGATCAAGCTGTAAAGGAGACCCACAGTTCCACGGAGTGTCTTGCGAAGGCCGCCAAGTTGCTTGAAAGTTATGGCCTTGGAACGTCGTTCCGACTGCCATCTGTGTTGCACAACTTGGAGAAGATTGGGATTGATAGTCTGCCAGGCAATAAATTTTACGACAAGATGTTGGAATACGCAATCAACCATATCCTCCGACTCCTCAAGAACCATGCACGGATTCCAATCCCAGGCGCCTGGACATTGGTTGGAGTGGCAGATGTACATAAGTTCCTTCAGCCAGGTCAAATTTTTGCTTGCATCAAACCCATCACTGGTGGGACCCTTTACCTTGAAGGACAAGTCCTGGTGTCCCGATCCCCCACAATACATCCTGGAGATGTTCAGCTTGCAACAGCAATAGGAAGACCTCCCCTTGGTTCTTGCTTCGAGAAGGAGTCCTTGGCCAACACTGTGGTTTTCAGTATCTTAGGTGAAACATTCACCCTTTGTTGTCATTCTTGCATCATTGACTTCACAGTGCACAGGAGAGAGGCCATTGTCAACTTGTCTAGGTGGTGGTGACTTAGACGGCGACGTGTATAACCTGGTTCCTTTGGATGGACCACTTGCGGATTTTCAAATATCTCCTCGCGAACCTGCATCGTATAATCCAGCTCCTAAAAACCTCTTGGATCGACCTAGCACTATGGCGGACGTCGCAGAGTTTGTTATGCAATACATCAATTCTGATGTACGGGTCCAGTTTTTTCTCAATAATGATTACTCACCTCGAATATCTTTGATTAGGTCGTCGGAATCATTGCAATCAACTGGTTAATCATCGCGGATCAGAGCCCGCAAGGTATCCACGACCGGGATTGCATCGAGCTGGCGAACCTACATAGCGACGCAGTAGATTATCCCAAATCTGGTCAGCCCGTAGCATTGGACAAAATCCCAAAGCTCAAGCACCGCATGAAGCCTGACTGGAATGCCCCAGAGACAATCAATCCGGACTCAGGTAACTTTTATCCTAGTCAACGCGCAATCGGACGTCTCTTCCGAGCTATCGAACTTCCCGCCGACCACCAAATAAGAGATCAACCCCGTAGACAACGGCGGACGGCCAGGCGAAATAACAGGAGAGCCGCCGAGACCCTACCAGACCTCACAGATTTGAATCTGGGCGATGATGATCCACTCCTGATTGCTGTCGAAGAGCGCGTGGGAGATTTTATCGATCCCGAAGAACCTTGGGTGGAGGAAATGTGGAACTATACAAACGATCTTTTCAGTCGGTACTCATCAGAGTTGCAGATGATTTGTGCCGCCAACACGCTCTCTCATGCTCGAACTGCCCATCTCTCTGAGGAGGAAGCCATCATCGGGACAATCATTCAGAAGAGCTCACAACCGCGCAAGCGTAAAGACCTGATGTCAAAGTTGAGGGAGCAAACGGATGTTCTGATCCGTGGTATCAGAGAGGAATGGTCTCCGGAGGATGACGACACACCCCTTGAAGATTGCTTGGAAAAGGTTTGGCTGGCATGGAACCTGTCTCTGTCAAAAGGCAAGGTCTTTGGGGCACAAAGTTTTGGTTGGGTGGCACTTGGAGCCATTTTTGAAGTGATTCGGCAAATTGAAGAGCGTATCATGGAAGAGTCGCGTAACAGATTCTACTAAAAAGTGTAGATACAGCGCTGATGCTAGAGGACACAAAGTCGCAGAGCGACCGGGGAAATACAAACAATGGGAATCCCATTATGCCTGATTGCGTAGAACTGAAATGGGGATTAGTTTAAAAGTCTCAAGAGGCATGGTCTGCTAACTTAGAATTACGGAATCACCCCTACGAAAGGAGAAAATTAAGATGAGCAAAGTTGTTCTGGCAAAGAACCATACCGAAGGAACATCTTGCTGATGAAACGATCTTTGTTCACGGGTTTCTTGTTCTTCCCCTTTGGCACCTCTGTCCACATCTGAACTAAAATATTAGCACCGACTTTTCATGAATCTAGCAACGGACAGACCTCTTTCACATTTTCTAGGACCTGGAAAAGTTTAAGTATATGGAAACATCGCAAGGGGGACATTTACCATGTTGCTATGCCTATCGAAAGCTTTCACACGAGCCAACAGTTTCTTGTTGTTTCGAAGAGATATGAGCACTTGCGCGTGGTTCCGCACAGCCTGCTGTAGGACTGACAATGGCCCTTGAGAGATCTCGTGTTCTTCTAGTTGTCGCAACTGTGCTTCGTCCAATTCGGACTTGGGGACATGAACGTATTGACTGGAAAGATTGGAGTGCACTGTCAGCTAATTCCAAATAAACATTCAACAGAATCAACCTCATTTTCGTATGTTGGCGAAGAGCACAATCACAATCTTGAGCAAGATGAACGAAAGTAACTTTTGTTTGGTCCAGCACGAGTAGCCAAATAGATTCAGAAACTTTCACGACCTTGATCATTGCTTAACCACAACGATGGGTCGTCTAAAGCAGAAGGGTAAGGCAGGTGCTGCTAAAAATTATGTTACTCGTACTTCTGCCATCAAGAAGCTGCAATGTTCACTGGCTGATTTTCGCCGTCTATGCATTCTGAAAGGTGCGTCTCGATTTTCGTACAGTGTTTTTTGACGCTTGAACGACGCATTAGGGATATTCCCTCGCGAACCACGAAGCCGGAAGCGTGCAAACAAAGGGTCTTCAGCCCCAACGTCCTTCTACTATGCGAAAGATATTGCTTATCTTGCTCATGAGCCGGTCTTAAAGAAGCTACGAGAACACAAGGCATTTGCGAAAAAGCTCTCTCGGGCTCTTGGACGGGGGGAATGGAGTAGCGCTAAGAATTTGGAAGAAAACAAACCTATATATCGTCTCGATCATATCATTAAAGAACGGTACGTCTACTACCTCTTTTTCAAGTTGTCAAGGCTGATTATTTTAGCTATCCAACATTTATCGATGCTGTGCGAGATATAGATGACGCGCTCTGCATGGTTTTTCTCTTTGCCTCCCTCCCAACAACTACGCGCCTTCCACCAGAACTCATGGAGAACTGTTCCCGACTTGCGGCAGAATGGCAGTTGTACATCATGCGATCGCAATCACTTCGCAAAGTCTTTCTTTCGATCAAAGGCGTTTACTACCAAGCAGAAATCATGGATCAGACCGTCACATGGCTGGTGCCCTACCAGTTTACCCAAAACGTGCGTCTGACGATGTTCTTCCTGAAAACGCTTTTTGATCTGGTTTCAAGATCCCGGCGGATGTAGACGTTCGTGTAATGCTAACCTTCCTGGAATTATATCAGACACTCCTCGGCTTCATACTGTTCAAACTTTACACTGATGCGGGTCTTGTCTACCCCCCTCCACTGGATGCAAAAAAGGATGAAAGTGCTGCTGGTATCGGCGCGTTTAGCCTTCAGGACATCACTCAGCCTGCTGCTCAACCTTCGAGGGCCAAGGCGGTGGAACTCGACGGACGAAAAATCTCAACAAAAGATGTTCGCCAAACTATCAAAAATATCGAAGCGTCGCATAGTACGCATGACCCAGATGTGGAAATGTCAAATCCAGAAACGGCAACAACAGAAGTTGAAGAGGAATTTATTTCCCAAGCCTCGCTATCCAACCCAGGGGTTTCTGTTTCTACTGAACTTCCAACTCTACAGTTAATATCATCATTACCACAGTCCCTTTCAACTTCGCTCTTCTCGCCATATACCTTTTTCCTATCAAGGGAAGTGTCTCGGCCAATCTTCGAGTTCATGGTACGGAGTTTCGGTGGAAAAATAGGTTGGTCTGCCTCGTTTGGCAGCGGATCCCCTTTTGAGGAGACTGATGAGACAATCACTCATGTCATCATCGATAGACCATTGGTGGGGCGAGAAGAATCACCTTCTCAGCGCGAATTGAGACTTCGTAGGAAGTATGTTCAGCCCCAGTGGATAGTTGACTGCATAAATTCTGGCAAGATTTTGCTTGAGGGGCCTTATGGCCAAGGCAAAACGCTACCACCACATCTTAGCCCATTTGGCGAGTATGAAGGCGCGTACGATCCCGCTGCCGGCCCTCTAGGGCCTTCCGGTGTGGAGCAAGAATCAGAATCAGAGGCCGATGAGGTTAGCGAAGAAGATGAAGAGGATCAAGGTGGTCTTGTCCAAGCGGCCGTGGAGGCTGTGACCGGGGACCCCGTTGAGCTCCGAGCAGCTGAACTGGCGGCAGAAGCGGCTGGCGTTGATTACGGGACGTTTGAAGCCAAGGTCAAGAAATTGAATAAGAAACAGATGAAGAAACCTATCACGGATGGCGTCGAAGATGGAGAGAAGGACATGAACAAAATGATGATGAGCAACAAGCAAAAGAAACTGTACGAGAAGATGAAGTACAGCCAGAAGAAAAAGGAGATTGAGGTAAGTAAATTCGGTATAAGTTTAGACGCGGTACTTACGTCTTCCATAGCGGGTGACACTGACTACTAGGAAGAAGGATTTGCAGAAACAGAAAAAGCGGGACGTTCAGTCATAGATATGCAACTACGTCACATGTCATCGTAGTCACCTGTTACTTGTCATACAACTTTAGATACAACTTTGTTTGCCAACGACCAGTTTACGTCTCCTCTCGGCTGCCCCTCTCTTCCCCGCGTTCATTATACTCTCCTCAACACTGCTTACGCGTCGTCAACGCCGCTGGTGAATGCTGCGCATCGAACAACCTTGATGGGCGACCAGACCTCGTCCGCCTTTGACTATAAATCACCGGATTCAGTTCCACCTCCCCCATACCCTAATCACCTTGATTCTCCGTTAATTCTCGCAGAAACTAAAACGACCCGAACCAAAGTTGTCACCACAACAACTGAAACAACTACTCATTTGTTGTCTCTCCCGGTTTGGAAAAAGCGTGGTGTCGTTGACTTTCAGCCTGACGCATACCAACAACGTTCTGGCCTGTCCTCTCAATTCTCGTCGGCTGCTTCTTTCAAGATCAATAAGGCGCTTCCTCCTACACCACCGATCGAAAAAGATGATTCTGTGGTCTTAGCTGATCCAGTATCGTCGTTTTTTGTTGCTCAGCCCTCAACAATCGTTCATCCCTCACACTCAACGGCAGCATTGGCTCATGCGGCTCTGGGAATAGGACTTCCCCATGTGATTCCACTGGCCTCTACGTCTCGCTTGTCGTCGGAAGTCAATTCGATCGTCTTTGCGGCATCCCCTCCCCAGTCAAACGTTCGACTTTCTCCTAGCGTTCGGAGAGTAAAAAGCTCACAGAGGATTGGTGCAAAAGGCTCCGCAGGGACGCTGGCGTCTAGCGATAGCTCCCCAATCATCAACGAACGTAGAAGGTCACGCGGCTTGTCGTTTAGTGCGGTCTCATTCCTCTCTTTCACGAGTTCAGACGGCAAGGGCAAGGAGAAAGAAAAAGAGGGGGTTACACAAGATCCCTTGCATACACCCCCAAAGTCTTTATCCCGAAGATCCTCCTTTTGGACCCGTAAAAAAATACTTCCACTCACAAATCTCCCAACTTCACCGACACCTCGTGAAGCTGCTTCTCCTGTTCTTCCCTCTGTCTCTCACCAGTATCCTCATTGTTCGTCTTTAGAGTTGAATAACCATCTTCCAAAGTCGTCAACACCTCCTCCCGAACATCCCACCGCCGTTCACCATCAACGTCGACTTTCAAGGAGTCGTTCCCAGAAGATAGGATTATATGATGATCTACCTTTATCATCTCATGCGTCATCGTCACAATCAGCAAATGTCTCTCATGATACCCAAACATTTCAACGATCCTCGACCTCTGCCCCTCCGACTCAGCCGACGCACAGTCAAAACAAATATTCGAAGGCTGCTTCTTTGGCGGGCAGTAGCGACCACCCTCAATTTCCACGTCGACCTGGCCAATTGCCAAGGCAGCGTGCACACACCAACCCTCCTCTCTTACACCGTCTATCGTTGGGGGTATTTTCAAACCAGGAATCTTCTCCCCTGAGCACCACTGCGTGTTCACACAGCCCGTCTGTGTTTGACTCGAAGCTCAAATTGCCGGGAAAAATTCCCAAGCCTCTTGGAGAGAACGAATCTCCGGAGTTGTATCTCTTGAGGCTGCGATCTGTTGTTAGTAAAGCTGAGATGGCTGCGATCTTGGCTTCCAGGTGAGCCTTCCCTTCATCTACTTATTATAACTAATCATTTCTTTGAACAGCGCAGACTCTTTCCATGTCCAAACTCTTCGAGCGTATATCAAGCAATTTGAGTTTCACAATGACCCCCTCGACGTTGCCCTCCGAAAATTGTTGATGGAAGTCGGTCTTCCACGCGAAACGCAGCAGATCGATCGAGTAATCGAAGCTTTCGCCGCAAGATATTTGGAATGCAATCCCAGTCTCTTCGTTTCAGAAGGTACTTTTGTTCTTGTTTCTAAAGGCTTATTCTAATATTTCCTGCAAAGATCACCCTTACGTGTTGGCATTTAGTTTGATTATGTTGCACACTGACGCATTTAATCGTTCAAATAAGAGGAAGATGAACAAGGCTGACTACGTCAAGAACACTCGGCTCTTAGGTGTACCGCCAGAAGTTCTCGAGGTACTTCCCTATATCATTTCTCAAACCAGATCTGTCAACTTTCTTTCAGTGTTTTTATGACAACATCGTTTTTGCGCCTTTCATATTCATCGAGGATCCTTTGGATGTCAACAGCCAACGATGTTTGAGTTCGGAAACTCAGAGCAAAAATTCATCGCCTCCTAAGCCTTTAGCATCGTCCAGCAATGTACCAACACCTCTCCTTTCAAGAGGAAGTAAAATTGATCCTTACTTTCTCATTACGAAAGTGAGTGCAGCCAATCCTGTTATGTGCGTATTTCTGACTAGCTCCATCAAGGGTCTTCTGGATCCTTTGCGGGTTAACGTGGAAGCTTATGTGCCAAATCAAAGTCCTTATTCGTGTGAAGGTACAGGCGGACCTTGGGACGAAGAAGAACTACAGCGTGCATTCCTGATGGCCGATGTGGTTGAAGTCAATTCAGCTGATATCACTCGGACGTCGTTCTTCAACATCGGTGGTGCGGGAGGTTCTTTTAATTCCGTGAGCAATGGGGTTTCAGCACAAGCCGACCTCCCGCCTTCGGCTCCTCAGTCTCTAGCCCTTAGAGTGACAAAGGTTGGGCTGCTCAATAGGAAGGACGATGTTCTAGCAGGTGGTAGGAAAGCTTCCAATCGAAAATGGAAATCGTGGAGTGTGCTTCTAACTGGCTCGCAACTACTCTTTTTTCGAGACACAACTTGGGCGACTGCCCTGTCATCGCAGGATAGTCCACCGGACGGTCGCATCGCATACCCCGAAGCAGCTCCTTTTCGTCCTGATGAAATACTTTCTGTGAAGGATGCCGTTGCGGTTCACGATGAGTTGTATATGAAGGTACGAGCTCATTGAGTCCCTTTCTTGTAATAGCTGACGTGGGTATCCAGTATGAGAACACCTTGAGATTTGTTCTCAGTGATGGACGTCAGATCCTACTTCAGGCTTCCAACGAGCTCGAGCGGAACGAATGGATTACAAGGATCAATTATGCCAGTGCTTTCAAGAGTGCTGGGGTTAGAATGCGGCCTTTAAGAATGTCCGGTAGGGACGTGGAGCTCACTGGCGTAGCTGCAGCCACTTCCCATTTACACGACTTACATCTTCAAAACTCGTCGCTAGTACCGGAACTGTATACTTGGGATAAGAGTGCCCCCCGAGAGTTGATGGACATGTTATCAGGCGATGAAGCTCCAACGACCAAACAACCGACTATGAAGCGCAGGATCGCTTTGATGTACGGTGATCACGTTGACCTCGACCCATGTATCGACCCAGAGCTTGTGGGCACTGAACAATTCATAGCAACCTTCCAAAATGTCAAGGCAGATTTGTCTGTTGGTTACCCCATATCCTTGGAGGAGGGTACGACGTTTTCGAATCAACATTGTTCTGTCAACTCCCCAGAACCACATGCTTCAGCCAAGAGCAATCCTCGCCTCCCGACGCGCTCAGATGTGATTCAGTTCAAAATTCAAGAGCTGGAATCAAGAATATCTGCATCGCAATCACAGCTGGACTCTGATATGCGATGCATTCGCAACATTGCCATTTTAACTCCGTTTCAAAGCGCTACTCGTGCCAAACTCCTGGTCACCGTCCAGGGGATGGCCAAACGTATAACTCAACTTCGCATGAGTCTCGCGCAGCTTGTTTGCCATCATGCGGTCCTTTCAAATGACCTTGTGGCAGAAAATCGATCTCTTAGTCACTCAAGGGAGCTTGCGCTTCACGCCGCGAGGAAAACTCTTCAGCGCCAACAGTCCAAAGATATACCACAAATGACACTTTCTTTGCACGATCAATACCCCCTTCTTCGGCTCCCTTCATCTGAAAGTTTAGAAAATTCTGCCTCTAGACGACCTGAGTCTTCGGTGTGTGACTCTTTCCACTCTGCCATCGACTTTGGCCCAGATTGGCCATCGTCGGAAGAATTGTTATCATCAAACTTTCTTGATACGCCTCGAGTATTTGGCTCCCCCAAGCCTCCTCCTTCGTCGTCATCTTTTTACAGCCAGTCTGCGCCATCGAGTTTCAGCCATGGCCAGCCAGCGTTATGCGAACGCTCCTCTTCATTTGATACCAACGAAACTCAAGTAGACGACGGTCAGACAAGTTTTTATATAACGAGGGAGGACAACGAAGAAGCTGAGGCGTGGAACGAAACACGATGTGCAAAGCGTGTGTCTCTTGTTCAAGTGCCGTCTAATATCCATATCTCAAGGGAGTATGACCGAAGAGCTCAAATGTCTTCCCTCTGCCGACATTGACACGCAGTAATCATTAACATTAGAGTCGTTAATTATATGTAAAGGTCTATCACCCGTTATTTGTAGAGATTCTTCCCATTCACTGACTCTTGTATGTATTTACCATTCACATCTCCAGACATTTTGCACGTCCTTGTCGTTATATGCCTACTAGCTTTTAATCAATGATATTCCATTCTTCGTAGTTGACCCTCACTTTGAAGACAATGGATTCGACAACAAAGCCAACTATAGTCTCTTCCAATTGTGGACCTAGATCTAATTACGTTAATTCACAAAGGAATTGGAAGTCTTCCTTGGGAAGCCAGTGTTCGATAAAATTCCATCGCCAGTGCAGTGTCCTCTCGGCATTGATTTTGTATCTTGAAATATCTGGAGGACTTGGATATTTTTATATGCAAAGAGCTTTATCTACCTGCGCATCAGTAAATACACTGGGTCACCTAAAACAATACTTGTCATGTGTCGGAAAGATCCTGTCAATGACATCAAGAGGCCACCAAAGGACGCATATGCCGTCCTACATGCAGAAAATTTCTTTAAGAAATGGTATTTTGAGATGGCAGGGATACATACACTATTTCTGATGTGCCTCCGTCGAATTTATAGACCTCAAGAAAGTTGCGCGCAAGTCAGACAAAATAAATGACGACGGGTGGGTAACCGACCTTTCCGTACATCACATACTCATAGTCGTCTTCCAACCCTCTTCTTCCCTTTCCATCTGGTCTCCAAACGTCTCTTTCTTTATCGTCCGCCTCTTCCTGAGCGCCGTCCGTGCCACTACTTCCAGGAGCTCCTCCCCGAGCGAGCGATGAAGCCAGAGCCAATGCAAAACTCTGATCTTTTTCTAGTGGAAACAATTCGACGTTGTAGTCGAGAGTGAGGTCCATATCGTAGTTCTTGGAGTGAGCATAGAGCCTAGAAACTGGACTAGCACATGTCAAAAAATCTGGCATCCAAGCAGAAGGTAACAGCAAACCTCGGTCGAACTTTTTCCCTTCTTTGTCGATGTCACTGATGGTAAAAATGTCGTCGAAAACGATGTTCGCGGCTGGGGCGGACATTGAGAACGAAAGAGGACGTGTGAACTTATGACTTAGATGTTGAGTTGTTGCTGCCGACTGCGTCTAACCACAGTTTCTCGTCCACTCCAAATCTTTGGCCGTGCCCACCTTCGTTTTTCCTCGACGGCCTCAATATTACGTCTACCACCACAGTCGGCCCCAAGAACAGCTCCCACCCCACTTGTCTTTATTTCCGCTAATGCATGGGATGATTGTTCGTCGAAAGGGTGGACACTTTTGTCTCCATTTATCTTCCCACTAACTTGCCATTAGGATGACAAACTTATCGTCCATGTTGGCAGAGAAAGGTTTTACTTGCATACAAACAGACTTGGGCGTAGGCAAGGGCTCCTTCACAGACGCGACGAATCTAATGAAGGCATATGAATCTGGTGAGTTTCACCACTTCAACAAGAAGGTTTGACATAATTACTGATATAAACGACAGAACTGCGGTCTGCTATCAAATTATCTACCATCCCTTTCCCCCCTGTCATCGTGGCCAGGTCTTCAGCATGCCTCATCGCTCAAACGTACATATCGTCACATCCTGCGGCTGGTCTGGTTTTAATGTCACCCCCGGCGTCTAATGACGAGCTTCTTGGCTCAAAATTATCGACTAGATTGAAGGAATTTGACTTTGAACCTGCGTTTCCCATTGCAATTATGGGCACCCAAGACGAGATCAGGCATCTCAAACAAGCGAACAGGCTGTGTCAGAAGGAATACGCTACTGTGGACGTGATTCAATTGTCTGACCTGGACGGTCAAGAAGCCTTCGTGAAACTCGATTCATGGCTCGAAGAACTTGGAATATGAGATCGCGCAGTTCTGCAGACTACATTTTCAAATCACGAAAAGGCCCAAAGACAAGTAGTAGTATAAGCCTTCAAATAATATAGGTTTACTTTTGGTTCCATTACAAAATGGTTCCAAGGATCCGGACTACTGTAAGAGGAAGTGAATGTATAATGATAAAAGTTACAGGTGCTAATGATGGGGGACTAACAATTATAGGTGTCATGCACGTACATCGTCGACAGGCATGTCGAATAGAGGCATCGCAGAGGTGATTGTATCACCCCCTAGAACATGGTCATGAAAGGTCAGCGTCTGACATTTCCTTTTTTATTTCCTCCTTGACGTCAACTACGCTGGCCAACCCTGGCAACACAACTTTCCAGGTCGCCCTTGCAGCGAGAATACGACGGACTTGATGTTGAATAAGCTCGTGCAGTTTCGGAACGTTAGCAAGTTTGGCGCGACTCCCCATAAGAGAAGTTGTTGAAAGGTCAAGGACGAAATTTGGTGATATGCTGATGGTGAGAACGGGTGTTGGCGAGGTTATTTCAGGAGGTATTATGCATATCTGGTTGTCACATCAAACTTGTGTCCACAAAGGTTAGGTCTGTCTCTTACCGACGACTTGAATTGAGACAGGGAGATGGTCAACGAGATTGGTAGTCGTGCAAAAGACTGCATGGGGTAATTGAATAGATAGGATGTTGACAGCGAAAGCGATAAAGTGTCTGTATACGTCGCGTCGAACTCGGTCTCCTAGCAACCCATAAGTATTGGATAGGGAAGCGAAAAACAGTGAAAGAGACACACTGCTGGCGAAGGTGCATTTTGTCGAACACGTGCGTTGAAGAGTTCTGGGGCCGACACACCTAGGTCGACGGAATGGATTTCGATATGATCCTATCTTGGGATTGTAAACCTGACTTTGTTATATAAATGACGACGTACCAAGAAACCTGAAGGCCGTATCTTGTTGGCGTAGTTCTCTATTCGCCTGCGCGCGATTTCGTCTCCCTCGATTCCTGGTAGCCCATCTCGTAACTTGGAGCGATAGACGTCAACAATCTAATTGACGGTGATGAGAATTGAAACGGAGAAGGTAGGTCAGATGGTACTTGTCGCAGCAAAACATTAAACCACTCCGCAGACTCTGCATTATCGTGTAGAAGCTCCTCTGGCAGATGACGAGGCTCAAGACCACGTTTTCGACGCAAGAGGTCGGTATCGACAGAAGAGGACTCGAAAGGATGCTGTGTTGAGTCGAGAAAGAGAAATTTGAGGATCATTCCAAGAAGAACGAGAATGGATAGCTGTCCGAGAATAAGGCCTTGGGTGAAGGTTGGTTGGAGAGAAAAGACATAGTTATTAGGCATATTGAGAGGAAGAGGCGTAATTATGTACTTACGTTATCACAACCTGACATGGAAATATCCGCCGAAGTTGTATGGCCCTCCGCTCCTTTGACCCTTTCTCTCGTCCACAACGCTCTCAATGCCCTTGACATTCAAATCACTGATTCACCCTCAAAGTTCTTTCTCCAGTGGTCTACCTACGATTCCCTCGACCATGAGCGTGCCCATTTCAACCGCTCTACTGTCTTATCCTCAAGCTACACCTTTCGCAAAAGTCTGATTCGAAAGCATTTCCTTTCCAGAGCGATCTACGCATATCTCAAGAAGAATCCAAAATCTTTGTTATCTAACGCCGCTCCCAAAACATACGAGATCGAATTGTCTTTTGCTGACGAGCTCGATGAAATGTGGACCGATGAACTCTGGGATCTGGGGGCCGAACTCGAAAACCGTTCTTGGTGGATTTTGAAACCGTTAAATCATTCATCTTTCGTGTCTGCACAATACTCATTCTCTCTAAACAGGGGAATGGCTGACCGAGGAATGGGAATCAGGATATTCAACAGCAAAGACGATTTGCAACATATTTTCGAGAATTTTGAATCCCAGGATACCGATGACGAAGACGGTTCTGAGGAAGAAGATGCCAGTGGAACAGCCGTAGTAACTTCTCAACTACGCCATTTTGTCATCCAGGTTTCACATCCCACTTTCATTCCGGCCAGGATTGCTCTCAACCACACTGCAGGAGTATATTTTGAACCCTCTGTTGCTAGACCCATCTGAAGTCCCAATCAATGGAGTTCCGAAAAAGTCTAATGATCTTCGAGGTTTCAAGGTTGGATACTATCTTTTTGACGTGTAACGACATTTACCGAGGTCATTAGTTTCATCTAAGAGTTTATTGCGTCGCCGTAGGAGCTCTGAAAGTGTATGCGTACAATCGCATTCTTGCCCTCTTTTCCGCTGTTCCCTACAAGCCCCCTCAAGCCGTGCCTTCAGTTGAGGGAGATCATTCATCAGTAGATCTGGCCTCTCACCTGACGAACACCTCCCTTCAAGTCAACGGCGGCGAGCAGAGTGTTCGACTCCTCGAAGAGTTGATTGGATGTCACATCTTATCACAGGAGGGAGATCCACTGTTTACCACAGCAAATTTCGAAGACATTGTACAAAACCTTGGCAAGGTTTTGGCAGAGACCTTCAAAGCAGCATTAGGAAATCCAGTGCATTTTCAGGTGGGCCCCTTCAAAGTCTATGGCGACACAATTGACGCTTAAACCAGCCACTTCCGAACGCATTTGAGCTATATGGTGTCGATTTCCTCGTCAGCCATACTCCATTCGAAACGTCCTCCCCACTCCAAGTAAAGATATTAGAGATCAATGCTGAGCCTGCTATCGAGTTAACTGGGGCGCGTTTGACTTGGATTTTGGAAGACCTTTTTGTGGCGATTGGGAAACTATGTGTAGAGCCATTCTTTAGTGAAGGTAAGTCGGATGATGAATGGAGGGTGGGAGATGTCCGTCATAACCTTGTAAAGTGTCTGGATGAGGAAGTGAGAAAATAGAACAGATTGTTTTTGAGCACGTGAACCTTTTGAAAATCCTCACGTTGACTTCAATGTCGACCGCCAACGCTGGACCATCCACTCCATCCAGGAAACGTTCCAAATGGGACGACGACGATGACGACGATGGCCTCGACCCTCCATTCTCTCAAATTCCTCCACCAAAACGGCGCGTCAAGCCAAAGGCGACGAAGATCACCGCTGAGAAGCTGCCTCTTCCCTGCACATCTCGCTCTCCTTCTGCAACCCGGCCTTCACACAGTATCTATGTCCCTCAGCGAACTCGTCATCCACCTATTCTTCCTTCACGGTCAGTATATTGCTACGAGCGGCTAAACCAGATAGAAGAAGGATCGTATGGCGTTGTCTTTCGGGCGCGGGATAAGCAAACTGGCGACATCGTTGCCTTGAAGAAGCTCAAGCTTGACGAAGAGAAGAATGGGTTTCCAATCACTGCACTCAGAGAGGTGTATGCACTCATGTCATGTCGGCACGAGAATGTGGTGGGTGTACGGGAAGTGGTGGTGGGGGATACTTTGACACAGTGCGTGTCGGCTTTCTTTATTCTCTTGCATCAATGTATCAACCACCATTTGTTGTTCCATTTAATGCCAAAGAGTCTTTGTTGTGATGGACTTTATTGAGCATGACCTCAAATCCCTGCTCACTCTGATGCCGTCGCCATTTCTGCAGTCTGAGATCAAGACCCTCATGCTCCAGCTTCTCTCTGCTGTAAATCACTGCCATCAGAACTGGATTCTTCACCGAGACTTGAAGACCAGTAACTTGCTCATGAATAACCGTGGCACCATCAAGGTCGCAGATTTTGGGTTGGCACGGCGTTACGGCGACCCCGTCGGGGTGGGAGGAATGACCCAGCTCGTCGTAACGCTGTGGTATCGGTATGTCTGTTGAATCCATGAAATAAGCTTCTCCTCTGATCGGACATTCTTAGTGCACCTGAAATTCTGCTCGGAGCGAGCACTTACTCGACAGCAGTCGATATGTGGTCTGTTGGATGCATTTTCGCTGAGCTACTTCTGAAAGAGCCTCTCTTTCAAGCAAAGGGAGAAATAGAGCTTCTTGCCATGATTTTTAAACTTCTCGGTCCTCCGACGAAGAATTCTTGGCCAGATTATTCTTCACTTCCCCTCGCAAAGAGCATCTCTCTTCCTTCACCCCAGCCAGACCAATTTCGCCAAAAGTTCCAGTATATGACGACAGCGGGCATTAATTTATTAATGTCACTATTGACTTATGATCCTGAACGTAGGATAAGTGCTCAAGAGGCATTGCAGCATGTGTATTTTACGTTGGTACTTGTCTCTTCTTCCTGAACACGCCTGTGTTGACACCAGTCATAGGGAATCTCCGCTCCCAAAACATCCTGATCTGTTCGGGTCATTCCCCTCAGCTGCTGCTGGAGAAAAGTCTGCCCTATCTATTCTCTTTCTAGTGAATGACTCGCTCACTGTCAAGCAGGCGGCGCAAGCCTTTCGATAGTCCTTCGGCGCCTGTTCGCGCAGCTGATTACAAATTTTTGACGGATTTTGAGATGCCCTAAAGGCTGACCGTAATAATAATGCATCTCGTTCAGTATATGTTACAGTGCATACAGTGTCTTCAAGGTGACACAAGGGAATTTACTGAACAATTGCATTTTACATATCCTCGCAAAATTTCGCCACGAGTTCTTCTCGCATCCTCTGAAATAAAAGTCGGGTACGACCCATTTCGCCGCACTTGTCGTAATACTCTTGCACTTCTTCTACTGTGAATCTGAAGTCTCGAGCGATGTCGCGTATGCTTTGGTCGATGACATGCATATTGACGATTGCATCAAGGGTGCCTGGAGGTAACGACGCTGGCGCCTCATCACTAAGTTTGAGATCAGCAATCATCTCTAAAGGAGAACGGCGAAAAATTACTTGGGCCTGGCCCTTTTATTGAAAGGCGACTCCATTTCCTCGCTTGCTTTTCTCTTTCCCCAAGTGGGCAGAGGAGCATCACCAACTCTAACAGCCCATTCAGAGTCGTCCATGTCATCCATCTCTTCCTCTGCTGGGCTTTTCCTCACACTCGAGCGGTCCAAAGGTGTAGAGGCAGGTATCGGTAAAATGACGGAATACCCTATTCCCGTCGTCTCCATGTTGGACGATTGCTCCTGGAAAGATTGGTGGATATGCATTCCTGAAGGTCCAGGTACCTCTCCATTTGGCATCGCTAAACCAGGAAGACCGACAAGCGAATCAACTGCCGTATATTCGACGTGACGGGGAGGCTGCTCAGTATTCTTTGTTCGTTTTTTCCTTGTTCGTTTCACTTTCTCCTCTGCCTGGCGGACATATCCGTATTGACCCTTTTCTCCTTGTGCAGGCCGCTTCCGTTCAACGATACCGGCAATGGTGGTGTCGAGACGGGAAGAGTTTTTCTTATATCTCTCCCGCCATGATTGCCATGTATGACGCGTCACCCAAGCAAACTCTGGATCATTGGTCTGTTGGGGGTGAAAAAATTTAAACATCCGTTTGATAGTAAACGTTGACGCCACCTACTTGCTCGCAAAGTTGCTGATAAAGCCTGTTTCCTGTCCGTCCGCCTGTTTCCTTGTATGGAATCTTTGCGGCAATCCAATTGCACAAATGCTCTTCGTCTTCGTCGGTAAACTGAGTTCTCCTAAAAATGATATTGAATTATGCGCTTCACTTGAGCAGCAGGCCACTTACTCTTCACCTGGTCGTCGACCACCGGGATTTTTGTAAACAAGTGGGGTGTATACAACTGTTCCTTTTTCGATACACTTCTTTACCCACAGATAGGATTCAATATACTTGTCCGGATCACTTTGATAAATCTTCACAAGGTGGTGGAAGACATCAGTATTCGGATCTGCAAGTATGACACGTGCTGATTGGGCAGAGGCATGGGGGTCACCCCCAGAGTGCTGACTCGACAGATTAACCTTGGGTTGGGCTTCGACACAGTAGATTTCTCACCATGATACGCGAGCTGAGTGCACTCCTCGCGTTTACGTTTGCGATGCTAGGGTGGATATGCATCCGGATGGGCATTCCATTCTCCACAAAAATTTGCTTCAGTAGCATTCCCGCGATCTTGCAGGCGTCAACGTATGTGTAGGGCACGAAATGCCGATCTGGTCTGTCGGCACTGGTCCAGCACAACCTCAATCGCTCCTCTTCGTTTGTTCCGGGCTGAACAAGAATGTATCCTTGTCGTGGAACCTTGGATTCGACCCGCCCGCCAAGAGACTTTTCAATAATTGAGCGAGAACGATAGTCAGAAAGAACATGGAGTACGCACAGTGACTATTTCACAGAGATCCGCTTGGACCTCTTGTGGAAGGTCCTTTTGTATAAAAAACTTGATAGCCATGCCATTGCTGTCTTGGAATATAGGCTACAGTAAGACGGTGAGTTCAAGGGGCGGCACTCTGTCGTAATGGGTTATACCATTTTATGAACTGGTTGTGCCCCAAGTTTAAGGTTGAGGGTAGGGTCTCAAAGAACTGGGGTTAGGTTTAACTCACTCAGACAATCACGTGACAACAATGTCGAATCACAATGATTCAAGCCAAAAGGCCACCCTACAAATAACACATCCTCTTGGTATATACTAATCATGCTCCAGCACCTTTCCCGGATTCATAATCCCTCGAGGATCAAATATCTCCTTTATTTTCTTCATCAGTGCAATGCTAACTGGACTCTTCGAGTAATGGAGAGCGTGAGTTTTCATGGCGCCAATCCCGTGTTCAGCCGACACCGAACCCCTATGTGAAGCTAATTGTGGAGGCTTGAGCGCAACGCCTTGATGACATGACCATCGTGACTTACCAACTACCTCATAAACGTAAGGCTCGAGCGCATCTTGGATCTCTGGAAGATAGGCGTCCGCAACAATGTTTAAATGCAAATTGCCTACAATAGATATCAACCTACTCAGTAGCAAACAAGGGGTATAAAAACGAACCATCGCCAACATGACCATAACCTAAAACGTGTTTTACGGCCTTGTCGTGTAGCAAGCCCTTAGCTCGTAGATGTTCACGGGTGCCATCGACTACGTCCTTGAAGGACGACAAAGGAACAGAGATGTCATACTTATACGCTTTGCCTTCCTTGGACACTGCTTCTGTTACGCCCTCACGTAGAGCCCAGAGCGACGAGAATTGAGCCGGTGACTGGGCTAAAACGCCTGTATTTACAAGGGGTTTATCAGCTTCGAGAAGATTTCCAAGTAAATCAGAGAGTTTCTGCCATGATCTAGTTAGTGTTTGTCACCGGTTGGCAAAACGGGAAAGCATACCTCTTCGTCATGCTCTCGTCTGCCGCCGCTGGTTTCTATCAGAACAAAACACTCAGCTCCGGCAACCTCGTCATCGCTGAGTGCCCGTCCTTGACCATGTTTTACAGCCAAATCATAAGATGTGCGATCGATGAACTCGAACGCTGAAAGAATCTCCGATAGTTGACGCTTAACAGTTTGATACAAAGGCAGAACGTTATTGAATGAGGGGAGAGCCAAAATAACGTTATTTGATGCCTGAGGTGCTGGGGGTGTCAAGATTGACACCCCAGTAATGACGCCGAGGGTCCCCTCCGCCCCAATAAAAAGTTGCTTTAGGTCGTAGCCTGATAAACCTGAGCGAGTGCGTTCCATGTAATCCACTCAACTCACCAGTATTGTCTTTTCGCAAGGTAGTAAGCTGATCAAGAATTGTACCGTCGGGGAGTACGACTTCCAATCCCAAGACAGTGCCGTGTAACGAACCATAACGCAATAGCCGAAGACCTCCAGCATTCGTGGCGACGTTACCACCGATTTGACAACTTGAGCAGTTGAATGTTGATTGACCAAACGTTTCGGTAGGCGATGAAAACGCACCTGCCCTTTGCACCAAGGTCGATCGGCATGATGTGGTTATAAGGCGCGACATAGTCGGTCAGAGATTGTAGTATACACCCAGCGTCTGCGACAAGGATACCTGCATATGGGAGCAGATTGAGATTGATGTGCAACCAGGGAGAGAAGACGGACCAGAGATGGGGTCAAACGAGCGAACATTGTTCATGTTTGAGAGAGAGAGGACGACTTCATCATTGATTGGGACGCTGCCTCCTACGAGCCCGGTGTTCCCTCCTTGAGGGACAACGCCGATGCGCTTGTCATAGCACCACTTCATGATTTGACTGACTTGATGTGTTGATTTTGGTTTCAAGACTGTAGTAGAGCGACCACGGAACCTGCCCATCCAATCATTGTTGAACTGAGCAAGCTCCTCGGGTGGATTTGAAATTGGAGGGAGGGTAGAGAGAATGGAAGTGGATGAAAGTATTTTTGAAAAGTGGCCAAGGTCATTTTCAGTGACGGAGCTAAGTTTGGTCGAAATATTAGCTCGAGTCGTGAATAGACGAGCCAACATGTTTGAAGTGAAACGCCGCAAAAGGATGTGGACTCGGCGACACTCCCGGGTCCTCGGCGTCCCGAAGTTGATCCCGGCACGTTGCCGTGTGTTGTTTCCGAATTTGATCCGAGTTGGCAACACCACGTTACGTAATTCTCGCTGGTCCTCATCGCTCTACTTGATGCCTGCCGTCCTTTTATACGGCTTACTGCCTTGAGAACGTCTTGAGCTTTCTTTCTTCTCTCCATTCATGTCCCGCATCGTTCCACCCGACGCTGGGCATGATCACTCTGGAGTCGTCGAGCAAGTCGAACTCTTACCTGGTTCAAACACGAACCCCACCGTAGGCGTCCTCAAAATTAATGCCGACAAGGGACGTTCAAGTCCGTTGCTGGAGGAAGCTCGTGGCCCCTCTCTCTCCACGTCGGTTGATCGGAACTCTGATGCTGCCAGCGTACATAGTATGCCTGCAGTTTTAATAACTGAGCCTACATCACCCGTCTCTCAGAGACCCTCCGCCACACCCATCACAGATGCCTTCGACTCTTCAGCCCGTCTACAGCACTCCTCTCCCTCTCCTTCTTCTGCTCAGAGGCAGGAAGCGACAGATTTGCCCGAACAACGAAGGGCCCGACACAGATCTGCAGTTGAAGTGAGCAGTCCCTTGCATTTATTGCGTTCTTTCTAACTTTATTCGTCAGGTCCGAACCTCCAACCGCCTCTCAGGTTTCTTTACAAACCTCATGCACAGGCGCGATTACCCACCAAATAATTCATCACGGGACATCGTGCATGAGGATCCGCCACCCCCTCCACCTCTTCAATCCAACTCCGAAGCCGCGTCTCGCGCATCGTCCCCTCTGCCAGCAAGGCCCGTCACACCGCCTCCCAAATTGCCCGCCCCCACCTTGCAAGAACTGGGACTATCCCTATCAGTTCTCACCTCAGACCTTTCGCCATCACATTTCAGCACTCCACCCACGAGCGGCGCTTTTCTGTCGCCACATTATTTGCTTCTTTGCCATGCACAGGGACTAGATGTTTTACCACTTCTCTCACCACCAGCTCCCCAACCTTATGCACTCGTCCGTCGTGTTAGCTTCAAAAGTGTGGTAGTAATGGAGCAACGTGGAGTTCTTGTCGCTATTGCAGGGAGAAGGGATGGAGTCCGTGTTTATGCTCTTGAGGAGGTGAAAAAGGCCATCGAGTGGCGTATCGATGTCGAGGTTAAGAGGGAACGCGACCGTTTACGCAGAGAATCTGTTAAAAAGTCAGTGATGAAAACTATGGACAGACCTGACTCTTGTGAATCAACGGACAAGACCCGTAAAGCCAGTCTCTCCACACCGCCTCCAGGCGATCTTGACCGCCCTCGTGCCAATCTTCGTAAAGCCTCGCACGGGATTCTCCCGCCCCCTGTCCCTCTGATACCTCGCCCTGCCACACCCCGACTCCCTAACAAGAAACCTAAAACACCACCATCACACACTTCGACAGCCCCACCGTCTGGCCATCCGCCGCCCTATATCAATAGCTTATCCGACACCCTGCAGACGCACAATCTCCGTGCGCAGCCCTCTGCTATATCCTTGAGAGCGCGGGCGGGCTCACTTAGTAATGTGTTAGCTGCGGTTCCTTCCTCATACCGCAATGTAGAGTCAAGAATACATGATCTAGATTCCAAGGTCGACTGGGTAGAGTCAAGTGATGATGAAGCTATAGATATCGTCGCAGCGGAATCGAGTGGGAGCCAGGCTCTGGATGAGCGCACCAGCGTGTCCTTATCTGCAAGTCGCGCTTTCTCTTCCCCACCGGTCCATCCAATCATCGCACAATCCCCTAATTCTCCTCGCACTCCACCTGGTTCTAGACGAAGAAATCGTCCGTCCAACCTGGATCTGTCCTTAGCACAGTCAAACGCGACAGTTTCTCCTCCAGAACCTTCACCCGCTCCAACGCTTCTGACCCTTCGACAAGCCCTCTCTTATTCACCTCCGACTCTAAACAACGTGGACGATCCTCCCGACCCTGACACACCTTTCGCGGAAGGTGACGATGAGGATGATGAAAGAGATGGTCGAATCAGCCTTGCACAGGCTCTTTTAGAAAGTCGGATACCTGACCTTCCACCTTTAGGCACTACTCGCTCACAACAGCCTATTCTCATTGCTGCTTCCCATCCCCTTCCGGCCAGAGTCGACGAACCTTCAAGTCCTCATACCTCCGAAGGGCGTAGATCGGTTGGACAGGGCAACGCTGAAAATTCCTCCGTCAGGCGGCGCCGACGTTGGTCTGTTCTCATGAGCAGCCCATCCCAAGAGCGCTCCTCTGAACCGTATCCACCAATTTCAACTACTCCCCCGTTGACCACTTCTGCAAGAGACCGTCCAAGGTTTACAAGATCGCATTCGTTCCGCTCTAATGGTTCTCAAACGCCAAGCATTCAGTCAGCAACAGATCCAGCCCCTACTGCGGCATCTGCAGCCTTGGGCGCCCCATCTCTCCCGGACACCTCTCAAACATCTAGGCCACCATCGGTTTCACGTTCTTCTCGTTTCATACCCCGACTCATTAGCAATGCGTTCAATGGGAGGAGATCTGATGACTGTGCACCAGTATTAACTGACAGCCCCATTGAAGCCGACAGTACAAAATGGATCAATCCTGGACAGTTCTCTCCTCAATCTCCCCCTCCAAAATTAGAATATGTGAAACTTCCTGGGACAAAAAACGCCCTGACGGTAAAGGCAGTTGAAACCGCTAAGAAGAGGTAGTGATTGAACGTTTATGACCTGCGCGTGAGATCACTAATGTGTTTTGCCTCAGCTTCCTTGCCATTCTCTGTGGAGACAGCGGAGAAAAAGTTGAGCTCTTCGCAGGCACCTACCGAACAGCTTTAGGGCTATCGCGAACGTTCATTTTACCTGACTCTCCGAGATCTTTGGAGTTGCAACTTCAGGGTGATGACTTAGTCGAAGTTTTCCTCGTCTTTTCACAAAATGTCTTTGGTCTGGAGCCCGCGACCGTCAGAGTTCGCGAGGTCAGGATTGGGCGTGCGGAACGAAGAGCAGCAAGACGCCGAGCCCGAGAGAACCGAATGGGAGAATCGAGTAATAACGATGCAGACGCGCAGGATGAAGAGACAAACGTTAACGTCAGTATTGGCGTTTCCGTCACCGTGGGATCAAATGTAGTTGCCACTGGTGGCGGACCGAACCGTCCTTCAACTCCTACCCTCGTTGCTAGCGAGCATCCAAGCTCGCAATCCGACTGGCCTCAAACGCCTGACGTCGCGGCCTCTACGTCAGCCTCGCCGCCCGAAGAACTTCTCGCTGTAGCCACCGCTCAGATGGGGCCGTACACGACATTCCAGCAACTTAGTTTTGCACCAAACTTTCCACTTGCCTCTATCGCGGATGAGTATATCATTCCTCCAACCTATCCAACATTTTTAGAATACCGAGCTGAGCATGAGCCCAACGCTGATGGCACCGCAGTCCTCTCAGAGACTCAGTTTTCCCCACCAGGTCTCCCCATCCCAACACCAACGGCCCCTCGGTGGTATTACAGAGATCCCAAGAATATTGTTCATGGTCCGTTCTCGTTCTGCGTTTGTGTAACTATTCTGATTTTGTCCGGACATTAGGGCCCTGGAAAGCTTCCTTGATGCAAGCTTGGTACAAAGATGGGTTGCTTCCTCCCGAACTCCCCGTTAGACGGGAGGAAGACGAAGAGTATACCCCTTTGAAAGACCTCAGGTTACAAAGCGTCGACCCGACACAACCCTTCCAATCCCCCATTCCTGTCCTTTCCACTTCGCTGGCTCCATCTGCCATTGAAATCGAAAAGCCTCTTCTTTCTCCGATATCCCTACTATCTCAGCCACGTCACTTCGGCCCACCTGCTTTATTTTTCTCTTCAAGAGGAGGTCACAGCACTGCCATCGTTGACGCGAGAGGGAGATCTGTACTCAAAGGCAGGTTTATGTGGAGCAGTGACGAGGATTCTAAGCTGGCATTTGCAGGCAAGATGGGAGACATCAAGCGCCTCGAAGCTTTTGATGTAAAGGATCGATCTGTGCTTGTTGCCATGAGGCAAGGAGGGTTGGAGGTAGTGGATCTCTGTGATGCCTTGTTAAAACCAGCCGATGAGTCAAGGACGCTATTGCCGCAGTTCAACCCACCCTCGAGCAACATTAATAGGCGAGCACCCTTCGTTTGGAAGATTGGAACCCCTATAATCTCTTCATCGACCTCCATGAGTGCGCTCACCCACAAAGCAAAAGGAGGGCTTAGCCACCTTACCAGCAAGAAACCGAGCATTGGATCGGGAAAATCGCCTGCCAACAAGGATTTCATGCTGAGCGATGCTGATTTGGATCCTCAAGATGAGGTCCTGTTCTTGGGACGCAAGGACGATGAGATTTACTTTTGTGAAAGAAATGCGGGATCATTTCGGATACTACGGTTGTCTCCTCACCAGTTATGACTCACCTGGACATTGTAGGTCGCATTAATGACTAGCTAATCACGACACGGCACGCACATGCACGACGCCACTCGCTAATAACTTACTGTCAGTATCCTATTCATGTTTCGTGGATTTATTACGAAAAATCTGTACGATCGGCAAACATACCAGACTGTGTTACATAAATTGCAAAATGGACTCTAGGAACATCGTTCTTTACACATACGCCACCATTTCAAAACAAGGAAACTGCTTGTACCATCATGAATTTGCAAAGACGATAGGGTCTGGACTGATTTCAACCATGGTTTACATACCTCTACTCCATGTGGCTCTCTAATACTTATATAGATTGGTTCCGCGAAAAAGATTATGTCCTGATAGCTCTCCATATATACTTAGTTCAACATTAGAGCTTCGCAACAACCTTTCTCAGCTCGGTCTTCAAGATCTTCCCTGTGGATGTCTTCTACGGAGATGAGAATGATAAATGTCCAGAAAATAAGAATTCAATGAGGCAGAACGTACTGGTAACTCTGGTACAACCTCTACCCATTCGGGACAAGCAAACCCTGGTAGTCGTGGCTTAGCATGTTGTTTGAGATCACGCTCAAATTCGTGATGACGACCATGCCAGTGCGACGCATGTTGTGGGTGGAGAATCACAAATGCCATTGGTCTTTCACCCCACTTTGGATGTTCGCGAGCCACAACGCTAACTTCCAAAACATGGGGGTGGCTCGCCAATTCTAAACCCAATTCAGCTGATGTGATACTTGAACCTGCTAAAAACGGATGAACCTTGCTCTATCGCCAAACTGGATGCATTCTACAGCCGTAAATCTGTCACCAAAGGCGCTTCATTGTAGTGTTGAACACTGACCTCTCCGCCAGAAATGATTATGTCTTTGCTTCGGTCCATGATAGCCACGGAACCATCTGGATGCATTACTGCTAGATCCCCACTTCGAAAACTACCACCACGAAACGCCTTCTTCGTCGCTTCAGGATCACGGAAATACTTGAAAAGATATTTAAACGCCGGAAATAGGTGATGACTTCGCTCACCTCTTTCATGACGATGTTGCCTCTAGTAACAATTTCTCCAAGAGTTTTACCATCACGAGGAACATCTTTCAACGGTCTATCTTCATTCTCTCCATGAACGTAGACGACACGAACTTCTCCGGCTGTTGCGAACGCGTGACCTTGCCTCGCCATTAAACGGGCGCGGTCTTCAAGAGACATTGCCGCCCAACTAGCTTGCTCGTAATTTCGCGTAAATGGTCCATAAGTCTTTTGAAAAAAGAAAATCTCAGTTCCAATCTAAAAGAATAGATTCAGAACGGACCTCGCTGAAAATGATTGATCCGTTGAGCGAGGTCACCAACGCTGAATACGTAAATCAATTCGGGCAAAGAACTTACGTCAAGCCGTAGACGTGAACTGGCTTGATTCCTTTTTTCTCAAGTTCAGAAATCAAATGTGGAGTGGGTGCAGCCCCAGCTTCCAAGTCTATCAGCAAATATATCTCAGATCACTTGGTGGCATACCTATGATAGCGGTCACCGGCTTAGGTAGTCTCCGAGCCAGCGGGTGGTTATAAATTCCGATCTGACATAGGTAACTTGTCAAAATGATGTCACTGAACATCAATCACATGCATACCTGGACAGTGGGAGCACCACAATAATGTGTGACCGCGGAATGAAGGAGATGATTCCAGATGTAAGAGTAATCTACCGTTCTCAGTGTTACCTGGAGTTCATGGAAAATCAGTCAAAGAACGCCGAAAAGAGGTAAATTTACTACCTGAGTGGCGAATGCGAAAACATTGGCCCAGGGAAATGTCCAACCAGCTGCATGGAACATTGGAAGTATCCTACGGAAGGGTCAGCGTAGAAAATGGAACGATAGATCAAGTTCAAGACCATAAGTATGTTGAATCTTGGTTCATCCTGAGTTACAAGGAGGTTTATTTGCTTAAACCTGAACGGACACTCAAATGCTTACTGAGCTTCAAATGCGTTTGCAATGGCAGCAAGGTATGATCCTAATACAACGCTGATATTAATAAGCAATAAATAGAAAATATCTCTCACCTCTCAGTGTCGTAACAACACCTTTAGGCTACCAACGAAAAATTAAGTCAATGATTTTCACCAGGATTCAAAACCTACCCTTCCCGTCGTGCCAGATCTAGCAATGTCCGTCAATGCTGCCCAAACAGGAAAATAGAGGGTCGTACGTGTAACATAGAACAGCAGCAGCATTCTCGTCAGGCTCGGCATCCAGACCCGCCCATCCCTTTTCTTCACTGAAACGCCGTCCGTCAGTCAAGAAGGATTCATAGGGGTCACCGTCTCTGCCTGTGTCATTCGAGATGATGACTGGAATCTTGTTGCTTTGAGCAAGGTGGGCATACTCGTAGTCAACGAGGATGAGGCGACTGCCGCTGTGCTCGAGAATGTACGTGACTTCCTGGGGCTTAAGCCGCGTGTTGATGGGTGTTATTATGGCCCTTGCCGCAATAATGGCATGGTGAGCATCTGACATTCAAGTAAGTCGAAAGGCATACTGAGGGATCTAGTAACTCACCTGCTATAAGGGGACTACGGTAATTTGGTTGATTGGAGTGTTCAACGACGCCAAGTTGGCAACTCACGAGTTCGGTGCAATGACTGCAACACGATCACCCGGTCGAATACCGGCTTCAATCAAAGCATATGCAAGATTCTGGATACGTTGTGCCCTGGTTTAACAAAGGAGGTCATTGCCATTATCCGACGGCATGCGTTACCACAATACCAGATCCCAAAAGTGTAGACAACAGGGTTAGTGACGTCGGTGTGAATGAGAGAAATTTTATCGGGGTATATCTGAGCAGCTCGTAGAATAAATGACAGAGGATTCTGGAGGTGATGGTGAGTGAACTTCAGTTGAACTGTGAACATAACCCTGACAACAGACGAGAGGCTGGTGGTTGACTGGGGTGTCCGGAGACTCCTTCAGGCGATATTTAACATTGGGAGGGGGAATGCTAGCGGGAGTTGGGAAGAACGAAGTAGACGCCGAAGACATAAGTATGGGAGAGGACTCTTAGACTCTTATGTTATGGAAACTATTTATACCACATTCGCTAATTCGGTTACGGTAGACACCGGAGTCCCTGTAAGGTTGGCGGGAACTCCACGGTAGGATTTGCATTTGCACTTGTGCCGTTGACGGTCTGGACTCTCACGGCCTTCTTCCGCATCTTCGGTCACGGCTTCAACGCCTCCTCAACTTGGAGTATGTCTATCTCTTTGGGTGCTGTGCTACTTGGAGGTTGCAATTTACTCTCAACTCAATAGGAAGCCATGTATTGTGTGAAGCAAAAAGCCACCAGTCACAGCCCATCATAAAAATCAACACAGATAATGGAATATTATTGTAAGTTCTTGCTCAATTTCTACATTCTGGGGTTCATAGAAATTATTTAGTTAGTGAGAAACACAGGCCCCATTTTTGCGAAGCTCCGCATTGACATTCCCGCTCGTCACAAGCTTTTTGGAGTGTCATCACCAAAAAAAGACAAAGCATGTCATATTTTTGTAACTTCTTGCTTGATTTCTACATTCTGAGGCTCGTAAAAACCGTCTAGTCAGTGAGAAACACGGACCTCATTTTTGAAAAGCTGCGCATCAATTTTCCAACTTGTCGCAAGTTTTTTGGGAGGTCATCACTAAAAAATGCAGAGTGTGTCATGTCGTTGTAAGTTCTTGCTCGACTTTTACATTCTGTGGCTCATAGGACCACCAAGTTAGTGTGAAAAACGAGCCCCATTTGTGAGAAGCTGCACATCCAACTTGTTGCAATGCATTGGGGGGAGACATCGCCAAAATTCACAGAATATGTCATATTATTGTGCGTTCTCACTCAACTCTTACATTTTGGGGCTCATACGGACCGTCTAGTGAGTGGAAAACGTGGGTCTTTTATTTAGAAGCTGCGCGTCGACATTAGAACTCGTCGCAATGCTTTTGGGAGAGACATCACCAAAAAGACACGGAGTACGTCATGTAAGTCCTTGCTCAATTTCTATGTTTTGGGGCTCATAGGAACCGTCTAGCTAGAGGGAAATGTGCGCCCCATTTGCGAGAAGCTACACTTTAAAGTTTAAACTCGTTGCAATGCTTTCGAACCATTACTAAAAAAAAAAAACACAGATAATGCAATATTACTGTAAGTTCTTGCTCAATTTTCATGTCCTTGGGCTCATAGAAACTGTCTAGCTAGTGGGAAACATGTGACCTGTTTTTGAAAAGCTGCACGTTGATGTTTGCGCTTGTCGCAAGCTTTTTTTGGGGGTCATCACCAAAAACACAGCATGTCATATTATTATTATTCCAAGCTCTTGCTTATTTTTTATGTTCTGTGGCTCATTAGTTAGTGGGAAATGTGGGCACCATTTTTGAGAAGCTGCACATCTGTATTCAAGCTTGTCTTTTTGGGGTCATCACCAAAAAAACACAGTATGTTCATGTGTGATATTTGTAAAACTTGTTGATAATGTGTAAAACATGTTTATAATGTGTGACATACATATTACTAACATCCAAGTGACATGAGATTGCTGAGAGTTTGGAGAAGTGTTCTCTCAGCCGGCAATAAACATAGTGATTTGTGCGTGTCCAAACAGGGCTCAGAACGTGAAGCTAAAAAATTCGGCAAACGCCGCCGCGTGATGGAGTGCCGAGAGAAGTCAAACGTCAAAATCCTACCGTGGAGTTCCCGCCAACGCTAGTCCCTGGTCACCTTTCTTCCACTCGCCGTCACTAGTCAACACCTGTGAACCCCACCTATTTGGTCCTATTAGACAGGAACAAGATATGCTTGTTCCTGTCTAGTTCGATCAAAGATGGCTTTTGTAACGCTCTGGGCAATAACTACCAGTAGTGCGTAGGGACTTTATAATAAATTCTTACCTGTGCTCACCGGCAACCATGAATACCAGTCACCGGTGTTTGGCACTTGGCGGCATTGCGCTCCTGCCCATAAAGGGTTCGATGTCATCACGAAGAACCCTTACTCACCGTTGTTGATGGCAACGCGTCGAGCTCGTCGTGCGCAACGCCGACAACGTGTATCCCCCCCAATAATCATCTGTTCCCCTCGCTTTCTTTTGCATTACATAGGTATTATTAGGTAGATAGTAATGCATATGTTTTACTTAGTCCTCCTGGCTACGGGGGCCGTCACCACTCATATCAAGTACACTAAAGCAGGCACCAAGAACCTCAATCTCCTCATCCTCACCAGCCTGCTCCTCATCCAGCTCCTCTTCTAAATCCACTTCATGACTGGGGGTGGTACCTGTAGGGGGAAGGGCCGGGGTCTGAGGCTCCCCTGTTGCATCTGGCTCCTCTGATGTGGTAGAAGCCTCTGCAACATGAGTGCCAAATCCAATGGGACCAGTATAACCATCCAGGAGATAGATCTTCTCCAAGATCTTCAGGTGGTGAGCATTGAAACGGCCCCGTTCCATCCGATGAAGTTTGAGCTGAAGAGCGAGGGCAGGACGAGAGAGCAAGAACTCGGCTTCTTTTCCTCGAAGGAAAATGTCTTCGTCATGATATAGGTTGCAGGCGGGGAACTTCGATGTCAGCCGCGCAATCTCTTCCTGCGCACGTTCGAGTTTGAACGCCCGGTCAATTGCAAGGCGAGCGGCGGGTGTCGCCCAAGGTTTCCTTCGAATATCTTGACGGGCATCACGGAGGAGATCGAAGTCCGAGAGGAAGGCGTACTCAACGACCTGATCCCAGTTGAGTACCTGTCGAGGTGGCACTAGAGCCAACGCCGCTGTATTGTACCTGTCGAGGGCGGTGCGAATGGCGACAGATCGGGCCTTGAGCGCGTTGGCAATGTGTTTACGAAGGCTATAGCCTATCATGTTGCCGTCAGCTGCAGTCATTTCCGAGAAGACAACGTCTTACCTGTCTGGGACCGGTTCATCTTTGTGAGTTCAAACATGCGTGCGACCACGAGCCCTTCCAGGACATCGATGCAACGTTGGTATGTCCGCATCATAACCTTCTCTCCTGCTGCCTGCCACTCAAACGAACCCCGCTCCCATCGCCGTGCAATGTTGAGCTTCTTCTCTAGTACCTGGACGGCGGTGAGATCGCGCTTTTGGGTTTCGAGCGCATGGCGGCGGGCTGTTTCATTGGAGGCAGTCATGTCGTGTTCGCCGACATTCGCCTCCGTAAGGTTGGACCAGGCCAAGACAGCCGCTGCAAGTGTACGTCTGTAGATCATAAGTAACAATACAGATCAATAAAGTTTAGACTTACTCGCTGGCGTTGAAATTGAGGAGTAACTTGTAATACTCCATCTCCAGTGTCTCCTCCAGGGGTTCCTTCGAGAGCCCCCTCAGGTATTCCTCCTCCTCTTTCAACCACTCTTTCACCATGACCATGTCCCGTGCACCCACTTTCACCAGTGCGCTGTCAACTGCCGATCTCGTGTCCAGTATCTCGAGTGCTTGTTTATAGTTGTTGAGAAGGAAGGTGCCTAGTGGACAATGATCAGTAATGTCACAGTATGAGGGGCGGCACACGTACTGAGGTTTTGGTAAGTCTCAAAGGTGTCCTTGTGTTTCGTGTACTCCACAATGGCTTGACGGCGGTGGAAGATGCTTGAATATCGGGTCGAGCTTGCGAGGGCGTTTGACAGCGAGAAGAAGCGCTCGCAACCCTCTAAATCCTCCAATCCGAGTCCCTCGACATACGTTG